ATGAAATTACTAAGGGTTGGCAATACATTGCAGAGGGTGTTATTTTAAGATAACTTACAAGCTACAAAGCTTTTGATTTAAGTGACCAAAACATTATTGTTTTTGACAGAAGTTTCTTGCTTTTGGGATAAGGTATAAACCCCCAAAATGGTGATGTATAAAAATAGAACCCCCATCCCTTTGGTCAACTAAAAAGCTAAGAAGCACCCATATGTTAGATTTATTTAATCAATTATTACTAAAAATGGTGTTGTACATATATGCATACCTTTTATTAAAATGCCAGTTTACTAATCAGACTGCCCTGATTGGCTGGAGACCTTTATGAGTAAGTTTATAGTTTCCATGGTGATAGGTAAAGGGTAACATAGCTACCAATCGCTGTCATGCATGGTAACCATTCAGAAGGAGAGAGAAATACATAACTCTTCATCTCTTGTCTTGTATATGTTATCCTTGTTAGCCTCTATCATTGTGCTGCAGTAAACACCTCTGTAAGTAGAACACCTCTGTAAGTAGAACACCTCCAAATGTAGAACACTTTAAAGTCCAGTTTTCCATTAACTCATTTATAATGAACCTGTATACATGGATACCTTCCAAATGGAAGATTATTTTAGGTACCACTTACACAGGTTTTACTGTGCTTTGTTGTGTGCTACTCAGCTGTTGTGTGCTACTCAGCTGTTGTGTGCTACTCAGCTGTTGTGTGCTACTCATCTACTGTGCTGTATTGCATGCCATTGTCACTGTGCTATTGGGCTCCTTTAGTGTGTTACTTCATTGGGCATAGACCAATATAGCTTTCAAGTTACTGTATAGAATACTGGACATTGCGCTTGATGGTATTACTTGGCCTACTTTTCAATTTGAGTTGCCAGTTTACTGATTATGCAAATATGTTAAATTGTGCAAATCATTCTTTTTCAACCTCAGTGGTGAACCATGCAATAAAGGAATTAGGAATAACTTGATTTTGAGAATTTTCCCAAATTTTGGAAAACAATTCAAATTACATGTAATTTTGATGATTATGATTTTGTGATATGATTTATATGCAGACGAACAGTTTCACTGTACTTGTAATTATAGATGGCATTTATGTGCAGGATTTCAGTATTTGTATCAGACAGCATTAATATAACTGTGACATCTTCAGTATGTAAGCTGTATAGTTGGATTCTCAACACACGCTTAAAAAATTGGTTCATGACGAACAGAATGGTTTCCTTAAAGGTAAAAGTTGCCAGGACCATATGTACTCCCTATCATCAATCATTGACAACAGGCTTAAGGATAAAAAGAGTACCTTTGTTTGTTTCGTCGACGCCCAACGTGCATATGACAAAATCGATAGGCAGTTGCTGTGGTACAAACTTAGCCAATTGGGTATTTCTGGACAGTTTATGGGTGCCTTGAAGGCTCTATATAGGGATGTTAAGAGTTGTGTGAACATTAACGGAAGATTATCTGGGTTCTTTGATGTTAAGACTGGATTAAAACAGGGCTGTTTGACTTCGTGCTCGCTCTTCAATCTGTACATCAATGACATTGTGGATGATATTAAATCCCTCGACCTTGGAGTTGATGTTAATGGTGAAAAAGTGTCAATACTTCTCTATGCGGATGACATTGCACTTATCGGTGACTCCGAAGAATCCATACAGCTAATGTTAGACACTTTATCAAGATGGTGTAGCAAATGGAGAATGACAGTTAACATCACTAAAACCAATGTAGTCCATTTCCGTCCTAAATCTGTGCAACGATCACAGTTTAACTTTATGTATAACAACAATGCTATTAACGTATCAGACAAATACAAGTATCTTGGCCTTTGGTTCAACGAGCATTTAGACTTTAACCAGATGGCTACCGCTATCGCACAGGCAGTTAGTCGCGCTCTAGGACTAGTAATTGCCAAGTACAAGGCAAATGGTGGTATGCCATTTAAGTGCTTTACAAGACTGTATGATAGTTTAGTCACACCAATTTTGGAATACGGTGCAGAAGTCTGGGGATTTAAGGAGTATGCATGTATTAATACTGTTTTTCACAGAGCCTGTAGAACATTTCTTGGATTAGGCAGGTATACACCCAACCTTGCTGTCCAGGGCGAGATGGGGTGGACCTCACCATTTGAAAAACAGGTGAAGAAAAACCATAAGTTTAACTTGCGACTTCAGTCTCTTAGCCACAATAGGTTGACCAACCGTATCTAACATTGGAATGTTTTTCGTGCTAACAGTGGAAAGAAAAACACCTTATACCACCTGAGGCAGGTTTACGATTCTCTCCAGGTTTATGATGACGACCCGGTGTCGGCGATTGTGTCACCTCTGGAACGTCAAGTGCAGAACAACTGGCAAACAAGACTCTGGGACGATACAAAGCGGCAACAAGGTCAAGGAAACAAACTCAGAACTTTTAGAACCTATAAACATGACATAAAAACAGAAAGATATGTTACATCAACGCTTTCTATTTCTCAAAGAAAGTCATTTGCTTCTATAAGATGTGGTGTAGCACCAATCAGAATAGAAACTGGTCGTTATGAAAGGCTGCCAGTTGATGAAAGGGTGTGCCCTTTATGTTATAATGCAGTTGAAAATGAAAAACATGTAATTTTGAACTGTTCTCGTTATGAAGACATCCGTTTAGAATTGTATGCAAACGTTTCTACTATTGTAACTGATTTCAGATGAATTTAGATGAAGAGAGTAAATTTCAGTGTTTAATGTCTAATGATAGAATTTGTCTCTTCACTGCAAAAGCCTGTGACCGGATGCTTAAACGACGGGAACATTTTATTTACAAAGCATGATTTATATGTTTTTTACAAAAGTGTCTTATAGGCCCATAGGGGGCCTGGGGTGATTTTAACAGTGTACTATTGTTTTAAATATGTAATTGTATTTTAACTCATGTAATGACACTATAATAAAATTAAAATAAATAAAAAAATTAAAGGGATTTCAGAGATCTACTTGTCAAATAAAAATGATATAGACCCATGGGTGAATCAGAAAATTAGCGAAAACAAAATTAAGGTTTATTTTTTAAAAATAGGATTAAAACAAATCTTTTTGAGCCTGGTTACCTGAGATTTGTTGTCATAGTGGTACTCACTGAACATTGTCTACACATCTATAAATATATATACAGTAGAACATGTATATCTGAACACCTGGCTAATCCGAACACCTCCCAATCTGAACACTTTTTTCGGTCCCATTTTTTTCCTTCTATTGACTCCCATGTTAAAAAAACTTGAAATGTGAACACCTCCCAATTTGAACAGTGAACAATCATATTTGAAAAATTAACCTGTCTTATCTGAACACTTTTCATAAAAGTTCACATGTTTCATACAAAATTGCTCAAATATTGTTATGATATCAAAACTTTGGGAAAAAACTTGAATGAGCATGACTAGATTTATTTGAATCGAATTTTCAAATTTCTGAAATGCCATAATGATAAGGCTATGTGGTCAAATGAACTCTAAATATGTACCGAGAATGTACTCACATTTCTTTAGAATCCAGAATCTCGCGAATGCAAAAACCTGGAAATGTGAACACCTCCTAATCTGAATGCTTTAATCAGTAACTGGTCAACTCGTACCCAAGACAAGTCGTACCCAAGACAACTCGTACCCAAGACAACTCGTACCCAAGTATATATTTTGGACTGGGCATGTGAATAGATATACATATTATAATTGTAACATACTGTTCAGAATAGTTTAAAGTTTGAAGAAGAATTTTCGGAAGAAATTGATTTAATTCTGTGACATTTTGAGCTGAGTGTCAATTTATATTGACTATTATTTTATATTGGTCACAGATTCAGGATGTTCGAGTGAAGAGACATATGTTTATTCCACATATTCATTATCATTTTTCAAAATATTGTATGTTTATGAGTGTTTGGAACAAGTGTCAGATCAAATGTTGTAATTATATTTATTTGTATATATGTTTGACAAAAAAATGTTGTGAACAAGCGCTTCAAGCACTTCTTTTATTTAATAAAACAAATGCTTTACTGATCCATTGAGAAAAAATGTCGTCTAAATTCAAAATAATATTGAGGCTTATTTGATTCACATTACAACCTGAAAGCATTACAAACTCAATTTTTTTCCCAATGTGCACCCATTATACTGAAAATAATCTTGGGTACGAGTTGTCTTGGGTACCAGTTGTCTTGGGTACGAGTTGTCTTGGGTACGAGTTGACTAGGAAGCCTTTAATCCGGTCCCAATGGTGTTCGGATGAGACAGGTTTTACTGTATATATATTTACTGACATTATGCTTGTTTTATTAGCTGCTAACTTTGCTAACCTTTAAAGTGATTACATATTAATAATCAAAAAATGCTTTTGCCATGTATGTTCAGCATCGATTGTCACATTTGATTGATCGCATTTGTTATTATTTCAAATGTTATTTTGTTACATATATGTTAATTGCATGTGTATTATTTTGTCACATTTGTGTTCAATATTTTGTCACATTTGTGTTTAATATTTTGTCACATTTGTGTTCAATATTTTGTCACATTTGTGTTCAATATTTTGTCACATTTGTGTTCAATATTTTGTCACAATTTTTTCACATGAATCACATGTTTTTGCTTGTATGTCACACCTGTATTTGATATATTGTCACATGTCACAGCTGTATTTGATATATTGTCACATGTCACACCTTTATTTGATATATTGTCACATGTCACAGCTGTATATGATATATTGTCACATGTCACACCTTTATTTGATATATTGTCACATGTCACACCTTTATTTGATATATTGTCACATGTCACAGCTGTGTTTGATATATTGTCACATGTCATACCTGTGTTTTATGTATTTATTATCATGTGTCACACCTGTAATTATCACATGTCACACCAGTGTTTGATGTATTGTCACATGTCACACCAGTGTTTGATGTATTGTCACATTTCACACCTATGTTTGTAATTTCAGGTGAGATGATAACCTGGGAACAACAGGTGAGGTTCCGCCATATGGCAACAAGGATGTACCTAATGGTCACCCCCCTAGAAAACAGGCTGACACTGACAAATGACGAACTCAACCCCAATGCTGTGTTCAGGCTGCATCCTGTCATCAATGTAAGTACACAGAAGGGGGAAATCTGTAAGCACTTCTTTAGCACTATAGATAAGTTTACAAAATACACTCAATATGGCTTAGTAATACACTCAACAAAAGGCTGAAAATGTCAAATACCACATCAAGCCTTTGGTTTCTTTTGGTAATACTATGAAATACATATATTATTTTGATACACTATATGAATCATTTACCAGGCCCATAGCCAGCTTTTGCCAGGGGGGGGGGGTTCACTTTTCAAAAATTATCCCGGGGGTTCACATTTGACAACTTCAGCCCAAATCACTCTAGAAGTGCTCAGAATAGTGAAAAACTGCATGATTTTGAAAGAATTTTAGTCAAGGGGGAGGGGGTTCAAAGTTCAAACCCTCCTGGCTATGGGCCTGTTTAGAATACACTGTTTTTTATATAAATTTTTATCACATTTTATATAAAACTTTGTTTTTACAGAGCAATGTAAGTGAAATCAACTTTTGGGTCATTCCCATTTAGACTTTGGGTGCCATTGCATTTGGGATGTGTTTTTTATAATTATGTTTTCAGCTAATTCTAACAAAAACAACAGATTTGAAAAAAGAATGTAAAAACAGATCTTATTTATGTGCTTTTAAAAGAAACTTAAGAATTGGACTGGTATATTAATTTTGGATAGAGGACATAATTTTCAAAATCTTGTTGAAATATTGTGAATCCAGATATAAGTACCAGAAATCAATGTTTTTTATCATCTGGGAATGGAGCACAAAGGGTTATCTTTGAAAACATAGTTTGGTAAAAACACAGCCCTATAAACAATATAAGAAACCTATCATTCATAGATACAGGGTGTTCTTAAGGTGTAATAATGATACACACATATTAACTAAGAAAGATATTATTAATAATATTATTAGTATTAATTGTTCCACATTTGTAAGACACCCTGTATAATATGAGAGGGAAATGAGTTTCATTACAGATTCACGTATAAGAGGATGATTACCTATAAACCCACAGTGTATACATCCTTAATGAAGGGGACTACCTAGATTGGTGTGCCATATATTAGTGACACACATGGATGGCACACTACCAAAATGGAAGAATATTTTATTGTTATTAGAAATCTCAAATGTTATATTAAAATGAAAGGTTTCTTATAGTCTAATTCTGCCTTTGCCTCATAATGTGTAATCCTACAGCTTATTTTAATGTGGTGATCATGTGTTAATTATATGGGCTATAGGAAAGAGTGGAAAAGATCACAATCAATAGGCTCCCAATGGTGTCTCTGTCTAATCGCTGTCCCATTTTTATTTCAACTGACATTTTTGAGTTTGTTCATTGTCAAAACATAGTCTATTTTGGTGTTAAAGCTCATTTTCTTAATGCAACCATTGGGAGCCTCAATCAACTAGTGTGTGGATGTTTACTTCCCACTTGTTAAAGTTGCTGTGTTGTTTTAACCATTGGGTCCCTCAATATCAGCATTTACATGGCTAAAATCATGTTAACCCTAACTAAGGTGGTAATACTTGTTATACAGGGTGTCCCAAAAAAAAGGAAACCAGCAATAGATTGCTTATTTCTCAAATATGAATAATGATAGGAAAATTTCACAGCTACCATCTGATAGATTATGATGTCCTCTTTCTTATGATACCAAAGTTGTCTATTTTCCTTCACGGATGACTGAGTTATAAGGGATTTAAGTGACCATGTCAGAAATGAGTTTGTACCACTTTCAGCCAAGTCAATTTCACCATCATAACAAAGTGATAAGTAACAACAAACATCAGGATATCACTTTTATACTCATTTATTCCAATTAAAATTACACATATCATATTTAACATCCCTTTTAAATCCCAATGTCCATTCAAAGTTGTTTTAATCCCAGTGTCATCATCAGGGATGCAGTACGTGCGATGAGATCAAGGGCAGACATTTGCATTGAAAGGAATGGGGGTCATGTTGAAGGACACTGGGGTTAAAACAACTTTGAATGGACATTGGGATTTAAAAGGGGTGTTAAATATGATATGTGTAATTTTAATTGGAATAAATGAGTAAAAGAGTGATATCCTGATGTTTGTTGTTACTTATCACTTTGTTATGATGGTGAAATTGACTTGGCTGAAAGTGGTACAAACTCATTTCTGACATGGTCACTTAAATCCCTTATAACTCAGTCATCAGTGAACGACAATAGACAACTTTGGTATCATAAGAAAGAGGACATCATAACCTATCAGATGGTAGCTGTGAAATTTTCCTATTATTATTCATATTTGAGAAATAAGCAATCTATTGCTGGTTTCCTTTTTTTTGGGACACACTGTATTGACAAATCCCACTTGTTCAAGATAAATTAATATGTATTATAAAAAATTGATGCTTCGATCATTACAGATTGAGCTAGGAGTAAGTATACACAGAGATAAATACTGAAATTGTCCCCAAAATAATTGCTACACGTTTTTACTAAATATTTTTAATATTATTGAATCCACTGCAAAAAAGCAGTTTAAACTCATACATCACTCAAACAACATATTTCCATACTTTCTGGTACATAAGTTTACAACTACCTTTTTACTACAGGCATGGGCTATCTTTTGAAAGCCCATGCTACAGGTGGGTTATTGGCATCCATTTTAGAAGATCTATCTTTAAATCTTATCACCATTTCTCGAATATTGTCTATCAGATTAATTTCAATATCCTACACATGTATGAGGGTACCAAGATTGACTGTACAGTTGATTATTAACCTTTTGGTTTCCATCTCATTTTTCAAAAAATCCCCTTTTCCTACTTGACGGTGTGATTTTGTGGTAACATCAAACATTTATTTCAGCTTATTAATATTAAAACTTTCAAATAATTTTTTTGGGAAGCTAACTTTAACAAATTGTCAAATATGCTTATGGAAAAATATTATATTGAGCTCTAGCCAGTAACCCAGTTCAGATTTGAACCTGTTTTGACATGCTTCATGGATAGTATCCAAAACATGTGAACAGTTGTGGAAAAATGAAGTTAATTTTGTCAAGGGGAGACAGTAAATGTAAAATAAGTAATTGTAAAATGTAAAGTGTTTGCCTAGGGATTTGAACAGCACGGGACAATTAAAAAATGTTCCTTATTAGGGAAAAGTGGGTAGGGTTAAACTATAATGAAATTAACTTTATTGTTCACAACTGTTGACCATACATTAATGACAGACCATTATTATATCTCTCATAAATGCTAGAGAATGTTGGGATTGAGATACCTCCTGTGGCAATTCCAATCCAAGTTGCAATGGCCCAAATATTTTCTGTTAAAGATTATTGATATGGAAGATATAATGGTCTGCACTTTAGATATACCAGTTGTTCATATTGCATTTAAATATTTGACATTGCATTCTCGTACTTGCATAATGTAATACTAAGGTGTATACTAGAAAGTTCTCAAGAAGACCTTATTGAATTTGGTCCTATATAAGGAACAATGCGTTAGGACCAAATTCAACCTGAACTAATCTAATTTAAATTCAGGTTGTATCAATAGATGAGAATTTTACTGAAAAATATATTTATGACATCCCCGTTGTTGTTATTGTTGTTGTTATAGTAATGATCTACTCTGGCTAGCTCTATGTACAATTGTTTTATTTGATGATGCGTTTAGTAAACAATAACTGAAATGATCAAAGAAATTGAATTCCCTCTTTCATCAAAATAGAGCTAGCTGCTTGAAGATATTAGGAGTTAAAATATTGTACATAAAATAGAAATTCCACATTCACTTTTGCTTTATGGGAACCTACCTCTTGAAATATGCAGATATCCAACTTAGTTACAGCCAGTCACAGTCAAGATTGTAACCAAGGTGGTAGGAATGTGCATATTTTAAGGAATAAATTTCCTAAAGGCAAGAATAAATGTTGACATTTTGAAATTGTTTCTTGCCTGAAATTTTGTATTTTGAAAATATTTAAGAAAATGATGTTTTCTTGATGTGTCTTTTATAGTGGTATGTTATTGTACAAGATATTTGTTGTAATAGATCCTTCATATAGCAGCTTTCATCATTTATTCAATATATTATAATTACATGAGAAGTTGTACAAGAAGTATTTTTAACCTATAAAATTTAGAAACAGTTAAAATGAATTCAATTATTTTTCAATCATATACAATTTTTGATATGGATGCCACATAATGTTTATGCTAGTACTTAATATCAGTTAATGTTTTTATATTTGATCTTAGGATAAAGATGAAGTTGTATTCAACACCTTTGCAAGAATAGAACATGTCCTCTCAAAGAAATGGCTACATGGACTAAAAGGTATGTATCTGTATATATTCAACACCTTTGCTAGGATAGAACATGTCCTCTCAAAGAAATGGCTACATGGACTAAAAGGTATGTATCTGTATATATTCAACACCTTTGCTAGGATAGAACATGTCCTCTCAAAGAAATGGCTACATGGACTAAAAGGTATGTATCTGTATATATTCAACACCTTTGCTAGGATAGAACATGTCCTCTCAAAGAAATGGCTACATGGACTAAAAGGTATGTATCTGTATATATTCAACACCTTTGCTAGGATAGAACATGTCCTCTCAAAGAAATGGCTACATGGACTAAAAGGTATGTATCTGTATATATTCAACACCTTTGCTAGGATAGAACATGTCCTCTCAAAGAAATGGCTACATGGACTAAAAGGTATGTAAATGTTCAGTGGTAGTGGTAGATATTTTTGGACTTTTTATTTTGAGTCAAAAATGGGCCTTAATGATAACATGGGCTTTCAACTAGTTGAAAGCCCATGATGATAATAAACAACTGTGGGAAATGGGCCTCAACATTTGAAAAATGGAACCAAGAGCTTGATTTTGAAAATTTATATGTTTAATGTTGATGCATGCATGGCCACAATTGTCACATATATTATTTTGAGTGGTACATATAGCGTATAGACTCTTTGTTACAAAAAGACTTAATAGACTTTTCTTATAATTTAAATCATTATTACTCAAGAATTTTATTTATTTTGCAGATCAAGAATATAAGAGAAAGAAATGTGAGAATGTTACAGACCCTAAACTGCTCGCTGAGCTACAATGGGATGGTGGGGAATTAAGACAGGTAGGTATACAGAACCCTTTTCCCTCCCCATGTGGTATTCACTCTCCTTAGGGATTCCCTACCCGAAGGGAGATGTATACTGAAAGGGGTCAAATAAATTCATATTTGTAATGCAATATAAAAAAATATTTGATATACCTCGGTAAATTTATAAATGGTGGATAAAATGAATATTGATCAGCTAATGGGACTTGACTGATAAATAATATCATTTTTTGATACACAGTTATGCTCAAAGGTCATCCAACAAAGGTGCAGGTCCGGGGTTATGTAGTATATTTCTATATATTCACCATTATTGTTATATGTGCCAAGTATTTCATATCAATCGCTGTTTACCATTCAATATAATTCTTAAATACTGCAATTAATGATTGTGCCATCAATTTAATAACAGTACTAACACTGTTCAATTTTGGCTCCATATGCCTCATTGGCAGTGGCAAAGGGCCACAACAGGGTTATACTAACTGTAGTTTGTCACTTAAAGTTAGGATGATTACCCTCTAAATGACCCCGTCCCCGCAAACTTTGATACATTGTATCTTTTTTCAGAGACACCCCTTGATTCTATAACTTTGCAATCTTATGTAACTTTCCATGAAGAACAAAATGATATATAACATGATAGGGTGGCAATGCTACATGTATGAGTTTATGGGAGGGGGGAGTAAATACATATGAAACACCCTGTATAATGATATGATGTCCCCCAGTTATACAAGCCTCCTAATAAATATTTAGACTAGTAACATATTTATTGAGAAATAAAGTCATCTTGGAAAATTTGGATGTGGAACGTTCAATATCACACCTGTGAAAAACAGTATCATTTTTTCTGAAATGAGCTTATATCTACCCAGAGGTCCATATTCTAACTTTTAAAAAGGTTTTAAAAAGTGGTGTAAAAAAATGTGTTAAAAAATTGAGTTGTTTCATTTCTCATTTCATTCCCCTTGGATACAGAAAGCATGATTTAAATCTGTAGAACACCATTTTAATTGTTGTCACTCACATCGGTAACATGTAAGGTATAGGTTTTTCTCCAAAAACTTATTTCCAGGGAAGAAAATATTTTCATCATAGATCGCTACTATTTCTCAGAATTTGGTAGTATCTCCATCATTTCAAACCCTGATCTAATTGAACTGATTAACATTTATTTGATACAAAGTATCCACTATTGTCCTACATTGATATCCCATTAGGATTCTGCAATGATGCATTTATGACATAACATGTTAATGACCAAATGACCTCAAAATCTAGATATATAACCTAGTGTATTGATATTGACATGGTCAGACAACCACGTGACCAACCCTTTACATATTTAATATTAATGATGTTATAGAACAACGATACGGTCGCCCCACAAAACATTTTATGTTGCATAAAAAACATTTGGAAGTCTTATAGTTCGATATCTTTCATTAGGTTCGCATAAAATAGAACCCCACCCCGGAAATCCTGACAACAGCCCTGCATCAGTTCTGGGTACATATTTTATACATGTCTTGTAAATAAATGTCACCATTTGTGTTAATTGCAGGTATCCACCAATGATGAAAGCGTATACTCGGATGTCTACACTTTCCAAGATGTCGGACAAAAGGACCAAGTCAATTTCAACTTTGTGGCAGGGATGGTACCATGTATTAGGAACTTTATCAAAGACGTAAGAAAACATTCCAAGTTTTTATGAGAAGGAATTATCATAGGCTCTTGCCTTTTTCCAATTGATTTTGCAGTCAACATCTATTATGTTAATGAAAATTAAACATGAATGAATATTTTTAAAGAAAAAAAGATTGACATTATTCAAAGCAATATAGAAGTATAGATTAGTATAGAAGGATAAATCATTTTGAATTTCTGAATGTTTTGGGATTTAAAAAATCATAATAATATTGATATAACATATGTAATATTATCTCATTTTTCTGTTATATTGAACTGTTATGGCAGAATACACAGCACCCACTTTTTGTTTTTTATATTTAACCTTTCAGTGAGATGAAATATTGTTGAAATGATATTATTTCTTAAATATGATGATCATTTAAATTTTTCAGAGGAAAAAGAAAAAGCGACTTTCTGGAGCAAGAACTATAGAGATGTGTACAGTAAGTTATTGACATGATTTTTCCCCTTTAATATGCTCAACAACGAAATACGTTCATCTATCTCTCACCTGCCTAATCCAACACAGATAGATTATACTGTTCCTTTATCCCATAGTCCCATACCCATACCAGGTCAGACTCCTGCCAATCCCTTTCCAACACTGCCGGAGTGCAATAATCACTTGGAGATGCTACTTTGACTATTACCAAATTACATGTATTTTTTCTGTGGTGTATTATAATTCATCCATTACATAGGAATCCATTTTATGTTTAAGATATACATTTAGTTATTAAAATGTTCATTTTTTCACTTGTTCTAGGCATTCAATGAGATGAGACAGTTTATACTTCCCGATGGACAACCAAACAAAAACAGACAGAAGCTCTTCAGAAACTTAAGGGTATGTGCTGTTAAATTGATTGCAACGAATAAATAAAATATTTGTCAAATAACAACGTAGAATCAGATCAGATAAGAGCAATTTTAAGTTTTTACTGTGCAATCCATATTAGTGCTACGGCCAAGGCGATTTGTGTCCAAAACACCTAGATTCAATTTGACTTTAGATTCTTGTAGGGGACCCCAAGGCATGTAAAAAAAAGTTTGTGAACCCTTGCAAAGCAGGCTCAAAAGTGCTGAGTCAGCAAATTTTATCATTTTCGAGTCGGAGTTTGACCATATGCTTGAAACTATTTAATATCTCATTTCAGGGTGTTGCAATTGTAATGAAACATTGTTAGTATATCAATAAGGGATGTATGAAGAATTCCTGAAAGTTTGGGTCTTATCCAACAAAATTTGGTAGAGACATGGGATAATTTGTCCCTAAAAGTACATCATTTCTCCTCAAAATTTCTTAATCAGTCGATAGTTAATCCGTCTTTTAAAAAACAGTAAGGGCCTATGGTGTATAAAACCTGATTTAAAACTTCACTGATGATGTTAGCAAATATTTCTTGCATAAGTTTCAATAAAAAGTACAAGTATTTATTTTTTCTGATTTTTCTCTTTACCTTCCCCTAAAATTGCAAGAAAGGGGGCGTGGCACATAACACTTCAGTTGTTGAACTTGTTGCTAGGGTCAAATAGAAAATGTGTATCATTATAGCAAAAAGTGTTTTTCTAAATAGATCTTAACACTATATGTGACATCATGATATGCTAAACATATTCATTATCTACCATTTTATATTTTTACAGCTTATCATTGCCATACCCCATAAAACCGTTTAGGGTATGTGTGGTCAGCAATAGGTAATACATGTATGTGTACTTAAAACATTTTTCAAAATTGTATTTAAGATGCCATTCTATCCTAATGTTGTTCATGTCGTTATGGTATGTTAAGAATGAATTATGATGATAATATGTTATATTACACTCCCCATCATAAGTTTTGTAACTGTAAGTCCCCCTTTGAATCACTTATTAAAGCTTGTCATGCTGTTTGGCAATTTTAAACAAGACATCAAGCTTTTGGAATAAAGCAATAAGGAACAAAATCAAGGTTCAAACATTGACAGACCTTAATATGTAATCATATGAAAACTTGCAGTTGCAAACATTATAGAGGGGTGTATAAATATTATATGTGTCATAAATTGTTTAGTTGTAGAAACCTGAAGCCAAAGGAAATAATAGTGCCTTACATTCTCTCAAAGACAGTGATCAATTCCGTGGCACTGGGTTTGTTGACATTACTTATATGATATGTGACATTACGCGAGTTTGGTCCTAAGGCCAACATATTCCAATGGTGCAGAATCCCACTCGCCCCATCAAGTCCCACTATGCCATATCGAGTCCCACGAGACCTTGTTAACTTTGCCCCATGGAGTCTCATCGAGTCCCTCCATATCCCATCGAGTCTCACGGAAATGATGTAATTTAGTTTAAAAGGTTTTGTCAAGGTCATTTTGATCCCAAGTTAGCTGACACATCCCATGATCAAAAGTCCCACGATGCCCAATGGAAAGAATGAATAGGTTCATTCTCAGTGGGACTTCGCCAAATGATACCCAATCGAATCTTATGAGACTCAATGGGTCTTCATGGGGAAAATCCCAAGGAATCCGAAGGAGTTCCATCGGGCAAAGCTCAATGAAGTCCAACAGATTTCCATGAGGTCCCACCCAATGTTAAATCAATGAAGGTCCCACCATGCCGTATTGGTGTATGTTAGGCTTTAGCGAAGTAACTTCCTTCGTTTACATTCATCAAATCGTTAAAAAGGAAAAGTTGTCAAAACTTTGTAAGAGCGGGATTATTTGGACCGATTTCACTTGTCTGCTAAAGCTATTTTAGTTTTACACGAACTGAGCGGGCCAGTGCCATTCATATTCTTCAAATAAACTTTTTCTCCTGCATTCAATTCATGACTACATGTCACTACAGAATCCATAGGATCCTCAGGGATAAGCCATTCCATGGTCACTTGGCCTTGGATTGAATATCTTTAACTCGGGTGAATAGGTTTATAAAGGGGTTGATCCCAAGATATTATCAGTCAGTAGCTTATTACGTACTATAACAGTTAGCAGGGAACAAAAACTGGAACTTACTGTTATGTGGTAATCACGATACAAAAATATGTCATATTCCGCAATGAATATGGCATATTCACTTGCGGTGTATGACAGATTCACCTGCGGTATATGGCATACACAGTAACAAATGAGAATGTGATATGGAAGTACGCAATTGTCAATTGCTTAGATTGAACGAACAAGTTAAACATTATAAATTATTATAATGATTACTGAATCAACAGCACTGTGTATCAAATATATTAACTTAGAATATATTAACTTAGCAGAAGTATCAGTCACCAATCTTGTGCAATAAACTTACTCAATCAATCCAGGATTGATACATTAGTACTAGACGCACTAACTATAATCCAGCGTAGTTTTTCATTTAGAGTCGATTCTTGCAACCAATCAAATCAAGGCTTTCTGTTTCACGTTTTGGACTGCAGTATATGTCATACTCACCTGCAGTATATGGCATATTCCGCAAGTGAGTATGACATATTCCGCAGGTGAGTATCGGGTATTCACTGAAATCAATGTATCGCATATTCACTGCGGAATATTGCATACCCACCAGCAGAATATGCCATACACTGCAGGTGAGTATGGCATATTCACCTGTATCACAAATACTGCGCAATCATGAATGTATGCCATATACTGTGTAACACTTACTGTCGATCATGCTGCTCCAGGAATAATGATTCATCTGTACAAAGCATAATCAAGGTGGTAGAAGCAAATGAGAACCCATTTAAGATTGAAATTTTGATAATTAGCCATCTTGATTTTCAAGGTTTCAATTGCTCCAACTGTATAATAACATGGAAGTCGAAGATGCTAATAAGCTCCATTAAATGCTTACTATGGAGGTGATGACTTTGCTGGGGTTTCTTAACTCTTCTATCTACAGCTAGGGATACAATTATTTTCTGTACAAAGTACAATCAATTCCCTTGATACTATGTGAAGTATCGGGTGCTAGACTAGCAGTGAAACATTATCTCCAATTCCTTAGGGACAATAGGGGCGAAGCCAGCTTTGGTTCAATGGGGGTTTGATCGCCAAAACATTTTCGGTTTTCAGTCAGGGGGATGCAACTGTGGCATAAAAAAGGCTAAAAATTAAGATCTATCTTGAATTTTACAAATCTTGATTCAACTTCCTTCAAAATAGGGCTAGAAGCTTAAAATATAAAAAGCATTTTAAAACTCTTCTATCTCATGGTTATATTTTTATTGGTCATGGGGGGGGGGGGGGTGCGATCCCATTGCACCCCCTGGCTAAGCCTATGGACAAGATGTATTATTTTGACATAAACAAAACATACACATCTTGTTATGTTCTACAGACTACAACTAAACAATTTATGACATATATACAATACAAAGTGTGCAAACTGCAACCAGGCTCTGAGAAACTCTGGCTCTTAATCATTTGTAGTGTTACAATTTGTTATTATATAGCTAATTATTTGCAGCAACAATAGGAGTCCCGTTGCAGTTTACATGTTTACATGGACCCTATACTATAAAGCATGTACACCCCCTCCATAAATTTGGCAACTGGAAGTTATTATATGATAGCATATCAAAGTCTGTCAATGTTTAAAACTTGATTATGTTCCTTATTACCATATTTCAGATACTTCGATTTCATATGCCAAAAATAAACAGACTTTAATAAGTGATTCAAAGGGGTTTGAGTTGCCAAACCTATGATGGGAAGTGCTATCATTCATAAACATAAACTATAACTACATGAACAACATTTGGAAAGAATGGCACCCGAAATACAGTTTTGAAAAATGTTATTAGTACACATACATGTATTTCCAATTGCTGACCACACATGCCCTAAATGGTTTTATGGTTTATGGCAATGATAAGCTGTAAAAAATATAAAATGATAGATAATGAATATGTTTAGCATATTATGATGTCACATATTGTGTTAAGATTTATTTAGAATAACACTTTTTGCTATAATGATACATATTTTCTATTTGACCCTAGCAAAAAGTTCAACAACTGAAGTGTAAGGTGCCACGCCCCCTTTCTTGAATTTTTAAGGGAAGGTTAAGAGAAAAATCAGAAAAAATAGATGCATGCACTTTTTATTGAAACTTATGCAAGAAATATTTGCTAACATCATCAGTGAAGTTTTTAATCAGGTTTTATACACCATAGGCTCTTACTGTTTTTTAAATGACTGATTAACTATCGACTGATTAAGAAATTTTGAGAAGAAATTATGTACTTTTAGGGACAAATTATCCCATATCTCTACCAAATTTTGTTGGATAAGACCCAAACTTTCAGGAATTCTTCATACATGCCTTATTGATATACTAACAATGTTTCATTACAATTGCAACATCCTGAAATGAGATATTAAATAGTTTCAAGCATATGGTCAAACTCCGACTCGAGAATGATAATATTTGCTGACTCAGCACTTTTGAGCCTGCTTTGCAAGGGTTCACAAACTTTTTTTTACTTGCCTTGGGGTCCCCTACAAGAATCTAAAGTCAGGTTGAATCTAGGTGTTTTGGACACAAATCGCCTAGGCCGTAGCACTATATTGAATTGAAAAATGTTTGTACTCTAAAGTATGAAATATTTGAAAATTGCTTGAATAGAACATATCTTACTGTATTTATTTAGATGTATTTGAAAATTGCATGAATAAAACATGTATGTATTTTACAGATGTATTTGAAAATTGCATGAATAAAACATATTTTATTCTTAGTACGTATACCTCAACTGAAATACTCGATTCTGATTGGTTGATTAGCGGTCAACAATATACAATTATTGACCTCTCCAGAGGTTTACTGTCAAAATTATATCCCGAGACTGTAAACCGAGACCGTAGGTCCAAGTTTACAGTCGAGGCATATAATTTTGACAGTAAACCGAATGGAGAGGTCTATAATTGTTTTGTTAGTCCGAAGAATATCTTAGATTTTTCTGACCCTTGAAGTTGACTTGAAGTTGGATCCAGACCCTCGAGACGTTCATGTTGTATTTCAAACACAATATGCTATTTTGATATTATAATCATGAAATAATTTATTTTGATGCCTTGAATTCAGACTTGGTAATGTCCATCTTAAGTGTCTCTCTGATGTATCGTGCCACTCTCCATTTAAGAAGCTGAAATGATTTCAACTTATAAAGTCCACCGTCTTTTTTTCTAATACCAACGTAAAACTTTTTCAAAAAATTATCTACATCTGCCACGGCAGTAAGTTCACTCAATGGAGTCAAATTACTCTCCTGGGCGAAGTCCACTAAAAGTTTTGTACAAAGTTTTAGATTTTTCTTCGTATTTTGACTGTCTTTACTCTCTAAGAGACTAATAATATCCTCATCTTCAACATTTTTGAAACGGCTAGTGCTAGCGGCGGCCATTTTATCGTTTGATAATGACGTCATTTTAGTGGAATGCTGGGAATATTATTCACCGGCAATGCATTGCGCGGTGTACAGTTAAAATTATTCACCGCTCGTTGACCAATCAAAATTGAGTATTTCAACTGAGGTACTAACAATATGTACTGTTGACCGCTACTAGGTACTGTTGACCGCTACTTTTGAAAAAAAAAGTTTCATGACGTCATAATATTTACAGAAAAAACATGGTAGACGGACATTTCGTAAACGTTGATGAAAGTGATATTTTTTGACTTTACTAGACTACAAGTATAGCAAAAATACAAATAGAAGCGTAAAATTAACATTAATTTACTAATGAGTATGCCGTGATGTGCCGAATACAGAGAGTCTGGAGAGGTCAACAATTGTATACTGTATTTACTTAGGTGTATTTGAAAATTGAATGAATAAAACATATTTTACTATACATGTATTTATCAATGTATTGCAGTTGATTGACATGATCGTGGAGATGTTACAGTGTCCAATGAAAGAAATCCCAGACAAGGGACCCCTGACTCAGGTTTTCAAGTCTGCCTACACTGTCATTAATGCCTATCTGGAGGGTGGAAGTAGAAAGAATTCACTCTATGTGGCGCAGTTTATTGACTTCTTTCAGTCTCAGATGACCCTTAGGGTAAATATTTTCTTGGTATATCATATAGTTGTATCTAAACATGCACATTTCATCTACCTTTTGCTATTGTTCTTTGTTGTACTTGGGCATTTGTTTCTTTTTGCTCTAAATACTTGCATAATGCTTTATTTCTTTACAGGGGGAAATTGGGTTAAATGTAACCCAGATGTTAGCAGAGTTGATACGTGACAGTGAGAAGATTGTAAAGCGTGTCAACTTTAGTCAGATTGAGAAAATTCTTGCACTGTTAAAGAACAACTCTGTGAGTAGTACACATGTACATAGAATATAATGATGCTCTGTATATTATATGATATTAGTGAGTAATACATACCATAGAAACTTGTGTTTCAAACTAATTGGCATATCTGTTGACATAACTACATATTGCTTGGATGGATTAGGGTCTGTGGTACACTTGTAATAGGTCAAAGTTTGGTCACCTATGATATTTTTCTAAATAACAGAGTTGAATCAAAACTAATAAATGAACACTTTTAATAATTGTCTTATTTTACAACATTGATAACATTATCTTTCAACTCATCATTTTCAGAACTATCGCTACCTTGACCTCCTCAGTTCACTCTGTGTTTGTAATCAGCGTCCAATACGACACAACCAAAACTTCATCGCAGAACGATGGCTTAAACGCGACAAGAGCCTCTTTTTGACATCCAGAGGGCAGTCAATCAAACGCCAGATGAATGTGATCTATGTTTCATGGGATAACGGCAAGAGTTGGACTCCAGCAAGGGAGGTTATTGACGAAACATCCGCTGACTACAACAGGGACAGACATATGTTCTTCAAGTACCAAGTGGAGCTTTGCAGACAGCTGTGCTATGTAAGTAAACTCACGTGTCAGTTTTCCAAAACGAGCACATTTTTGATCAATGAGTTCTACTGTTACGGACAATGTTGTCATAGTAACATATTGCAAGGCACTTTGATTTTAAGGTAACGGTATTTTACTTTATAGCAAAAGTTTATATGAAGATTAGATTACTAAGGCGAACACTTCTGTAACATGAACACTTTACAAGCCAGATTTCTATTTTCTCATTGGCTTTCATATTTTAAAATTCACCTCTCTAAGATGAATATTTCCTAAACTCGACCAATATATTCATTGCCCTTATAGTGTTAACTTTAAGGGGTTTGCTGTATGTTGCAGATGTACACTGTAGTTCATTATTAACTGAAATAGAGAAAAATTAATATCCTATTTCAGGGACGTAACATGGAGGTGATTCGGTTGATAACCTATGAAATGAACTACCTTGGCTGGGAGGAAGCGTTCATTGCACTAGAATCCACACAGCTTCCTGATGAAGTGAGAGCAGAATATTGCAGGATCATTATAGGTAAATATTCATATATTTTGGCAGGCTGACCAAACTTGTTTAATAAAAAATGCTTCAAATTAATTGTAGTTTGATGATGTGTACGTTTCTTTCCAATTTTCTAGAAATCTTAAAAAAAGAATTTTGTTGTAGGTATAAAATATTTTGTCTTTCTCAAGATGTCTGAATTTGGCGAGAAACTGGTAGATTTGACATTGAATTAGTGATTTAAGTAATTTTGCCCATAATTGAGTTTATACCTTACTAAACTTAAGTTTATACCTAACTTATTATTTTTCCTTTGGAAAATTCCTTAGAAAAATAAAGGATTCTTTTTCTTTACAGACATGTTTGTGGATGTTGGTGACAATTACCCTGTGGTTGAGTATGCTAATGTGGCATTTGCCTTCGATGACATTGGTATGGAGGAAACAAAACCTAGGGTTTCACAGGTAGAAATAGTCTTTAATTTTCAGTTGTATTTTTAATTTCATTGACAACCATTATCATTTTTGTAACTTTAAGAGCCAAAACAAATTCTTATCATCTTGATTTGGAATTACATTTCATGAAAATCAAAAAGGAATTGAAATTACATTTGATATTATTCTTGCTTCGAGACTTCGTGCAAGATTAAAACATGTGATGTTCTTGACAAATAGATTAACGAACCTATCATATTTCACTTAATATAGAGAATTTGGCATTTTTTACTTCTGTAGAGTATAAAAGAGTGTTATATGGAATAAATGTTGTTTTCCAGACTGTTGCTCAATTTGGAGGATCTATTGCAGTAAGTTAATCTACATTATTTTCTTACAATAATTTTTTTCTTATAATTTTTTTCTTATAATTTGATTGATAGTTTGATCTTATATTTTTTCCGTTTCTGTTATTGTAATTATCCCACATGAAAACGTTATGGGTGTTGGTAGTTTGATGGCTCAGAGTGCAGGTGACCTTGAATTTGAAAGAAATACAAGATCAGATTGGATACCAAACACAACAATTTGTCACGAAAGCATTCTTAAATGTTGAAAATCTATTCTTGCTGGATGCTACCGAAATGTAGAATTCTTTTAAATATGAATTCAAACTCCAAGCATGTCATTCAATGCAATTGTGCCTTCTTTGTCTCTGCAGACTCCTGACTCTCCAATGAATTCCAGATGCTTTATGCTATGTTAATTTTTCAGACTTCAGGAGACTTGATGACGGTGTTTCCAGTGGTACATGACTGGATCTCTAACTTCCTTGAAGAGAATCAGGAGATGATTGCCAGTGAAACTGGAAGAAATAAACTCATTGCTCAAGTAAGAAATTCACTGCAAAATGACAGTCTTGCATATCTGCTTGAGCCCTGTCTGTGCTTGCATATGACATGGGCTTTCAATAATTCTAGTTGAAAGCCCATGCATATGATAAATGCATTGCTCAAATAAGATACTTAATACTGTACTAGGGTGTTTCACTTTTCAACTTTTTTTCCGGATCAAGATGGAGTTTTGCCCGGCTGGTCAAGCAAGCACAAAAAATTTCAGTTGAATCCGTTGACGTTTAGACCTCCCCCTACCACATTTTCTGATGCCCATTCGCTACCATGTTAATAAAAAAAGTTGAAAAGTGAAACACCCTATATACTGTACATTGTAGGTATTACGGTTGCTATACAACCTCATAAAGTTTGGATACTATGGTGACGTAGAAGAGATACATAAATTACAAAAACCGTTGCTACACCTACTCGATGGTCGCCATGACAAACCCTTTCCTAAAGACAAGGCAACAGGTAGATGTAATTAAGTTCATTTTCTTCGAGTGCATGTGCGTAAAATAGTCTGTTATTTTTTGTGAATACATGATAGTTCAATATTGCAAAATGTACCTTTTCAAGAGAATATCATTGATGCTCTTCCAGGATCTGGATATTCAAAAGAGGCGAAAAAAGCGGTGAAATTATACCAAGATAAAGACCGCTATGAAGCAGACAAAGACAATCGTGTTATTATGGAGGCCAAGTTTCAAGCAATGGAAGTCTTGGATATGATCTTCAAATACCAGAATAAGACACGCTTGGATGCTTTCATAGTTTACTTCAAAGAAACAGAGCTGTCTTTGGCGGTTAAGAAGAAAAAACATCCACTGAGTCCGCTGTTGTTTGAGCAGTTTGATCCCTTGGATACCAGCTCGTAAGAATTTTTCAGTTTATATACTGTAGGCTATCTGAGAATGACTGAAGATATATGAGGGTTATGTTATGGGAGGTTTTGGATATGGGGTATATCCCGAGGTAAATATTGATATCTTACCGAGGTCCCGGAGGGCACGAGGTAAGATATCATATTTCCCGAGGGATATACCCCATATCCAAAACCGAGCATCACATAACTAATTTATCCTATGACAAGTGACTTTTATCTATGAGACATTGATTATTCCCTCAACTGATAAATTGAAAATATTTTGAACTTTTTAAACTAATGTTGATTTTATTTGTCGTTTATTTGACGTTTTGGTTCAAGAAAATATCTACCGCCGTCTGCTTCCATTTTGGTAGTTTCGCTATAGTGAGATATTCTAACGAATTTTGACTGTTTCTACACCGAGCGAAAACGTTTTCCCGGGAATATTGGTGCGGGAGATATATACAGCGGGATATATATATATATGTCCCGCTCCTCCAAGATATCGATTTTATATCCCGCTGTTATGTGCCTGAAACCTCACTTGTCATAGGATAAGTAAATATATACTCTACATTTAATGGTTATGTTCACCGAAAGATTTTTTTTTCAGACAAATAATTTTTGTTTTCTGAAAAACAATGACCATTTTTTCCAGCAAATTAATTATTGTCTTTTCAGGAAAATGAAACGTCAACAAAAGAGGGCATTTGGTGTCATCAAAGATGTATTTGACAAGTCAGCGTACTTCAATGAGGCGCAACTTACGAACATTCTCCTGGTATGTTAAGAATAAATTTGAGACACATAATTAAATAAGAAATGAAATATGTTACTCATTCTGAATTGACATTGGAATATAATGCGGGTAACATTTTTTTGCTCACCATGTTTGTCACAAATCTCCCTAAATTTTTGAATTGTAATATAAGACCAGGCTTTTGAGGTCAGAGTAAAACACTCTCTGCAATAGTTGGAATCATTGTATTGCATTTAAATCCAGTGTCCCCATACATTGTATATTGAAATATACCCAATTGAACACTTTCTCAAAATCTTGTAATAGGTTGCAGTAATCACCCTAGTATTACAGCAGGTGGGTGCTGCATCCTGAAAATCTATGTGCACCAACAATAATGAAAATATCAGCATATTTTGACCAGATTTGGTAGATAATTTGTGAAAAATAGAATTTTGCATCCACTTGATAAAAATCTTGAAAGAATATTGGACTGTAGACGAGTGATTTTTTCAGGATTTGGCAAACTACAAACAGGACAAGATGGTAACAAAGGCTTTGATGATGCTTACAAAATTCTATTCTTCAAAGACTGACATGTTTACCAAGCTTACTACCACTCAGGTAATATATAAAATTATATTCGGCGATATTTTTTTATTAACGAGTTGTGATCTTTACTGATTATTCTCGACAGAAAAACCGGGATTATTCAAACAACTCTTAATTAATTTTCAAGGGTTTTATTGTTTCCCCCGAGCAATACCAAAATTATATTTTAATTATATACATAGAAAATAAATATGAGATGTAATTTTTGTGAATCTCTGATAGAGTAGGCAACAATATAATATGAGCAGTAATGTCTTCTTGATTTTCAGAATTTTATACCCATGTAATGCTAATTCTGTGTTGAATATTCTCTCAGGTATTCACTACACTTGATTCATGTTCAGTCCACAGAGAGGTACAAAACCAAAACCCATTGTTACGTAACCTCTCAAGGATCCGCCTCAACGACAAACAGGCATTCAAAGTTGAAGAAATATTCTTCAGATATCTCGAGTAAGTATTTTAACTAATTACATGCACTGACTATATCTCCATATTTAGTAAGCTCCCAATCCGCTCCACGAAGTCCAAAAAATATCGAGATAAGACCAATTGACCATACACAAAAAGACATATTCATTTATTGGATGTACTTTATAATACCATGAATCATTGTTGATGCCCCGAAGGGCAGGTTTTGCAACCAATGATGTATATGATGTACATATACATGAAATTATATTATGATAGTTATCAATTTAAAATAAATGATCATTTTCTGCATATTTACTTTGATGTTTCTATTTAAGATGCTGTTCATTCAGAGATGACCCAAATATTGGACATCCAGTGAACCAGAACATCATGCTTTGTCATGGTGTCCTTGACCTTCTCTTTACAATGCTTACCATGGACTATGACACGATAGTAAGTCAAATTAAGGCGCCTTTTTGGTTGATTTTTTTTGTTATTAAAGTCTTATTTCGTTATTAAAGTCTTATTTCTTAATTGTTGACGAAATATCAATTTCCTATATACAAGTTGCAAGTGTGAGCTTAATTTTAGCTTAATTTTATTGTATTTTTACATTTTAAAAAAGAATGGTCAATTTGTGATTGGTATACACACAATTATGAAGCATCATAATAACTGCTCATGGGTCACCCTGTATTCAATATTGGTTAATATTACTTTAATATTACTTTATTCCAGTCAAAACCCCAGAGGTCAATGAAGGTGATGGGACACCCTGTATTCAGTACTGGTTAATATTACTTTATTCCAGTCAAAACCCCAGAGGTCAATGAAGGTGATGGGACACCCTGTATTCAGTACTGGTTAATATTACTTTATTCCAGTCAAAACCTCAGAGGTCAATGAAGATGATGGGCCTTAAGCTGTTGAGGGGGCTGGTAAAGGGGAATGACGAGATCCAAAACAAAGTCTTTAAAAAGCTGGGACAACTCCTTGAAATCCCTCATGTTGAGAGTCAACTGGCGGTCACACTCAAACAGGTAGGTCACGTGGATTTCTTATGCGATAACACTCAAACAGGTAGGTCACGTGGACATCTTATGCGATAACACTCAAACAGCTAGGTCACGTGGACATCTTATGCGATAACACTCAAACAGCTAGGTCACGTGGACATCTTATGCGATAACACTCAAACAGCTAGGTCACGTGGACATCTTATGCTTACTAAAATTAAGTGTTATGACCATTAAGTTAATGAAGAGATTTCCCCAAAATAGGTTCTTGGATCTTAATTAATATCTTGTAGATGACCTCACAGACAGATAGGGCTTCTTGTGTCAAATAGAGTCATGTTAATGGTGTTTAAGGTGTCATGTTAAGGGTGTCATAAAGGACAATTTAAGAAATCCCAAAGTAGGTTATCGTGTTAAACCACTGACAAATACATGTCTATGATTTTATAAATGTTTTTTATCGCACTTTGAAAAAGTGCTATATTGTCGTCGTCTTGTGCTGTTGGGCGGGCGGGCGGGCGGTCGGGCGGGCGGGACATAAACCACATCTTGTCATCAAATTTCAAGGATAACTGCTTACCTGTTCAACTTGAAATTTTTACAGATGCAAGAGCAGACTAGTACCAAGATCTGATTAGGTTAAGGGCATGCTGGGTAAACTACGTGGCGGCCATTTTGAATTTTTTAACAAATCTTGTCATCAAAATTCCAGGAAAACCACTTATCCGTTCAACTTGAAATTTTTACAGATGCAAGAGCAGACTATTGCCAAGATCTGATTAGGTTTTGGGTATGCTGGCTGAATTACATGGTGGCCATTTTGAATTTTTCAATTTGGCGGCCATTTTGAATTTTTCAACTTGCTCCAAATTGACTAAATTTTTTTTTAAAAACATCTACAAGTTCTCAGAAGTTCAAACCTGACCTTAGATTTCAGATTTGACCTTTCATTCACCTTCAGTGACCTTGAAAAGGTCAAAAAAGTTGATTTTCTAAATTGATATTTTGGATTTAAATTTAGGTCAGCTTAATTACAAAACACCTACTGAGGTCTGAAAAAGTGAAATTTTCAAGGTCGAAGGTCAAGGTCATTAAACTAGGTCACAAATGATGTTATCCAAGTTTCTCAAAGTTTGAGACTACAAATCAATTCTTGTCATCAAAATTCCAAGAAACCCGCAAACCTGTTCAACTTGAACTTTTTACACATGCAATAGCAGACTAGTGCCAAGATCTGATTAGGTTAAGGGCATGCTGGGTAAACTACGTGGCGGCCATTTTGAATTTTTCAACAAATCTTGTCATCAAAATTTCAGGAAAACCACTTATCCGTTCAACTTGAAATTTTTACAGATGCAAGAGCAGACTATTGCCAAGATCTGATTAGGTTTTGGGTATGCTGGCTGAATTACATGGTGGCCATTTTGAATTTTTCAATTTGGCGGCCATTTTGAATTTTTCAACTTGCTCCAAATTGACCAAATTTTTTTTAAAAAACATCTACAAGTTCTCAGAAGTTCAAATCTGACCTTAGATTTCAGATTTGACCTTTCATTCACCTTCAGTGACCTTGAAAAGGTAAAAAAAGTTGATTTTCTAAATTGATATTTTGGATTTAAATTTAGGTCAGCTTAATTACAAAACACCTACTGAGGTCTGAAAAAGTAAAATTTTCAAGGTCGAAGGTCAAGGTCATTAAACTAGGTCACAAATGATGTTATCCAAGTTTCTCAAAGTTTGAGACTACAAATCAATTCTTGTCATCAAAATTCCAAGAAACCCGCTAACCTGTTCAACTTGAACTTTAACACATGCAAAAGCAGACTAGTGCCAAGATCTGATTAGGTTAAGGGCATGCTGGGTAAACTACGTGGCGGCCATTTTGAATTTTTCAACAAATCTTGTCATCAAAATTCCAGGAAAACCACTTATACGTTCAACTTGAAATTTTTACAGATGCAAGAGCAGACTATTGCCAAGATCTGATTAGGTTTTGGGTATGCTGGCTGAATTACATGGTGGCCATTTTGAATTTTTCAATTTGGTGGCCATTTTGAATTTTTCAACTTGCTCCAAATTGACCAAATTTTTTTTTAAAAAACATCTACAAGTTCTCAGAAGTTTAAATCTAACCTTAGATTTCAGATTTGACCTTTCATTCACCTTCAGTGACCTTGAAAAGGTCAAAAAAGTTGATTTTCTAAATTGATATTTTGGATTTAAATTTAGGTCAGCTTAATTACAAAACACCTACTGAGGTCTGAAAAAGTGAAATTTTCAAGGTCGAAGGTCATCAAATTAGGTCACAAACAATGTTATCTAAATTTTCCCAAAGTTCAAGACTACAAATAAATTCTTGTCATCAAAATTGCAGGAAAACCGCTAAACTTGTCAACTTGAAATGTTTACAGATGCAAGAGCAGACTAGTGCCAAGGTCTGATTAGGTTTTGGCCATGCTGGGTAAATTGCATGGTGGCCAGTTTGCTCTTCAAAGTGCGATATTTATCACTATGTGTCTTGTTTTTCATTTCTTGTGCATTCTCCAAAATCAATTCATCATTTAAATTATAAATTCATTTGTTGTTGTAGGTGTTTGTAGCTAACCAGCAGATATGTATCAAAGTAGTGCCCCAGCAGATCAAATCAATTATTCAGCTTGTCTGCCAACACCGCCAGAATGCACCTGAATTCCTTTATCTACTAGCAGCCATTGTAAAGGTAGGAATGAGGTTATTGGAAGCAATCACTATTGCTTTAACTCAAAGTGTCTGTCAGTCCATCCGTCTGTCCGTCTGTCTTCCAGAAAATAACTTTAATACAAGACTGATTTTCTTCATATCACCAGTATTTTCTTGAACTAAAAACACCATAAAAACAATCATCATTAATAATCAAACCATCACATGCATGTTTCTTTAAATAAAAACAAATGCCAACATTTCCATATATTAGTGAAATTACAACTTTTTTCTTGTAGGTGGAAGGTCTTGATCTGTGCTTAAAACGGAACCAGTCAATTGTGATGAAATACCTCATGATGAATTACAGCAAGATATTCTACATGTTTGAGAAACCTTATGAGGAGAGGTATATATATCATTATGGCATCCCATTTTAACTTATTGATAACCTGTCTGGCTTGGGCCAAACCTTAGTTTACATTTTATCCCATTTTCAATATCAGGCATATTATCCAATAATTAGTAAAAGCTATAGGAGTAACAGTTAGGTTTTACATGTGTTATATTGTACATGTGTTATATTGTACATGTGTTATATTGTACATGTGTTATATTAATATTGTACATGTTTCATGGTGTACATGTGTTATTTTGTAGGGAGAAGATTCTCATGAACAAGTCAGGCCCTGTTAAGTTGAGATACCTCATAGGACTTGTTGACCTGCTCTCTACATGTGCTGAAGTAAATATCATTGAGTTCAATATTTACTAACTCCTTTAACAGTTTAAGTCTTCTATTCACCATAATCCTGTGTAACTATTTTACTGTAAAATGTTTTTACAATATAAATCAGATGTTCACTCAAGTCATTAGAAGTGAAAGACATCATTATAGAACCTGTAAAATACCTGTACAAATACCAGTGGAAATGCAATAAAATAGCTGTAAATGTACATTAAAGAACTACTAAAAAGAGAGCAATAATGAATATATAAAAATGAATAAATTCATTTTAGGGTGAGAGCAGATATATTGAGTCTCTCTGCCAGTCCATCTTACCTTTGGATGAGATTCTCCTTGTGCTCAACAATCCTGATGTACAGTGCCACCTAAAGAGGTCCTTCCTGCAGTACATGCTGAATGTCTATATGAACAGTGGCTCAAGTATCATAGAGTCTGGTGCAGCAGAACTTTCACATCAAGAGTAAGACTTGAAAACATTTTTCTTATATAACTTTGGGATAAATTCATGGAACCAGGAGTTGTTTTGAGGGTACATGGAACTCTGAGACAGATATGGATATTGACAAGGGGAGGGTGGGGACAAAACATATTTGCTTTTGTGGTTGCATCTATGTATTTTAATCCATTGATTCCAGTTCTCTGTGGTCATACCTGACTGAACTCTGCAGCCAGATAGATTCTATGTCAGAAGCAGTGAAGTCAACTGATAGAGAGGAACTTAAAAGCATGCTTAAACTACATCCATCTCACCGGTTAGTTTTCCCATTTGTGTTTTATTATCAGCAAATATTTGATTGATTCATTTCTCAAGCTTAGTAGGGATGTACGATTCAAAAAATTTAAAATCAGAATTTATTTGTATAGCAAGATCAGTGTTGCATTGTGATATTTATAGTGTACAATGTATATCATGTGTTAGACTCTACATACGATATTAATACAATACCAAGCTATCATATTCATGTTCCTTCTGACCAAGTTTGAACAAAATTCACCAAGAAATAATTTTTTTAGATAAAACAGTGGAGAACTTTTGGATCAACCCTCGTATATGTATGTTTTTAGGATGAAAGATACTGAGAATATAACAAATGCTGCACTGCATGACAAACTGTGGTTCATGCTAGATGGAGCCATGCCTTTCCTCAGGGTAGGTTGATGATTTCACTACATTTATGTTGAACCAAAAAGTATACATATTTTGTGAATCTAAACTATCAACAATGTTGCAGTGAGTTGGAATATGTAATTAGAAATCATGAATTACTCTAGTTGATAGATAATAACAAACAAACAAGGTATTTACACAGTACTTGAAGTGAAAGATGATTCAAATATGACAATTGCAATACATACTATTTGTTTGAAATTTGCAATAAATTATTGTTTCATTTATATTTGCAGACATTTTACAGCAATTTCTTCTCTGCAGATGTAGATAATTATGAAGCAGAAATAGAAGTCACTGAGCGGATTGCTTTGTTACTATTGGTAGGTATTGAAGGAGGTCGTTTCAAGTTGTGTCAATTTACAGCCAAAAATGTTGGTTGATTAACTGAAGGTCTGACAGTAAAAGTTAGTTCACCGAGAGAGAGTATTACTAGTTTCCCATAACTCAGGCCATGAATCCTCTCAAGTACATTATTCTGTAATTGTAATAAAACATGTTCAGTCATATTAGAAATTGTGTGATGCATTAATGTCTGTAATCATTAAATGTTTTGAAGAAAGTATGTGGGGCACTATAAAATACAATTACTTATATATACCACTATATATTGTAGAAACTATGTGAAGGGATTAGAACTTGTGTGACAAACCCATCCCATTTGAAGACAATCATGATGTGTGTGACAACCGTGGCAACTGTATCTTCTATACCAACAACTGTAAGTAATAACTAAATATTTCCTCAAATATTTCAGTTTGGTTTTTCATTTACCAAGCTATTTCTCTCAAAAGTTCTCTATCTTTAGTCCAGCGTGTCTGTTCATTATATTCAATCTTGTATATTATTGTTTTGCTTTAGGAAACTGAGGCATTTGCTAGGTCGTTTGCTACTTTAGACTGGGTCAATGCAGAGGAGGCTGGATTTGTGAGTAGAAATTGTTTTATTTTTTCCAATAATTTTGCCTATTGTTTTCATTATTTGCTTTTTAGTTTGTTCTTTGAAATTTTAATGAAACGCATGTATAACTTCACATCTGATTATTCCATGAATTTGCTCCATAGGGTTCCAGTCAGGTACAGTACTACAAGGATGAGATAGCCCTGAACAACAGGCTTAGAATGTTCAGTATGAATGCCAGTCTTCTCTATGGAGGACACAACACTGTAAAGGCTCAACTTAAGATAAACGGAAATAAAAGAGGTAAGGATTATTGATTCTAGGTCTTAGAAAATGTCATGTATTCCAAAATATTTTAATGATTAAATCTAGAAAGTTGAGAATGAGAAAAAATTCTTCATCAAAAGGAGATTCTATGCCACAATGTCTGTATTTGCATAAATTTTAACTGCCATTTTGTATCCCAGAATACACTGAGCTTGGTGGAGACCAGCAGCTCCCTCTTGGAGAGGAATTCCAGAATCTGGTAAAAAGTTTTCTAAGTCAAGATCCAAAGCATCACAAGCATGTAAAGAAAAAATATGCTCCAGCCGCAAAGCTTATACAACAACTCGAGTGAGTAAAGCAATCACAGCCTATATTTAGCAGTATTGATAGTATTGTGCATAAAATTGTACATAAAATATCTTAACTCTAAATAATAATACAAAATTTAATGGTTTTATATGATAAATTCACTCTCTTGTGAAAATGGTTTTATATGATATATTTCCTCTCTTGTGATAATGATTTTATGTGATATATTCCCTCTCTTGTGATAATGATTTTATACGATATATTCCCTCAATTATGATAATGATTTTATGTGATATATTCCCTATCTTGTGATAATGATTTTATGTGATATATTCCCTCTCTTGTGATAATGATTATATATGATATATTCCCTCAATTATGATAATGATTTTATGTGATATATTCCCTATCTTGTGATAATGATTTTATGTGATATATTTCATCTCTTGTGATAATGATTTTATGTGATATATTCCCTCTCTTGTGATAATGATTTTATACGATATATTCCCTCAATTATGATAATGATTTTATGTGATATATTCCCTCTCTTGTGATAATGATTTTATGTGATATATTCCCTCTCTTGTGATAATGATATTCCATCAATTAGGATGTATTGACTTCATACATGTTGATGTATTTTTGTAGGATATCATCCAAGTATTTAAGCGAGATGAATGAGGCTGAAGCCCTCTTGAACACCCGCTGTTTACAAATCCTTAGTGCAATGATACACAATGAAGAACGCAAGCTGCCTGAAGATTATGAAACAGACATTCAAAGACATCAAATGTAAGAAATCATGAGCTCCTCAAAAATATCACAGATAGCTATATGTTTAAACTGATAATGGTCCCATAGATAGAGTGAAGAATGTTTGATGATGATGAATTGTAACTATGATGTTATTCAGTATTAGTCAGCTGTAGAAAGGCCCTTGTTTAATTCCTGTAGTTCTGCATGAAAAAATAGCAATCTTTAAAAAAATACAAAACATCATTTTTACATTGCTTAAAATAGAGCCTTTCAGATTGCTTGATAAATTAACCACATATCTGTCATCTTTATACAAAAGTACCACCTTGTTCTGCCATTTGGTTGTTTAAACTCACTTTCTTGGTATTTTCTGATTTCTTCTACTTTATCACTCCCCTTTTCTTAATTTTAGCCAACTGGATTACATAAGAGAAGTGCAGTCTGTGTTAAATGATATGAAAGGCACAGTGAATTGTCTGCCACAGCTGGGCAGCACTAATGTAGAACTAGTGAGAGAGACACTAAGCTTTCTGGCTCTCTCACTGTTCAATGCAAATAGGACTGTACAGGTACAAAATAAAAGTCGTATAAGGATATAGAGTTCTTCATGATTTAAAGCGGATTTTTAGTGGTTCCCAAGCTAATTTTTTAACTCTGTAGTTGTGCTTTGATTTTACAATGAAAACAGTTTATAACTACATCAACTAAATATTTAAGCTAAGTAATCTTAGCTTGTCAGTTGTATGAAAACGTAAAATTGTTGTTTTTTGTAGGAAACTTTGATCCACTTCTTTGAGAATACAAGAGAGGAGTCTTTCTTTGCTGCTGTGCGGACACGCATCCATAGATCTGGTGAAGCTATTAAAGAAAGTAGGGCATTACTGGCCCAGCAAAGGTAGGATATTCAAATTATTTCCAGTTTTCATGTAATAGCAAGGAAAGGTATGAAAAATGGACATTTTTGATCCACCGGGTGCAGACGTCTTACATTGTCACATTTACTTTCATTTTCTAGGTCACGAAAGAAAGAGTCGAACTTCCAAGCAATTAACATGCGTCAAGGTCATGGCTCAGCCAGACGGGCTTTTCAGAATATTCAGCAATATGAACAGGCTTTAAAGAAAAATGTTTTCAAAATGATGGTAAGTTGTAAGAAACTGATAGTCAATTTCAGTTATAAGAGTTTTTTTAGTGTTGTTTACTTGTTTACACTGTAGACTAAGGGATAGCCTAGGCACCTGTCTTTTATAATAGGTCCATGTAATGCTTCAACCAAGTAGACATATCAACTATATCTCATGTTTAGGATTGGCATGCATTCACATTTTTATCCCAATGAACAAAGTTCAGCAGGGATATAGTGAAGCCCTCCGTCCGTTTGTCCATCCGTTCGTCCATCCGACAGATAACTCGAATACTAGTTGCCAGATTTTTTACATATTTGGTGGAAAGATGCATATTGGTGAATAGTTTTACACAAAAAAAATTTCAAGATGGCTGCAGCTTAAAAATGGCAGGAAGTTTTTGCAAAAATCAAATGTTTTTCATTTTAATTGTAGCACAATTTCAATTTTTGTGATAAGACCGGTTTTCCTATTATATGGCCAGGCTCAAATATTGTTATTTGAAATTTTGGTAGTACATGTATATTCATAACATCTATCTATTTCGTATATATTTAGCGTTTTTTCACCCTGACCCCAAGGGGCCGTGAATGGGGGGTTGGGAAAACAGAAATTTGTGTTAATTTTGAGATGTTTTTGAAGTATTGTAGCTTTATAATGCTCAAATGAATTTAGAGTAGATTGCAAATATGGTATCGTTTTTCTGATTTGGGCCTCATAAAATTCAAAATGGCCGCCTCATGTGGGATTTCGCAATACTTTTCTGATCCCTTTGGAATATGGCTATATTATACTCAAATTGAAGGAATTGTAGAGTAGATCAAAATTATGGTATCATTTTCCTGATTTGTGCCTCAAAATGGCTACCTAGAGCATGAATTCGCCATTACTTAGAGATATCTTTAAAGTATGGTTATATGATACTACAATGATCTCAAGTATTTATTGAAGGGAAGAATAGATGGTAATTTTTTTTTATTTTTCATTAAAACATCATAACATTTGTACATATTCGTGGTCGTGACACCTACATAGTTATATAATTGACCACATTTAAAATCATTAATCTAAGATTTTCAAGTGCTTGAAAGTTTAACACAACATGATACTGGGTAAACCATAATTTGTCTCATGAATTAAAAACATTGGTAAAAAATAATGTACAACAAAGAGGATGGAATCAACTTACGTTTGCTGAACATCAAAATCAGTACTTTGAAGATGTGTCATCTTTAAATAGGCTTTTTAGTTTATGAGTATTAGGAATTTTGTTCCAGATAATTTCACCTTGTACACTAAAACTGTATCTTAAATAATTGGTTTTGAATTTTGTTACATGAACTTGTTCATTCTGTCTAGTGTTGTGTTGATGAACACTATTGTTTTTGTCAAAGAAGTCTATAAAAATGTCACTTGGAAAAGAATCGGGTCTGTTAATACATTTGTAAGTTAGTTGTAGAATATTAAGGTCATATCTTAGAATTTTAAATTGTTTAAAGAATGGCCTGGTATGTTCCCTATTTCTGCTATAAGTAATAATTCATTAAAAAAACTTTTTTTGTAGTTGAAATATTGAACTCGTTGCAGTTTTGCCTGCAGTACTACATGTTCATTGTAACTGCTCAGATTCATGATTTATGATTTATATAGTGTTCGTTGGGATTTGCTACTCCGTGGAGTTGCCGATTTCTAGTTAAACATGATTAACTTTTGTAACATTGGAGTCAAAGGGAAGACAAAAAATTGGGACCAAAGTTTTCTTCGAAAATAAGACATGTGTTAAGTTATGTATAGTAGGTTCATTTACCTTTAATTTCATTTTTCAAACTTTTTCAATTTTGATAAAAAATATTCAAATACTACTGTTCCAGGGAATTAAAGGAAAGTCATTTAAGAAAACTGAATTAGGATATTTCTTTTATTGTTTTTAGACCGAGGAAGACTTACTCCAAATGACACGCAAGAGAGCAAAACTAGATGAGAAACCCAAAAAGCCAGAAATAGAGAAGCCGTTGAAAGAAAAAGATAAGGGCGAAAAATCCAAGAAGAAAACCAAAAAGGGTTTATCTAATGGGGGAATAGATAAAAATGACAAAAGTGCGTTGGTGCCATCAGAAGAGAATGGACTGAGTTTTGACGAGGCTCTCGTCATGGGAATGGTAAGAAATGCTTTAAAGGAGTCCTTTTTTGTTCTTTATATGTCTCGACCAAAAAGTTGACATCTGGCCCCCTTTTTGTGCTTTGTTCATTTGGGTATTCATGAAAGCTAGAATCTCAGATATGAAGAGTTACAAACTTGAAAGCACCTTTTTTAATTTCCCAACTATGCATCATAAAAGAAATCTGATGAAATTTACATGTAGGTTATCAATTGGTGTATGACTGAATGAAATTAAGATGAGTGAAACAAAAAAAGAGCAAAGTTCTTTAAAGATTCATTCCTTTCTGCATGTGGCATTGTGGCCACCTCACAGAGCTCAATGTAAACAATAGTCCATCATTTTGTTTAAACTCTGACCACCTTTCTATTGACCAAGAACTACACAATACCACCAGTTAATTGCTTTTTAATTCAGACACTATCACAATTCTTGCTTTTATAGTTCTGGCATAATGTAAATCAACAGATCTAATTAAATCAAATATAGCATGCTTTGTTTTATATCATTTGTTAATGTGATTTTGACTGATTGGTTTTCATGTATGCATTTTAGAAATGATTGCATTTACTATTCCTTTACCATTTTTAAAGGGGCTATATAAGTTTCTTAAAATATGTTATTTATTTGTCTTCAATGTTTTGCCATTATATGAAGTAATATTTGTGGAATATGACTTGTTAAAGATGCGCATGTATTTACCTCAATAGTATGAAATATATGCTTAATATTTATATACATGTACATATTTAAAGGGCCAATGGCTGAAATCCACATTCTATATAACTCAAAAATGTTTTTAATTTATCATGATATGAAGCATGTCAATAGACATAATATAAACTTTTTCTGAAAATATTAAAGCTTGAAAAAATTCCTCTCATAGCAACCAGTACAAGACAACAACTGAAAAATCTCCCTTTTCGATGTAAAAGTTAATTGAACAACTACAGGGACATTTTTTCAAAGCTTTAATAATTACAGAAAAGAAGATTTATGTTCAATTATATTGATAATGTAAGTTTACATATTCTGAATTTCAAGAGATTCAAGAGGTTAGGGTTTCTAGGATGAGTACAGCAGCTATTGTTTAGCTCTCTAAAACAAAATTTAAATTCCTGTTTTTTTGAATTAGTAATATTATATAGCCTCTTTATCGACACCATTGTATGCTTTCTTATTTGATAATGAAAAGAGTAATAAAGGTTCATTATTGCTAATTGTGTGCCAACCAAACACAACCAACCTATTGCTCTATTCTGACGACATAGCCAGGCATGACGCAAGGGAAGCAATTCCATCTCCAAAATTTTACAGAAAAATATTAATTCCAACATTTTTCAACTGAAACTTTGAAAATTAAGTCTTATAATAATGTTATTTCAGTTTTGACCCAAATTTGCCTCCTCAAATCTTAAATCCTGGCTATGTCTTCCACTCAATATATAAATGATAAGCTTCTTTCAAGTCATGCCTTGAATTTTGCTTGTGTTTCATAGGAGAGACAGGAAGATGATCGTGGAATTGATAACAAAGGATTTGTGGTATATGACGTAATGTTTAGCTTTTAGTTATAGTTTTAGTTGTTTAGTTATATATAACCTGTGCTCAAGTGACTAATCCTGCGTGACTAATATAGACAGAATGTTGTTTTGTGTATTAATCCTTCTATCTGTATTTTTGATCTGTGTGTGTTTTTAAGGAGTAGTCTTTCTGTTACATATTTAATTTTGTTTTAATTGCTATATTATCTCTCAAAAAACATAAACAGTGCATATGACCAATGCAATAGTGATAACTTTAGTTGCTTACCTTCACATTGACATCAGAAGGGGGAGGGCATTGGGGGCGACCGCCTCCCCCCCTTTCCGAGATCTTTTTAGATTTGTAACTGAGCCTAGAATTGAAAGCTCTTGAGAAGTCAAGGTGTAATGAAGAGAAATAATACTATGTCATTATCTCGTCCACATCAAGCATAGAAGATCTCATTTCTCATATTATATTTAATTCTATACCATAGTTTCATACAGTATGTAAATACTTTGAAGAATAAGTGCAAAGTGTATATTTTAGTAAAATTCAAAGTTTTTTTGTCAAACTAATTCGTTAAAAACACCTTTTTTCTTGTTTTTATTATTGGGAATGTTGTGCTAAGATATGTTCAGAATGCACAAAAGAGGGTCTAAAGTTGAATTTTTCTGGGGGCATACCCCCCTGATCCACGCTTCACTTACCACCCATCCATATCTAAAAGTTGCCCCCTCCCTTGGAAAATCCTTCTGACGCCCCTGCCTTCATGTATCACTAACAATATCTCTTACCATTTTCTTGATCTCACCTTAGTTGGGGGATGATTCATGGGTGGTTTTGGGGGAGGGATTGGCAGACAAGTACTTACAACATTTAATCAGATTTTCACTGTCCTTCTAGCTTGAATGAAAATTGACGGAAAATGAGACACATGACAAACTTCTGCACATTCAGGCCGTCCAACTGTCCCGCAATTTGCGTATTTGTCACACATTTGCTGGAAAATTTGAAGTCACGCCAGTTATTTTTGCGTGACAGAATATGTCATGCAAATATGCATTTTACCTGATTATTGTCAAGCAAAAATATGCCTGTAGAAAAACTTCAAAAAAGTGATCGCCGATCCAGCACAAAACCGAACGCCAATAAAAATGAATGCATTTCGTTCAGACTTTTCACGCAGATACCATGTTACACATTTCTCTCGAAATATTTTGTACCTCCCCCCAAAAAATAAATCAAATTATCAAGAATAATTAATAGTAATGGAGAATTAGAGGTGGAACAATAATATGCATCATGATCGTGCTGAAATATCAATTCGCTGGCTTAGGAAAGTTTGTGTTTCCAAGACGACATGACATTGACCTTGAAACAATATCAACTTGATATTCATCTCAGATTTCCATGGTGTGAAGCTTTCATTGAAAATCAAACTGTTAAATGAATACAGTTAAATCTGTCTAATCTGAACACCACTGGGACTGGCCAGAAGTGTTCAGATTAGCAGTTAGAACTTCTTACCATGTAACATGTGTGAAAATTTGAAGTAAATCCGTCTGATGGTTTACCTGGAATCGTGATGACAAGAAAGTGAGACTTCAGAATGCCACCTTGTCAAACCCCGTTTTGGTGCCTTTTGCCCCTTTTTCTATCAATAGAAGAGGTGTTTTCTTTAAAGTGCCCGATAAACTATAAAATGCGCATGCGTCCAGGTGTTGATAAACTATAAATAGCGAAAATCCAGGGTTTGTCACCACAAGGTAAGCCAGGACGTGTTGAGAGAACAGCTAGTGTTGATATTGAATTTACATGTAGCCAGATAAGTTTCCTTATTGAAATTACATATGGTTATTAGCAATACTTTGTAGGTGCTAAATAATAAAATATTTAGAGTATATATGAGAGAAATTGGTCATTTCGAACCTGTTGAAAAGTTTGTGGCTCTCGGCTACACCGGGGAATTTACTTCCATGAGTACACACATAAATGTGGGGTTCCCCAAGAGGTACTTGACAAGGTGACCTGGCATCAAATGTGCGACTAAATGCTACTATCGAGAAGATAAAATAACGAATACGACAATAAGTTATTGCATGTGACAATTCCGAGCCTTCATCTCACTGAAGTATTTTGAAGTGAAAATAGGATTTTTGTTTTGATACATGGATTCAGATGAACGTAACTTTATTCTGACAACTAATCAAAACTGAACAAAATTGATTGTACGTAACAGACAATTTATTGTTTTACAATGTTTTGATTGGCTAAACAAATGAAACCAACAAATTATGACATGTAAAATGACAATTTTGAAATGTAAAATTTAAAAGTGACAAACACAACCTCCCTATCCACTCTTTGGGAGCCCTAGTAAATTACTAATATGTACATGCAGCAGTGGTAGTGTACAGCTTATTATCACACTACGCTTTGTATTCTAAAGCCTGTTGTTTGTAATAACACTGTTCACTCAACGTATGTTTTGTGTGTGGGCAGTCAACGATAATCATTGTTTTATCCCGGTTATATGACCTCGGCAATTATAACAGAACCGTACTAAACGAAAAAACGCAAATAAGAGAAAGCTTTCACACACATATAAAAAATGAACTAGTCTAATCCGCCAGTATAAACTCTGTGCTATACGTAGCCGGGTCAGGCGCACACTTTAAGATAATAATTTTATGTGGGAAAGTACCGGACAACGAAACCCCTTTTCTAGAGCCCTTTTGGAAATCAGACCAGGGACTATATAGCTAAAATCTACAATATAGGATGATAAAACAAACTACTACAATACTACACTGTTTAAATAAGGGGGTATATAATACAATAAAATACATAAACTTTGAGAAGTTTGTACATAATAATGCACAGTACATAGTACATACAATGAATGAATTTGAATGCATAATGCATGTATGCGCAGGAATGCACACTGCGTATGAACAGGAATGTACATTGCATATGCACAAGAATGCACATTGAATATGAGCAGGAATGTACACTCTCTATGAGGAGCAGGTATGCACACTGCATATAAGCAGGAATGCACATTGCATATGAGCAGGAATGCACATTGCATATGAACTGGAATGCATGTTGCATATGAGCTGGAATACACATTGCATATGAGCTGGAATGCACACTGCATATAAGCAGGAATGCACATTGCATATGAGCAGGAATGCACATTGCATATGAGCTGGAATGCACATAGCATATGAGCTGGAATGCACATTGCATATGAGCTGGAATGCACACTGCATATGAGCTGGAATGCACATTGCATATGAGCTGGAATGCAAGCTACATATAAGCATGAATGCACATTGCATATGAGCTGCAATGCACGCCGCATATAAGCAAGAATGCATAGAGCAGGAATGCACACTGCATATAAGCAGGAATGCACACTGTCCATGAAAGGAATGCACACTCTCTATGAGCAGGAATACACACTGCATATAAGCAGGAATGCACGCTGCATATGAGCTGGAATACATGCTGCATATGAGCAGGAATACACATTGTATATGAGCTGGAATGCACATTGCATATGAGCAGGAATGCACGCTGCATATGAGCTGGAATGAACATTGCATATGAGCTGGAATGCTTGCTGCATATGAGCAGGAATACACATTGCATATGAGCAGGAATACACATTGCATATGAGCTGGAATGCACGCTGCATATAAGCATGAATGCACATTGCATATGAGCTGGAATGCATGCTGCATATGAGCTGGAATGCACATTGCATATGAGCTGGAATGCACGCTGCATATGAGCAGGAATACACATTGCATATGAGCTGGAATGCTTGCTGCATATGAGCAGGAATACACATTGCATATGAGCTGGAATGCACATTGCATATGAGCTGGAATGCTTGCTGCATATGAGCAGGAATACACATTGCATATGAGCTGGAATGCATGCTGCATATGAGCTGGAATGCACATTGCATATGAGCTGGAATGCACGCTGCATATGAGCAGGAATACACATTGCATATGAGCTGGAATGCTTGCTGCATATGAGCAGGAATACACATTGCATATGAGCTGGAATGCACATTGCATATGAGCAGGAATACACATTGCATATGAGCTGGAATGCACGCTGCATATAAGCATGAATGCACATAGCATATGAGCTGGAATGCACATTGCATATGAGCTGGAATGCACACTGCATATGAGCTGGAATGCACATTGCATATGAGCTGGAATGCAAGCTACATATAAGCATGAATGCACATTGCATATGAGCTGCAATGCACGCCGCATATAAGCAAGAATGCATAGAGCAGGAATGCACACTGCATATAAGCAGGAATGCACACTGTCCATGAAAGGAATGCACACTCTCTATGAGCAGGAATACACACTGCATATAAGCAGGAATGCACGCTGCATATGAGCTGGAATACATGCTGCATATGAGCAGGAATACACATTGTATATGAGCTGGAATGCACATTGCATATGAGCAGGAATGCACGCTGCATATGAGCTGGAATGCACATTGCATATGAGCTGGAATGCTTGCTGCATATGAGCAGGAATACACATTGCATATGAGCAGGAATACACATTGCATATGAGCTGGAATGCACGCTGCATATAAGCATGAATGCACATTGCATATGAGCTGGAATGCACGCTGCATATGAGCAGGAATACACATTGCATATGAGCTGGAATGCTTGCTGCATATGAGCAGGAATACACATTGCATATGAGCTGGAATGCACATTGCATATGAGCTGGAATGCTTGCTGCATATGAGCAGGAATACACATTGCATATGAGCTGGAATGCATGCTGCATATGAGCTGGAATGCACATTGCATATGAGCTGGAATGCTTGCTGCATATGAGCAGGAATACACATTGCATATGAGCAGGAATACACATTGCATATGAGCTGGAATGCACGCTGCATATAAGCATGAATGCACATTGCATATGAGCTGGAATGCACGCTGCATATGAGCAGGAATACACATTGCATATGAGCTGGAATGCTTGCTGCATATGAGCAGGAATACACATTGCATATGAGCTGGAATGCACATTGCATATGAGCTGGAATGCTTGCTGCATATGAGCAGGAATACACATTGCATATGAGCTGGAATGCATGCTGCATATGAGCTGGAATGCACATTGCATATGAGCTGGAATGCACGCTGCATATGAGCAGGAATACACATTGCATATGAGCTGGAATGCTTGCTGCATATGAGCAGGAATACACATTGCATATGAGCTGGAATGCACATTGCATATGAGCAGGAATACACATTGCATATGAGCTGGAATGCACGCTGCATATAAGCATGAATGCACATTGCATATGAGCTGGAATGCTCGCTGCATATGAGCAGGAATACACACTGCATATAACTGCATATAAGTTTGACTGCACATCAGTACTACAAAATCATAAGAATTTTTCAAATTGTTCTTCTTTTTTAAGCTAACTTTTTACAAATGAAATGTTTACAACTGAATTAAAATTAGAATACATGTAGGTGTATACAACTGTTAACCTCCATTTCCCTATTTTTAGGTAGCCCTTAATAAGAATGCTATTATCTTCTTGTAGTGTATAACTGTCAATTTTTTGAATGAAGAATATAATTTTGATAGCTGTTCAATGTTCATACATTGTCTTCCTGTTTGTTAGAATTACAATAAAATAAAATATTATTTAAATTCAATTTTTTAATTCAGTTCAATTCAGGTACATATTATATTGTGCCCTTAATCTAACTGTGTAGAAAATATTGAAATACAAGTGGTTATGTTAAAAGTATGTACTTATATACAAATCATTTATTGACTCAATAATCATGTCATAATCAGTCACAATTATCTGATTTTTTAATAATTTATCAAATTGTTTTTAATAATATTTCCAGCCTACACTCCTGATGGCTGGAACTTCTAAAAACAAGAAAGCAATCAGCGAAACCCACAAGATAATGGATGGTAAGTATTTTATTATCATATGATATTGCAACATTGGGTTTGGTTTCTTGTTTTCAATGTTATTGTTTCAATTTCAATTCAATTATTTATTTCATAATTCTTATATAATATACACTATAAAAACAAGCCGCTAGACACCCTAGTGGGTATATGTTGCGGTTTAACAGAAATCATTAAAATGACAACTACTGTAGACTACATATAAAAGAAAACACTTATATTATGTTACATGTAGGTATATAAAAATGGTATTAACAATTAATCTAAGGATGTACAATGTAAAAATGTTACAAAAATCGGGTACCAGATAAAATCAACAGTATAGTATGATATTGGTATTATACATTATCGATAGATGAGTAGTTTTTTATATGAAGATTTGAAAATATTTAGAGTGGAGCATTTTTTAATATCATGTGGTAGAGCATTCCAAAGATTAGGACCCAGATAGCGAAGGGAAAGTTTAGAGCATTTAGGGATATGAAAATAATGCAATTGTCTTGTGTAATGATGATGAATATTAATGTTGATATCAAACAAGTCTTGAAATAGATTTTTTGGAAGACTAGGGTGCTTATTAAAGATTTTGTACATGAACTGACCAGTACAATATCTGTTGACATCAAAAATATTTAATATTCTAAGATTTTTAAATAGGGGAGCGGAGTGAGAAAGTCTATCCTTATTTAAAGCTAGCCTTAAGAATTGTTTCTGCAGTTTATGTAGACGATCATAAAATGATTTAAATGTGTTACCCCAGATTATGTTGCAATAATCTAATTGAGAGTGTATCAATGAGTAGTAAATTGTTTTGAAACTGTCTATTTGAAGTAGATGTTTAATGTGATAAAGAGAACCAATGACGCGAGAAATCTTTGTTTCAACAGATTTTATGTGCTCTTTAAATTTCAAGTTTTTATCAATAATAATTCCAAGAAAGTCAATTTTTTCCCGGAAATTTATGTTCTCATTGCGTATTTTAAGATTCAGATTATTGAACTTAAGAACTTAAGCGCAGCTCAGTTTTCTTGTCAGTTTTTCCTCAAAACATATATCAAAATAATAGTAAATCCAACACTTTGTTTTGAACATTTTACAAATTAAAAATATTTTTTGTTGCGTATCTAGGAGAAAATGAAGAAGAAGAGCAAGATGATAACGAAGATGAGATAGCATTCAAAGATGATGGATATATCAAGCTTGTGCTACAGGTGTTAGCTGCAATGTGTGATGGTCAATTCACCCCTCTACAGGTATGCAATTCTTTGAATCATTCTAACTTTTCTCAAATAACTGTATGATATTATTTTCCAACTTTAAACATTTTAATTGAGGGAGAAAGCCAAAAAGATATAAGGCTGACGATAATAAGCAAGTGTAGTTCTATCAATAAAAGATATATATATATATATCAGATATATTTTTTTAGATTTGAGTTATAGTTTTCATATTTTAAATATAAACTCATAGTTTTCTTCAGTCTCTTTATAAACTTGCGACAAGTTAGACTTATTTTTGCATTACTAATTATTTCATGCATGATAAGCTATAAATTGTTTCTTGATTATATTCAGTTATTTTATTGTATATTTTGGATTACAATATTTCATGATACGAGGGGTGATCCAAAAGTCTTGGACGCCGCGCTCTAACTTTGCCTTTTTCTAATATAATTACATGAAACTTTCAGATAGTAAAGATCAACATCTTAACAACTTTGTGTATAAGTTTCAATAGAAAATAATATATTTTAGCTACTTTTCTAAATATTTTTTAATACCGGGTCCCTGCCACCCGGAATGGTATTTAAAAATAGCAAATCACGTCACAACTGTTATAATATGGCGAATACTTTAGGTGCAGGTGCACAACCTAACACCAGTCATGATATGAGAGAATTTCTGATTTTCAGTCTGAGTATCATCTGCCATCATCATCTTCACATATTAAGACCTACTTTTCTAAATATTTTCCACGAATTTGAACACATTTTTCATACCACTTTTACCAATGAATGGAAGACATTTATGAAATCGCCATTGCTTATGTGATACAAATGCTGCTGGAGTGCCACTCTAAACCTCATACAATGAGTAATAAAAAAATTTCTTTATAGGATTTCATAGGATTGTCATTACTTTATTGTTTTGAAAATATCATCTTGTTTTATGGATTATGTGTTTTAACAAGATTAACCCAATTTTGAATTCTAGAATTACTGCCGGGAACAACCAGATAATTATGCCAACTATAACATTATTGCTATATTCTTTGCTTTGCTCGATGCAACAGAACAACGATATCAAATTATAAGGAAGTGAGCTTGCCACTTTCATTTATTGCAAAAAGTACAGCATGGTATTATGAACATGGAAAATACAAGTCACATTAAGTAAAAACGCAGGTAACGATACTGAAGATCTAAACGTAGCCCTATTACATGATTCACTTAATAGCATGAAATAGCGTTGAATGAAATCGTGAAGACTTGACAAATCAGCTAAATTTACATTTATCGAAATTGATTGATCCCGGCCATTAAAAACCTCAAATTAATGCGGAAAAGGTACGCGATCAATCAAAGACATGTAAATGTTCCAAATCTTGATTTAATTAATTAAAATGAACTGTCTCGTGTTACGTGTGGCAAAGCTCAGAATGAAGTAACACTCCGTTCCAACATACACTCATGCAAAACAACTCATCGTCAACTCGAACACCTGTTCCATTAACACGACGCCTAAAGAAATCATTTATGACCTTATGTCGCTGCGCTCAAACGCACATAAATGTCAAGTCTGTGCAGTGCTGGAACTAGTACATTCTTCAACAATGAAAGGAGATATTGATTTGACTTTGCAAGTCCTTGGGTTCTTAAATGAGACCATTGTGGTAGGCAATCTCACACATGAATGTCACATTGGGTCACATGGATTACAGGGTCACTACATGGTCACATGGATTATAGGGTCACATGTATGGAAGGATCACATGAATTCCATTTATTCCCCTGACAACCCACTAACAGAGAGTTAATCATTTCTTATAGGACTACCTTAGAGTGCAGGAAGATAACCTCATATCATTTAACCTAACTGCAGAAATCACCCAATTCTTAAGTAGAGTCTACACTGACTTCACTCCGGTGTCAATTAACCTGTGTATCCAACTATTCGACACTATCAATGAAGCAACCAGCGTAAGATTGTGTTTGCTTTTAAAAGTATACACATGGGCAATATTCTTTTTAGGATGCACACGCAGAGCACGCCTACAGTTAAACCAGACAGTTTTGGGAAATAATAGATTAGTCGATAATACTTTGGCTTATTTATATGACTACTGGTCCACTAATTGACAAGCTTATTTATATCAGACTACTGGTCCAATACCTCACAAGCTTATTTATATGACTACTGGTCCACTAATTGACTGGTTTATTTATATGACTACTGGTCCACTAATTGACAAGCTTATTTATATGACTACTGGTCCAATACCTCACAAGCTTGTTTATATGGCTACTGGTCCACTAATTGACTGGTTTATATGACTACTGGTCCACTACTTGACTGTCACATTTTGTCAGTCACTGTCACATTATATTTGTTGCACTGTCACATTATATTTATTGCACTGTCACCTCATACTGCTTGCAATGTCACATATTACTAATTTCATTGCCAGGTTTCATTCTATCTTCTTACAGGACTATCTCAGGGTACAGGAAGACAATCTTAGGTCTTATAACATATTGGCTGAAATCACTCAGTTCTTAAGTATGGTATATACAAATATAAAACCCTCTTCAGCCAAGTTAGCAATCCGTCTCTTCAACACAATCAATGAAACTTCAACGGTAAGAGATTTTGATGATCATTGACATCCCATATATTGTACTTCGGGCGGCAATTAATGCCACATATAAACCCATACCTTTTCAAATACTTAGATTGCTTTGCTTTTGTATGCTTTTCATTATTTTTATTTTATTTTCTCCAATACGACATTTTTATTATCCCATCGAACAAAGTTTGGAGGGATATAGGGAATGCCTCCATCCGTCTGTCTGTCCGGGCAATAACTCAAATACTGTTGACCCGATTTTGTTCATATTTTGTATTTGTAAACATATACCCTATGGGGGTAGAAGTTCTGCTCGAAAGCCGATTTTCAAAAATGGCGACCATTTTAATGCTGATTTTACAGTAATTTAGGTACAATATGTAAAACTGTAATAGCAATATGTTTTAAATGTAAAAAAATTATATAGGACATTAATAAAGCTAGAAAAGTAGATCTTAAAGAAGCACATGGCAGCCATCTTGAAAAATGGCAGCCTTTACTCGCTATTTTACATTAGGATTTTTGCTGTAACTTGAAAAGTAGTGGAGCAATTTTGTTCATATTTTGTATGTGAATACTATAAGCATGGCACACTGTCTAATGACACTTGTGGTAAAAGGTGGCCATTTTGAAAAATGGCTGCCATTTTTTGCTATATACTTTGTTTGTAAATATACCAGCCATGGCTGTTCAATGGGATATCCTATGCTTTGGCGTTGCTGTTTTCTAGTTGCAATTAATTTTCCATGTAAGTCATGAAGGTGTCAAATATATATATATTAAGTTCTCTTAAGTTGTATAAGTATTGTTTAAGAAAGGAGCACGTAGGTTATCGCAAACAATTTCAAACGATTCTAACTTGAATTATGAATATTTTCTGATCATGAACATGGGTGTATCTTTTAGATCCATTCATTATCTTCAAGAAAAGTATATATAATGATAATTTAGTTAATCAGACCTAAGTGATATTGAAGGGGCAATGGACCAATCAACATACTTTTTCAAAAATGTTGACCTAGTTTTCACCAAAAATGCAACCCATTATTATATTGTTGAATGCATAATTAGAATATGCTTTGAGACATGTTCGATTTCCTAAAAGGAAAATTTGATTGCTCCAGGGACTTTAAAGATATTCAATTTGGATGACCATAATGAACTGAAACCAATGGATAGCATGAGATTTTTCAATGGAGAAATAACATGGGGAACACTTCTCTTAATGCAATTAAGTTTTTCTTTCAAGAACTATTTGATACATCAAAATAAAGAATAGTAATGCATTAAACATTGTAAAAAATAATTGCATTTTTGGTGAAAATGCGGTCAACATCTTCAAAATGGGGTCAAAAAGTGTGTTGATGGGTTAATTGCTAGTTAAATATCTCCGAGTTTGTTTGAATTTATTATTACTGTGCATAATTTTCTTAGAGATAATGAATTGATCTAAAAGATCAACTTGTCTTCATTGTCAGAAAATAGTCATAATCCAAGATATAACCTTCTAAAATTGTTTGCGATAACCCACGTGCTCTTTTTGAATCAATCCAAAATCTATAATCTATATTTATTAAAAATTTATTTCATAGTAATAAAATTTAGAGGGTGGTTTAACAGAAGTTGAAACATTAAATACTTTTCTGTGTTCAGTTTTGATCCATCTCATGTATTTTTGCGACATGCATTTATTTTTAAGATCTTTTTTAGGGTAACCAAGCCAACAGAGTGGTGATCCTGAACAACAAAGTTGTCGACTACATTAACTTCATTCTTCGGGCCCGTGATATAGCATGTGATCCTGACCAGGTAAGATGCAATGGAGAACATGATTTGAAAGTTAAAAACTGAAAATGTGCAAAATTGTCAAGGAATGAAATGAATAGACATGTTGGTATAAGCCTTTTGTATAGGAATGCAAAAAAATCAGATGACGATAGTTCAGTTAATTAGAATTTTTGACCTTTGGCAAATGCCAAATTCCCTTTTGCTGCTAGAAAATGAATTGATGAGATTTCTTTATTTGAGGCTGTGTATTATCAATGATTAATTTTGCCACATATATTATTTATAGGAATATAAAAGTGTGGCATTAAAGATGTCATATTTGTATAAAAAGTTTTTATTATATTCTTGCAATTTGTTTGCATGAATTGTTCTCTCATATACAATTAACAGAAGTATTATACAAGGCTTTTCTACATTGCACAAGTTTTCATCGCAAATATTTCATACAAAGTTAATATTAAATAAAGTCAGCCAAGTTCTTGATACATGTATATAAAATGTAAAAGTTTTACAGACTGAGGTTGAAATAAGATTCTATCCAAATAAGTTGATTGTCTAAAGGGACCGCAACAAATATTTGCTTGTCATAAAATAGCATAATTTATTTTAGATGCATTTTGTATATTTTATATATTTTAATTTAGGAATATGTTACAATGTTAGCTTGCAATATTATTTTACTCCTAGTAATGTTATAGCATTGCTTATTGTGTCACCACTGATAAATGGTAACATATTGTTATTGTGTCACCATTGATAAATGGTAACATATTGTTATCGTGTCACCACTGATAAATGGTAACATATTGTTATCGTGTCACCACTGATAAATGGTAACATATTGTTATTGTGTCACCACTGATAAATGGTAACATATTGTTATTGTGTCACCACTGATAAATGGTAACATATTGTTATTGTGTCACCACTGATAAATGGTAACATATTATTATTGTGTCACCACTGATAAATGGTAACATATTGTTATTGTGTCACCACTGATAAATGGTAACATATTGTTATTGTGTCACCACTGATAAATGGTAACATATTATTATTGTGTCACCACTGATAAATGGTAACATATTGTTATTGTGTCACCATTGATAAATGGTAACATATTGTTATTGTGTCACCACTGATAAATGGTAACATATTATTATTGTGTCACCACTGATAAATGGTAACATATTGTTATTGTGTCACCATTGATAAATGGTTACATATTGTTATTGTGTCACCATTGATAAATGGTAACATATTGTTATTGTGTCACCACTGATAAATGGTAACATATTATTATTGTGTCACCACTGATAAATGGTAACATATTGTTATAGCCACTTTACATGACTGACATTCAGTCAGTGTTCAACATCTTTAACAAACTGCTACGCTCTTGTAACCCTTGCAATAACTTGCCATATGGTGGTGACATCTTTTCATACATCGTATATTATATTGCTTCAATTCATTTTAAAAGCTTAATGATTATGGAGCGCTGCACTTTCCTCCGAGACTTGTAAGTGAAGTTTGGCATGATTTGAATACAAGATGCATGCGGAATTGAAGTAATGCAAGCAGTTCCTCAAGGGTTTTTCTCTTGATTTTAATGAGTAGCAAACAATTTGTATTTGCTTTTTCATTGGTTTATATGACTTGAATTATTTAATTGAATTGAATTATCTATCATCCATCTTAAGAGAACACAATCCACATACAATAAACATACAATATACATACAATGTACATACAATGTACAATATATATTTTAAATGGAAAGCTTGACTTTCCCAAATTATTTCACTTCCTTTTTGCTTCTAAAAGAACGATCTCATCCTAGATATATTGGCTGATCTCCAATTTTGTGAATACATTTCACAGAATTCACTTTCATTTAAAACCTCCTTTTTCCTCACATGCACCATGCTTTTCTTTCTTATTTCCACTTCACAAGACAATGTGGAGCAGAATTGAAAGCCACACTATATAATCATGTTTATAAAACATATATCCCTAGACAACTGTATTCACGAGCCAGAATCAGGATTTTATACATGTATTGATGGCAGATAGCGTATCTATCATATACCAGTATAGAAATCAGCGATTTCGAAATGGCATATCAACAAAATTAGTTGTTTTAAGTTCCATGATTGAGATTTACAATGACTTTTACTGACTTTTATTATTGGAAAAATAGTAAATTGAAGTACTTAATCATCCAGGTAGTTCATAATTAATTGATATGGGATAATATGAAACTAGGTGTACATTTGGCATACTGTCCATGAGACAATATCTGCTAAAATAAATGTAATATAATACACAATTAAGTGCAATTGCGGCAGTCTAGTATAAACAAACATTTCTATGCACCTTCAGATATCTCTATTTACACTGCTTTAATAATGTCTAGATTTCTAATTATGAAATGACATAGCCATATTGCATGTCTATTTGAATAAGTGTATTCATAATTTCGGAATGGATTATGCTTCATGGGTTTGAATGGGTGTTCGAGTGAATAAAAGGCTTCCAACTAAATGAAAAAATGTGTTGTGAAGTTGCTGTATTGTCTGATTCTTGTTAAATAGCATGTTCACTTTTCAATAATTCGTCAATGACTGCCATCAATTAATGATTATTGTTTGTTAATGCCCTACATTTAATCTGCTATCAATTACATAGAGAGACCATATCTTTTGTAAACATATTTTAATTCTGTTTTTTATTATACCATTAACTCATTTAGTGTTACAGAGAATATGAATCAACTCCGGAAATGATTCTGAGAATTAACAGAATATTTTCTGGGAAAAGAGAATCAATTCTGAAAATTAGAAGATTAAATTCTGGGAATAATTGTGATGTGTTTGTGTACTTGTATACCCCCCCCCCCCTCCCACCAAGAGAGAAGAGGGGCCTATCTGAGATTTTGATTTCTTAAGTTGAACGTTTTCTACCTGATTATTCAGATCACCTTACCCCTTATTTTTGACCTAATACCTCATCAAATAATTTAACCGAACATACAGGAAGATAGTAATTTTTATTCATGAAATAAATCATATACATCTACCCTTTGTTTTTGCCCCTATATTTTATTTAAATCTATACACTGTTGCTCATAAATATGGAATATTAGATTTGGCAGCTCAGAATTCAAAGTTTGGAGTAAGAGAACATTTATTTGGAGTTGGCTCAGACATTTATTTTCTAGGCAAATCATAACCACATATTTCACCTACAAATCAACATTTTTAGAGAAAAAATATTAAAATTTAAGTTTAAAAAATTACTGTTACTTAAACAGGGGTACGCTAAGAATTTTTGCATTTTCAAAACACCCCGATCCAAATCGTCATGTAAAGCAGATCAAACAAAATAAACATCTGGTCATGAAGATTGAAGTGTCCTCTATCCAATGATAGCACTAATATGCGTTATGTCCTCTTTGTGCTGCAATCAGAGCATCAACCCTACGGGACCAGCATTGAATGAAACATCTGACCTTTCAAAGTGAAATAAGGCCCCATTCCTCAATCTGGGCAGTGCGTAACGTGTCTAAATTTTGAGGTGGGGGTCCAAGTCACGAATCTCATTACCAAGGTCGTCCCACATTTGCTCTGCATTAGCCTGATTGGCTGACTTTTGTGCCCATAGTAGCTGGTCCACATTGCCTGCCCTGGTGTAATCCAACACAATGCCACTAGCATATGCAACAGCATGATCACTCTGCAGTTGAATGTTGCCCAAAAACACTCTGTTTACATGTGGTACTTGGTGGAGGTCCAAAAAGTAAATTTACTCTGAAATTATGTTTGGGAATCACCAAGGGGGTGCACTTTCTGTAGTACTGCTCCAAACAACCTCTGTAATACTGCTCCAAATATAAATAGGGTCGCCTTCATGGACTGCCACATCAGTAAGTGTCCTTATTGTCTCTTTCCCTGGGTCTACGACAGAAACGAACACAATTATTAACTTTTTGGAGGACACATCTTATTTCTTCACATGCTGTCATATGACACCAAAGATTAGGTCCAACGTTTTGGTGCTTTCCTGCCCATTGAAGGCACCTTTCTTTGTTATGATCAGTCAGCTGTGGACTCTTTAAAGGTTTCGTGGCCTTGCATCCGTTATAAAGAAATCACTGGTTGTCTATAGCTCTGGAACACGGGTTTTGAGGTGGGACAGCCATTCATCTCGTAGACTTCTGGTTGACTTAAAGCGATTTTGATGACATAAATGCAGCAGGTGGTGGTATTTTCTTACATTTTTCTCTCTAGGGTTACTATTGCTGTGACCTGGAGTCATATTCTAGTGCCTTTGGTACCACTGCAAAATTTTAGAGACTGTTCCTGACACACCCCTAGGGTCCTGGCAATGGCAGTTTGTTTCATGTCAGAGAGCGCCATCCCTATGACCTACCATGCTCTTTTTCGCTTATTCTATGGGGCATGCCTTCTAAAATCTCTTCCAACTATAAATTAAATTCTTATAAATTGTGCACAATGATTACAACTAAGATTTGGACACCTATTTCAAGTTAACAATATCATAAGGTCATGGGGTCACCTGAGTGAATACAAGTTTAATCAACCATAAATGTTTTAATTTTTCATACCAATCAGTTTTATATACAAAACTGATGAGGGAATGAGAACACATTACGAATTTTCATCAAAATGTTACCGTTTTGTAGAAATTCCATCGAACAGTTCGTATCTGTAAAATATTCCATATTTATGAGCAACAGTGTAGATCAAATACAACCCCCCTTATAACCCTTTATAGATCCCTCAAAAGACCTCCCGTATAATACATAAAACCCAAGTAAATGTCTAAGTTATGTCTTGCAGGTCCTGGAGCTGAGGTCTATCATTAGTCAGGTGTTGATTTCCCTCATTGAGGAGAACAGTCCAGAGGCGTACCAAGTTGCCAAGGTTAGCAATTAATGATAAATATCTTAACACAAGTGCCAAAGGGAAAGGACAAAAAGTTGTACTGAAACCTAGCAAAAAAAGTAAACTCTAAGTGTATACTATAACTGTCAAAAGAAAAACAAACCCCAAATATCCCAAAACCATGATCTAATGTGAAAAGAAACAGCATGTGCTTATACATAAGCAAATAAGGTACAATATGTTATACATCAGCAAATAAGGTATAATATGTCCATCATTCTGTGTAACAACAGAAATACTGTAGAATCAGGGAGCTTATTGTTAAAGCTGGCCAATATTAAATTAATTGACAATTATTATACTGTTATATTATATAACTTTTATTGACATATTGTATCATTACATGATTACATTAGTCACAACTACTCACTAAGACTAACTAAAACTACTTCTACATTTACAAAGTAATGTACAAAAATTCCATATGCATATTGAAAGCATACAAGAGAGGCAGAATATTTTTAAGTGTGATGTACAAAATATGCTGACTATTCTAAATTGTTAAATGAGTGATATATAAATTTACCAAGATGCCGTTGTACGATGGTATTATCACTTGAAATTATATTTGTAAATAAATTATCACTATTTAAATCAAATTTTGGTAATGTTTCAGAAATTTTGCTGAAAAATATTTGCCTGTGTTGAGAATGCTTTGTACAATTTATGATAAAGTGAAATTCATCTTCTACACAATTACATATATTACATAATCTTTCATTTACAGGTTTGGATTTTGGCTTTGTGTGTCTTCCTGTTTCTATTTTTAACTGATGTGAACTCAACCTAAATCTACTTATTGCTAATCTATATTTTTTATTGTCTAACTTTGTATATGGTTCTAATGCAAAATCTTTCTTAAACAGCTTATATGTTCTTAATTTGGGATATATCAAAATGTCCTTTTTCCAATTTTCTACAAACATATTCTTTAATTTCTTGTCAACCAAATTTACTAAGTGGTCTGTAATTTGGCTTTGGTCATCCCAGTACTCTGTTAGTTCACATTTATGAAGTATATCATAAACCTTTCCAGACCAAGATTTAAATCCTAATTCATGTTTTTCTTGTCCATATAAGTAAGCCTGGTTTAAAATATTAGATTCTGGTAGTTTAATAAGTCTTAACCAGTATTTCACAATTGATAATTCAATTTTGATAGATAAAGGAAATTTACCAAGGTCACCATACACTGCGGGATTAGCTGTTTGAGTTTTGACACCTAAAATAGATTTCAAAAAGGACAAATGTATTGTTTCAATCGCTTTCATCTGCTTCTTGTCATACCAAATTTCACAGCCATAACATAGTATTGGACTGACTAATGAATCAAAAAGGTGAAGAGCAACATCAGGTGGCACGTCATTGAATTTCTTATACTGCTGTTTGATTTTGAATATTGCCTTTCGTGATTGTTCTTTGAGATAACTTGTGTTGATATCAAATTTATTATTATCAGTAAGAATTACTCCTAGATATTTATATTTACTTACACGTTCAATTTCTTGATCATTAAAAGTGAAAGGGGCAGAAACTTTAGAGTTAAAAATGAGTACCTTTGTTTTTAAGGTATTAACTATGAGTCTATTAATTTTACAGAAAGAGAAGAGTGAATCTAATAATAACTGAAGTCCATTATGTGATTCGGAAATGAGTACTAGATCATCTGCCCATAGAAGATGGTTGAACCTGGCATCTTTTACGATAACGCCACATCTTAGTGGTAATACTTCATTTAGGTCATCCATGAAGTGATTGAACAAAAATGTACTTAAAACACTTCCTTGCAAAACTCCTATTTCAGTGTCAAAAGTTTTAGTGATTCCGTTTTCTAATTTAAGGCATGACTTAGATTTAGAGTACATATTCTCTATAATCCTGTACATTTTAGTATGTGGGTGAATTCCAGCTTTACACAGCTTATATAACAATACTGAGCGATCTATATAATCAAAAGCCTTCTTAAAATCAATCATACATGTATATAATGGTTTCTTATGCTGTTTGAATTTGTTAATTAATGTTTGCAAAATAAAAATATTATCAGTTGTACGTCTATTTTCTTTGTAAGCACCCTGAAGTGGGTCTGGTGAATTTTGCACTCCAGCATTAAAGACAAGACGATTTTGAATAACTGAGTCAAATAAATTCCCTATACAGGCCAGTACATTAATGCCTCTATAATTATCAGCTTGAAAACGGCTGCCTTGTTTATAAAGTGCACTGAGCATACCAATACTCCAGTCACTTGGATATTCTCCCTTTTCGAAAATAGCATTAAAAAGTGCTGTAAAATCAGAAACAAGGGTTTCACAATTTTTTAAAATATTGGATGGAATACCATCAATACCCGCTGATTTGTTTGCATTTACTCTTTTCAAAGCACATTGAACCTCGGCTTGAGTAATTTTCATGTTGATGGTATCATTGCAAAGTTTGAATTTTTTATCTCCAGGATTAATTTGATATTTTGTAACAAAATGATTCATTTCCTCAAGTGCATTATCATCAAAATAATCTATGTTTGGAGGTTTAGATAGACTTTTGAAGAAGTTGAATAGATCTTTAGATGGGACTGGCATCTCTTTAATTTTATTTCCTGGCATTGCATTAATCAGTTTCCAGAAATCTGTAGAGTATCTGCATTTATTCTGAATTAAACTATTGAGCATTCCTGCTTTAAACCTTCTCTTTTCTCGTTGTTTAGTATGATTATATTGTTTTATTAAACTATTTATAATATCATCGTCAAATTTAAGTTTTATTGCCTCATGGACTTGTTTCTTTAAAGATTTACATTCATCATTGAACCATGAATTAATCGGAAAGGTATGCCTTTTTGTGGTTTTTAATTTTTTAAATTGGAAAGTGTCATTAGATGCATAATGAATTACATTTAGGAGTTTATTTACTAATTCGTCAGATCCTATATCATTACATCCAAGTTCAGTGTAAAATGATGTTAAAAGGTCATTACTTATATTATCAGATAACTTATGTTTAAATTCATTTTTCTTTAGAGGATCCCATTTGTATGATTTATATGTTTTAATGTTCAGAGATTCTGATTGAAAATTTGATGATTTTCTTTGATTATCAGTTTCACTTTTTAATGATATAGAAAAATGTAATGGTGCATGGTCAGACTCAACACGCCTATCATGAACTTTAAAATCAGTGAATAAGGAAATAGTATTTGATTGAGCTGCAACATAATCAATAACTGATTTTCCGAAGTTGGGGTCTTTGTTAGATTTGTGCATAACATTGCGATAACATGTAAATTTCCCTAAGTTTTTATCTTGATAAAGGCGACCATTAAGTATTTTCATATTAGCAGTTTTGCATAGTGATAAAAATTCTCTTCCATGAGTTTGAGAGACTGCCTTTGCATTTTTGTCCATAGAAGTTCGATTACTAACTAAGACCTCGTTTATATCTAGCAAATTATGAACAGTGTCACCATTTTCATATACTGGTATTGGTATATCACCATTACTGCCAGGTATATTAATGTTAAAATCAGGTAACTGAGCAGTTCTAGCATTCATGTCTCCACATATAATAGTTTTTCCTAATGTTTGATAATAAGCTAAAGATTTTTCTAAAATGTCAATATTACTACAACCAGTTACAAATTCATATGAAGAACCTTTAAATGGTAAATATACAAAGCAATATAAATACAAATCTTCTGTAATATTGAAATGATTGGAATTGAATTTTAACCACACAAAAAAGTCATGTGACTGTGAAAGAATTTCAATACCATTTTTACTATATACATCACTAATCAGTACTGCCAGTCCTCCTGAGTAATGGCTATTAGTCATGCTTTTTGATTTTCTTGCAAGATTACGACAAGTGTAGTTTTCAAAAGAAATTTCAGACTCTGGTGAAAGCCATGTCTCACACAATAATATGATTTGAAAGTCATTGAAAAACATTTGTATATCTCTTCCATCATGAAGTTTATCGGAAATTTTATTGATGTTCCAAAGTAAAACTGAAAAGTGTTCATTTAGAGACTGAGTTTTCTCATTTGAAATCCTACATTATGTATTATCACATTTGTACATTTCTCTTTCGGTTTTTGTTCATAATTAAGTTTACTGTTTTTTTCAGGAAATCAAGGATACCTTGGACAAAGAGGCTGTGTACAGGTGTATGACTGAGTGTTTTGAGCTACATCAGGTTAGATAATTTTGTACCTGAAACAAATGATACATGTAACTTTAAATGAAGGTCTATTACATAGAAATGATAAACAATATGCTTGTTATGATATGAGAGGTAACATCCAGAACAAAAGTGTTGTTCACTTGGTATTTTGAATATCTCCATTGTTCATGAATAAAACAATATAAATACAGTATTGATTTATAATTACCTTATAGTAAATACTGTACATTTAATTGTATGTCCTGTTTTGGACATACCAATTTTAATGATGCTTTTACTGTGCTATTTTTGGATAATATTTAGTAACCGAGACAACACAAGTCCCAAGTCTGTATATTTACTCTCATTTCTTCATTTTTAAGAGTTAAGTCACCAAATTTTGCATGCACATTCCTTGGAGAAATCCTAACATAGAATTTCATTGGTTTTGATTATAGTTTATTTGTTAAATATAGGGAAACATTTAATTTTGATTGGTCTATAATCAAAATGTTCCAGTTTGTGCAACGAATGCAACATTTTGACGTTATTAATAAAACTCAAAAGTTATAAATGACTGATACAATATGGTGTCTCTTATCTTATTGACAATAACTATCACTAGTTATTTTTTACCAGTCATCAGATTGTGCATTGGAAGTGTACCTCAATGAGAAATGCATACATTGATTGTGGCAAGAAGTAGTGAATTGTCAAAAGAATGTAGGAGTCGCACCGTTATTTTGCTGCATTTTGGTGCTTCTTTTTCCATTTAAGGTCCTTTTGGTACCACTGTGATGTCATAATATATAATTCGATGTCATAATATGGGTACCAAATTGAAGCACACATTACAAGCTTTAAGATGATATCAAATATGTCATCATTCATTTGATTTAATAAGTTCAAAAGGTATGCCACTCCCCTACCCCATCCATTTTTCAGGCCATTGAAACATGCCAAAATCTCAAATAATGCAGGCATCTTCATGGGCCGTTTTTGGCCCCGTTTTATTTAAAACATCATGTTTCTGCATACCATTTTTTCAACTGAAATGTCTCAACTACCTAAAACAGCTACATTTGTGCTGAATAAGAAAACATTTCGTCATTTTGGAGTAATTACACCAAAAGTAGAGACTTTTATTAATTTCGTCAAAATGTTGCATTTGTTACAAAATGGCAAATTTTTGTTATAGACCAATCAAAATAAAATATTTCCCTATTTTTTAACAAATAAATTATAATCCAAACCAATGAAATTTTATGTTAGGATTTCTCCAAGGAACGTGCATGCAAAATGTGATGACTTAACTCTTAAAAATGAAGAAATGAGAGTAAATATACAGACTTGGGACTTGTGTTGTCTCGGCTACTATATATGTTTAGGGTTAGCTTGGTATACTTGATAACGACTGAAAAGTTTTAAAGATGTTTTTATATTATTTTCAGAAAAAGAAATTTGGTAAGAAGAAGTCTACAATGGAAGCAATGATAGAAGCAGGAGGGAATCTGATGAAAGGAATCATGGTAAGGATTGTCTTCAAGTTTCAAGAGGAAAACAAAGTTTATTTCGAGGGGAAGGGGTAACATTCCAATTTCATATGAAGTGAATTTAAGTATCCTTTAATTTAGGGAATATAAAATCATGAAATGGGAGAAGGAAATGTTAAATTGAAGGAGTTTGAAGTAGACTTTGATTTAGGCAAGGTTTGTCTTATTGCAGGAAGGTAATGATAAAGATGAGATGAGGGAGCTACTGACAGAGACAGGCTTTAACTTCTACTTAGTCCTGCAACGTATGTATGACATAGACCCACTCATGGATAGCAAAGAAGGTAGGGAGATCATCCAGATTGAAAAGCTAGGAGTATACTTTTTTTAAGAAAATTCAGAGAATCTTCAGTGTATTAAAACTTTTTGAACACCTTGTTTATTATATATCAAGGAAATTGAGAGTATTACGATCTCAAAATTCAATATGTAAATATTTTTGTTCAGTTTTTTTAACCTAAAATAAAACTTGTTTATATTAGGATCAACCATTATATACTGGGTTATTACCCACACAAAAAATTAAAATGATTAGACAAACAGTTTTTGAGATATAGCCATATGTCACAGTTCCCCGAATGATAACTTTCGCATAAGGAATTGATGTTAGACTGAGTGGATTCTCACATGAGGTGGAATAATACTTGTAGGTATCACTTTGGCACCCATGCAAATGAAGGCTTTCAAGTATTACAAGAAGAACACAATGTCTGTTGAAGTCTTGAAGGATGATTACCTACAGAAGAAGACATTCAGAGTTAAAAACAAGGTAGAATTATATTAACAGTTAAACGATTGTTGACACCTCCGGAAATTGACTCAGTAAATTGTATAGCTCCATTGTAAATGATTTAAAATAGATATTAATGCTGTGGTATGGTTTGAAATGGCAATAAATAATACAAAGGAGTTTAGTGATTTTATCCAGATCGAGGTAAAAACCAATTCATGTTCATTATCAGACCAATTAAAACAGTTAATGAACACCCCTCTGACAAAAATGTTCAATGGTTCACAGGTTAAACTGTATAAATGACATCAATGACTGAATGAATTAGTGTTCTGAGAGAGAAAAAAACTTATAATCTAATAAAACAAATGATTAAAACAGTTTATGGTTATCCAATTGCACTGGTTTGATATTGATAGAGTCTGTATTAATTGTATTAATTAGTAGCTTATACACTTTATCTCACTCAAATATTCTCATTATTATTGGTTGAAAGCTATTCTTTTTTTCATTTATTTATTCAATTTTTTCAGAATCTTCTTCGTGAGGAAATCAAGGAAAAAATGAAATGGAGCATCGATAGAACATCACCTAGCAACAAGATACGAGACTTTATGCAATGGACCAATGATATTGTAAAAGATATTTATTACCAGAAGAAAATACTCTCAAACCCAATTGCAGCATTTTTATCCAAAAACTGGTATGTTCATAACAATTAAATGATATTAATTATATGAGAAGGAATAGAATTGAATGCTTTGTCAAATAATGGAAAAATTGATCAGACATTGATCAATATCCCAAATATTGTGATTAACAGAAGTAAAAAATGATTTTTTATCCAGTCGCATTTGTTTCCTTGAATTGAATGTTCATTGATTGTATTTAATTTAAAAGCATTTACTATTATTCATTTTCCCCTCATTCAGTTTCCATTTTCCCTGTTATCGCCAGGTCCTTATGGAACTACATCTGCATCTTACTGAGTGTGGCTATCAACATTTTGATGCTGGTTGTATGGAAGGCCAAGAGACCTTTGACAATTGATGACCTACCAGATGGACCATTGCCAGCTGCTATGTATGAGTAAGTCATATTTTGCATTAAGCCCTAGGCTATTTATAATTTATGTCATTTGGTTAAATCGTATTCTGATTTAACAGAGTCTCTCCTTATCTAAAGCTTGTGAGACTCTATGAAGGGAAAGAAGAGACTGTAGATCTCACAATTGTTAAATCACATATGGTTTTGGTTAAATAATTTACCTGAATAAGTCTCATTATTGGTTGTAATATCCTTGACACTGTAATCCAAGATTGTAGTTTATTAGAAAATATGCATTGTGGTAACAACTGATTTAATGCCAGTCATAATTAAAATGTAATTTTCCCTCTCATGTTCAACACAAGTCATAAATTTTTGGATGATAATTTTATGCATTTAATGAAGTGAGTGGGAATTAAATCAACTGCGGTGGCTTTGGAAGGAGCCACTTAATTAGATACATAAGATTCTTTTCAATTTGGACATTTTTCTCAACAAAATCAAAGAATTTCCTCGCCACATACTAGCCACAGGTAAGACGATCGGCGACTTACATATTATTTTTAGGAAAAAATACCATTTTTACATTAATCCAAAATGTTACATCTCAGTGACATATCTCTCCGAAATGTAGAGAAAATCAACCATTAGATTACACTACCAAACTCTAATAGAAAGAAACCAACAACAGCTGTTTAAGATTTTAATTTCCTCAAAACTGTAATGTGGAATAAAATGTCACTTTTGGGGTAGCATGTTGCCATAGGTATTAAAATGGGTGGGTTTCATTGCATGAATCTCTGGTATGAAGTTTAGATGTTATTTTTCAGCCCTGAACCAGACATAAACGACAATATAATGTCCAAATCCCTCTACAATCTGTTGATTTGGATAATGGGTGGAACTCACAATTTCTTCTCCCTTGTCCTTATCATAAGTTACCTGCTTTCAAATCATCCACAACTCCCAGACTGCAGCTGGATATCAAATTTCTGCAGGTATGGTATGAATTATGAAGGTAACATGTTATTCTGAATTATGTATTATATTGTACTTGAGCATGAAAGTTTAGGAAATATAAGGGAACTAGAAAATGACATAATATTGGGAAGTAAGATTTGAAACAAATAAAATGTTTACCACCATGCACTTAAATATTCTTGTCTGAATCCAAATAATGACACATGTAACCCTATTAAAGTAAATGTTTGTAGCTAACAGTTAGTAAATAGATAGTTTTCATCTCCCAATGCTATAATGTCAAGGGTTTCACTGACTATGCGTGTATGCTATAGACAGATCATGGGTCTTCGTCTTAAATAAAAACTGATTAAAAACATTTTACAGGGCATGCTGTAGCAGGAAGGATGAGGATGAAGATGATTACACAGATGAAAAGGTTGTCAAGAAGGTTCCAGAATCCAAGTTAGCAACTGCCTTGTTTAGCTTTGCTACAATATACTACATGGTATGTACTTCAAAATGTACTTTAATTGAATGAAAATATGTGGCAGGAAGATGTACTTCAAAATCAAGAACTGATATAACATTCACAAAATGCAATATACTACATGGTATGTTCTTCAAAATCAATTAGTGCAATTCCTCCTTTTAGAGAATCACTTTTACAAAAGAACATCATCCTCAAGAAAAGTGTGTGTTGGTTAATGAATGGTCTAAAGAGTAAACAAATTGGGTTTATGCTTTTATGAAGACAGCAGAATAATTGGGAATTATCTTACTAAATGCTTGTTGACAAATTGATATTTGATTGTGCAGAGAAGTGACAAGTCATAGTTCTTTAGAAGGAATCTTGTAATCAAACTGTGGTTTCAGAGATGACACCAGCCATATAATCAAAAAGCAACATTATACTATGTACTTATGAAATAGCTTGTGAAAGTACATCAATAGTAAAGCATCTACTATAAAATAATGTACCTTTATTTTTGAAGGAAAATGTGTAATTTACTATAGTTTTAAGTTGCCAACAGTGCCATTTAACCATGTCAAACTTTTCTATTTGTAGCACTTAAGTATCTATCTGTTGCATATGCATTACTCATTCCACTGTGTTTGCCTTAGTTATATGTTTAAAGTAACTGTCCATTCACCTATTTATGCTGTATTGAAGTTTTAAATATATATGAAAATATTTTATTTTCAGGTGTTCCTAGCGTCTTCATTAGCCGGAACTTTTTTCTGGGGCTATTTTTTTGCTTTTCATCTGCTTAACATCGTCAACAACAATCAGCTATTGCAGGGTGTCATTAATGCAGTCACACAAAATGGTACATTTTTACAATACCTTTTAATTTGTTTAATTATGCATTATGATTTAGTTTAACTTTGAACCAAATTCAGAAATTTTTGTCATGGAAACTTGTATTGTATTATTGATTTGATTTTAAGATCAATATTTTTTCATTAGATTAAAGAGTAAAAATTTATCCAATTTTAATTAAATATGATTAAGTTTACCAATATTTTTGTTGATACTTCATTTGGCGGAATTTAAAAGAATAAGATATGGTAGAAATTGCCATTTAGTCTTCCATCAAGGCTTGCCATTGAATCCAGAATAACATTTAATAATTATTTTTTACTTATTTTCCAGGTCGATCGCTACTGTGGGTTGGCATACTTGCTCTGATTCTTATTCACATCTATTCGCTTGTTGCATTTGCCTTTTTCCGGCCAAGTTTTGACCCGACAGGAGATGCACCCTTGCACGTGGAGTCCCTCTATGAGACCCTGGTTACTATGTTACGCTATGGTCTTACGGGGATATTGTTTGAGGTTAGTTGCGCTGCTATAAAACTTGCATATGCAATTCTATTGATTGGATTAAGAATCCTACAGGTACCTATCTATATACATGTATGCGCTGGAGTTCATAAATGGCTAGATTTGTATATTTTGTTTTGAAAATTTATAATTTTCCATTTATGTTTTGTAAAATTATGACAGAACATCCTCTAGTTATTATAATAGAAAATATCAATGAAAAAAGGGTTGAATATAGCACAAAACATGGGGTTTTCGGAAAAGACCGACCACCGACCAGTCACTCTCCACAGTTGGGTCCATGAGGTGAGAGGTCGGTGCTTGGTCGGCGTAGAAAGTGTAGAAAGCATAAAAGTGTCTGGAAATAGATTCCACATAAATTGGAAAACTATTTCAATATATCTGGTCCATGAAAATACGAAATCAAAGCGTACAATTTGATCCTGAGCAACATCAACTACACATAATTAATCTTTCTTATAAGCAGATAAGTGTTGATCGTTTATTGCAGAGACGTTTCCAACGATCACAGACCTACATTTAGCTGTTTAGCAAAAATAAACTCTGAATGGACGTTATTTCACCTGAAATTCCTGCAGTTAAAATCTTGAAATCTTAAAAACAAATAAGTGGGACTCCTCTAGTCCTCTAACCCTACTATCACACAAAACTAGTTCTCACTACATTCTCGAAAACGGACTTTAACTGTGCACGAACGGATTTGACGTACTAAGAACCGTTTAGGGTCCGTTTAAACTTTGGAGAGGTTAAGCTAGCGATGTTTTTCGCAAGGTATAACCGTGAACGCAAAGTCAATGAATTAATACAGTAATGTATATAGCACGCATAAAAAGCAAGCGCTACTTAGTCTACTTCAGATATCAGATCAGCTTTATTTTCCTGTTTACAACGGGGGATTTTCAATTTTACATTGGTGTCAACGGGAATCATTATACTCATGTTTATTGGGTACTATGATGGCAATTTTGATTTCGATGCACAGTATCATATAGCTCCCTTATTAAACTTATCTATCTAATTGAACATTAAGCTCTCAGCATTAACATTAAAGGGTCATGTAAGGTCACGCCACTGTGTTAGAGAATACTAGCCAGCTGAAAGTTGATACCTTTTTATTAATCTTTTTAATTGCTTCTGGCGCAAGATAACTTCGAACATGCGTTTAGGCCAAAATAGCTTGGCTTAAATGCTTTCTGAAGAAAATGAATGTCATACATGTTTTAGCTTAGATATCTTACAACACGAGCTTGTTAAAGTATGTATCATAGAAAACCAGCTATATAACTATCAATGACGTATTACACGAGGATGTGTAGCCTAAGTAACGGACTAAGTAAACACTGTAACTGAACGATTGTTTATGTGAGAAAACTACATGCATTTGTATAGGACGATTTATATGTACAAGTTGCGTACATACGTTTATATGCATTGCTTAACCTCTCCATTATCAAACTACCCGAACGAGTAGGTCATCCAGAACTTAGTAATCAGAACGAGTGACCACGTTTTTAAAGAACGCAGAACGATCTGGACACACGGCGAACTTCAATCCTACTAGAAACGTATTACGGCGTTGTGCAGTCAGGCATAAATTCAGGTCGTGAGTACACCAACCGGTTCCGTTTGCAGCTTAATTAACAAAATAATATAGCTATCACACCAAACAAGTTGTCACTGCGTTCTTTAAAACGTTGCCGACTGGTTTAAACTGTGTCCGAACTGGATGAACGTAGCTACATCTTTACGAACTTCATGGACTTGACCGGACCGGGAATGTGATTAACAATTTAGAATTTTTCTCTTCTGGGGGCCTTGTTACTGTAGCCAATATCTGGACAACAGTATTGGAGTTAATGCCCGGATACGGCGAACAGACATAGGCCTACGTACGGACAGAAACAGGAATATTGTTTTCCTGTAAAATTGGTCAGTGTCAAGGCAGGCTTTTTTTCTTTTGGTCGGTCTTTTACATAGTGGTCGGTCTTTTACATATTTTTTCAAACCCTGTTTTGAGGCTACCTATGGAAAACACCGACCGGTCGGTGGTCGGTGGAGTCGGTCTTTTCCGTAAACCCCAAAACATGTATTGTTATGTAGTCAAAATAGTAATGTCATTTTACAAATGAAGCCATTACATTATGTGACCCCAGAACACATGCTAGCATTTATTGGTGAGTGAAATTAGGTTGACAGGTTTCAGTTCAATTGTCCCATTATAATTTTAAAGATAATGATAGCTTCTTTTTCTTTCTAGGTATTTGTTGTGAATGAAAAGGAAAAGTATGACACTCTCTCAATGGATGCGTCATTTGCCAGGTTTGGTTGGATGACCCTCTTCCACCTTACCTTCTTTATTCTCATCACAACTATTGGTCTCAATATCATCTTTGGTATCATCGTAGACACATTCTCGGAGCTGAGAGACAAGAAGGTATGTTGAACAGGAATAATTATGTTGAAATGGAATAGTTATGTTGAAATGGAATAATTAACCCTTTTGGATCTTTCCATTTGTAGTTTCAAAAATGGGAAAATTGATTGTGCAAAAATAGAAAATTATGAACTGCCATGATAAAATTCTGGGCGAACTTTTGAAATTCAATAATTCTTGTGCTTACAAATAAGTTTGAAGTAGGCCATTTGTTAATGCTTATGCTGACCAATAGGTGGGGCTGGCTGTTGAGTGTGTGATACAATAATCTAGTTTAGCAAATTAGTTATAATTGAAAAATACAAGTCTCTTAAATATAAGAAGCTAAACACTGATGTGCAATATTTCTGTTTTTTCTTCCAGTGGGTCGCAGAATCTGACATGAGAGACACTTGTTTCATCTGCAGTAGAAGTAGTTATGACTTTGAGCACCATGGCAAGGTACAGTATGAGAAACACTTCCCTAGAGATCTAGGCAGTTGACCCCTTTACCTTGCACAGCATCTCTATCCCTTTTTAGTTCCTTTAAACATGGGCTTCAAATTACACAGTCATATTCTATTGAGACTCAAATTTTAAATATATATAAAAAGAATAGTCATACAGTAATTCAATGGTTCAACCAATGATTTAGTTTATAAAGGCGATCCACACTCATTCTCAAGTTGGCGATTATTCATTACCCAAAATGCACTTTTCTTTGCCAAAGAATTAAATTTTTATTTCAATGGGTTTACGGCCAGTTTTTGATATTTTAAATAATTATATAAACTTAAAAGTTACTTTTTTGAGTTTCATGATGTTTATTATACTTTGGCAAGGAGTCTAGTCTGTTGATACAATCACCAGTCTCCAATCTCAGTAATTGTTATTTTGTGATGTATGATTTTCGTGATATGACACTTGATTATTATTTAACACATACTGAAGTGAAACTGATTCTTTTGAACACTTCTGTTTGAATTCATGGTCTGTTCCTCATGAAAATAATCAAAAATATTTTCTTTATTTCATTTATTTCTTGTTTAACTTTACAACTATTTTTATGTTTGTCAAAAGGATAACCCTCCCAGGGGAAATCCCAATATGGAACCAGTTAGCTACAGTATAAGAAAACCTGACGCGTGGCAATGTGCTTACCATATAATGGTTCAGTGTAGATTATACTGACATTTATATGTCATTTTTGCATGCATGGCATCCATAAGTGAGTGTGTTCATGATCTAAAGTACAAACAGAAATAGAAAAGTACATGTTAGGATAAACACATGATAAATATAACTAAATATGAAAATCTCCGGTTTTTACCCCTTTGTGTAGCTAAGACATGAGGCAGGAATTGCAACTACCTCACCAGAATTTGACAGAAATATATCACCAGATTTGTTTTAAATTTAATCATTGGAAATAAAGTCCAACAGTAGTAAATTGCCTCATTTGAACTTCACAGAACATTTGATCACAACATATTTTCAGGGTATAACACCAGAGCACAATATATTTTCAGGTTATAACACCTGAGCACAATATATTTTCAGGGTATAACACCTGAGCACAATATATTTTCAGGGTATAACACCTGAGCACAATATATTTTCAGGGTATAACACCTGAGCACAATATATTTTCAGGGTATAACACCTGAGCACAATATATTTTCAGGGTATTACACCAGAGTACAATATATTTTCAGGGTTTTGAACACCACATCACATATGATCACAATATGTGGGCGTATATATTCTACTTCATCAGTCTCAATGACACATCACCAAATGACTATACAGCGATTGATCTATATGTTAGCAACATGGTGAGTATAGCTTCATTTAAATGTACTATTTATCTCAATCAAAAATGTACATACATATTTATACTGTTTGAGTATGTTGTATGTTCTAATTACTAACTTGAAAGTGTATATTATTTAAAACACATTTTATTTTCAAATAAATCATAATATTCAAGCAGGGTGTTCTCACATTTTTTTTTATTTCTACACTGAGGCACAGTTCCTTATTTGTTCAATCTTTCTTGCCTTACTCTATAAGCTAAAAATATTGCAAAACACCAAAATGAGTGGTTTTATGGAGTAAGATAGGAATTAGATGTGTTGTAGGTGCCTATATACTATGCTTGAGTGTGCAGTGTCACTTTATTGTTCATGTCTACGTAGTTGCCCATATAATATGCATGAAGTAAGTCAATATACTGTCCATGTTTCAGTTGAAGAAAGAGAGGTATGAGTTTTTCCCACTTGACCGTGCTCTCTGCCTGAAGGATGAAGATTCAACAGATAGTAAACTTGATGAGGTCTTGGCCTGTGTTACAATACTTATGAAGAAATGGAACAAAGAGGTTTGTCTCTGTTTGTTTGTTTGTTTAATTGTTTGGCGTTTATAATTATTTTTTGGAGTCAATTTTAATTTATTAATTTTTTTCAACAATTTTCTCACACCTGGCTGCAAAATTCTCAATCAGCACAATGTGTATTTTTGCTGTGTTGTGTCATGTGTTTAATTTCTCATTGTATAATTTTAGGAACAAACAAAGAAGCGTGAAGAGGAACGCAAAAAGCAACGAGAGTGGGTGCGTCGCAAATCTGCGTTTGTCATGTCTGGAACAGATGACTCTGATGGTCACCCTGGGCCTGGTGGAAGTGGTGGACATGGGGGAGGTGGACCTCCACCTCCAGATGATAGACCTGATGGTCCTGGTTTGGGTGGGGATGATCACCTTCCTCCCCCTCCTCCCTCTCTCTTACTTAAGGGGGGAATGATTCCTTCTCACTTAGCTGCACACCAAAAAGAAGTTCCCACAGAGCCCAAAATAGAAGATCCAGTTCAATTTATACCTCAGAGGCAATCTGATGATTTAGATGAAATAATACCACACCCTCCTTCCCTCCTTAGGAAGGAGCCAACAACATCTCAAGAATTTCCATCTGAGAAAGAAGTTCCCAATGAGGGAGCGATCCAGATTGAAATCCCACCTAAGTCTCCCACCCCTCCCCCTGCCCCAAAGCACTACTCCCCAACAGCACCTGAATCAAAAGATACAGTTGAGACTAAACATCCTAAACAAGATCGCGATGATGCATATAGTGACATTGATGATCATAAAAAGATTCATGATGATGATCAAATCATGCTTGAAATTCCTCCAGATAATGGTTTTGTGGAGGATTTAGATACGGACAATATTGCCAGTTCAGAGTATCCATCAGGAGGATCATTTGACTCTGGCAGCCCAGAGCCTCCATTTGATGATGACATGGCCAAGTTTTCACCAATGAGGACTCCTTCACCAAATCATAGCTCCGATAATATGATGCCACGTGAGATCCGAGGTAGCCCTGTTGAGATGGTATATAATGTGAATCCAAGTCCCTGTTCCAGTCGTAGATCAAGTCTGGAGTATGGGGACAGAAAAGCAACAACACATTTTTGAGGATTTCTGGGTATTCAATTGTGCTCCATTAAACAGCAGCATTTGCTCAAAAACCCTTGAGGTGGATTGGTTGTCTTTTTTTACAATCCTCAATAGCCATATAAGTGGCGTTTAAGTCAAGGTCATGGGTATTGCGTAACAAGGTACACAGGCACAGCCTTTGGGATAATGAATAAATACACTTCAACTGTATCGAAGTAATAAGATGTCACCATCTTTGTATGAGATGTTTTAGCCATGGGGCATACATAAAATAGGTGAATGCTTAGAGGATGAATTTTGATTTACGATGGAATTTTCAAGTCAATTATTTCATCTAATGGGTTGTGAGGAGATGCAATTTTGAGGGAGTGACAAATGAGAAATGTATAGAATGAACATGAATTTGAATATCATGTAGGCCAAGCCTGAAAGTGGAATATTTGTATATAAAGAAAGATGTATGTTACAATACCATATTTAACATTATTAAGAGTTAGATTAACAGGGCAGATTTAATATGAAGTAGGGAGTCTAGTGGTTCAGCTAAAACAAAATTAAATACAATTTTATTATATTTGAAATGGATGTTGATCAATTGACCCAATCACTTTTTATTATTATATATATATAGAGGTTATAAAATTGCAAATTTGAGCACAACTTTTAGGCAATTGAACTCACAGGGGAGTAAATGTAAGTCATTGCTGAGCATATGGATATACAACTAGATTTATTCCATGGGGTTATTCCATACAATAATAAATACATTTATTTTGTCTATTGAATATGTTTAATTTCGTTTCCTAATATTTATTCATAAAACCAAAATCTGAATCTCCAACGTGTAAATTTGTGGGATTTTAATCCTAATTAGCTGAAAGTTAAACTTTGAGCTTAAGATAAACTGAATGAATATATTTATTAGTGTATATTTTCCCAGGTTGAAATGATAATTATGATATAAGAGGTGCTAGTATAAGATATCCCCATAAGTTCTTTTTAGACTGATTTCCCTTGTTTTCTTTACCCAATAGCCTTGGGAAGTTTGTCCTGGAGATATATCAAAATACAATTTATATTCAATATAATAATAAGGATATATTTCTACATGGGACACATGCCACTAGCAGACTGTATATTCCAATATCATCACACCTCATGCATATCATTGTTGTTACATTGCATATATTAGCCAGGAATTATTGCTAATTGTCTGACATGTGTGTTAAATAATGCATGCTAAAAGATTGCAGCAAATATCTGCATTCCCCAGTATGACATTAACTTGATTGCTTAATACTCAATCACTGAAAAGTAAATGTGAGATTCATCTAGAAAGCACCATGCTGCATATATTGTTGTTTTATTGAATTAGGACAGAAAAGGGCTTATCCATACCCAGAGACCCAGCTAGATTTTGATTGGTCTATTTTATTGGGTAAGGCTTGATCTCACATTCAAAGAGTATAGATGGAGCCACCTTTTCAAGGTAAAATCAGATGTAAACCATTGACAAAACTGGAAGTAACAATGGCTTACAATTTATTCTATGCCATCTCAAATATATTATTTTCTAAAGAATCCATGGCATGTTATCAAATTGCAAAGACTCTGACTTAAGTGAAGGGTAATCAAACTACATTGTACATTAACATCAACAAAAATGGAATTAGGTTATTATTTGGGTATTTTAGGTTAACATTTAAATATTTTTAATCCAACTAATGTTTTATTTTATGTTTTTGGTCTAGGGTTGTATTGTCTCCTGTAAATATAAATGGGATTTTAGCAGATTGTAATGAATTATTTGTATGCAGAAATGCGAGGCAAATTTGTGAATTGTTGTAAATAATGTAAAACAACCTTGTCATGATAAAGTGATACTCAGTGATAATTAAAATACATGTAATGTACGAGTGTCCCAGAACTATATTTAGTATTAATAAAATCATTCAAATGATATCAGTGCTTTATTTTGAATTTTTTAATCATTTTATATTTTTATCTGTACAGTTAATTAACAATCCTGAGTAATAAAACTGTTATGAAATAACGCATTAATTATCATTATACATATCGTATACATAGCCCAGTTAAATGCACTTCCATTCATAAAAATCAGAATAATCATTTTGTAAAATATTTTCTTTTGCTAGAAAAATGAGGATTTTCTATTTTGGAAACAAGGAGTTTTTAAGCATTGCTCCGAGCCTGAGAACACCTGAGAGTATTCTCAATGGTATAATCAGATGTTGTATTAACCATAAACACACAATGAGGAAACGCTCTTGATGAAATGAATTTTACATTGTGTTGTGTTGTGTTGCAAATACAGAGTGGGCCAAAGAATAACAGAAAATGACCCCTTGTGAACATCCATAATGTGAATTGAGGTAAAATTGCAGGTAATTCAAATCTTTGTAATGATGTAGATCATTACATCATGCTCAAAATTAATCTTTATTTTATGTCCCTGCCAAAAAGTGGTGGCATATTTTTGATCAGCATTAATTGTGAGATGTGGTTGGCAACTGTAACTAATTATTATAGTACTTATGAAACAGAGTGACATTATGTCAAATTAATACCTTGTTTTAATTGGTTGTTATTTTGGCCCGCCGTGTATTTCCATTGCTATAATGTAAAATTTGTGATTAATATGTCCCTAATGTGGTATTAAGTGATTAATCTCGAGTTATGACAGTAATACGTTAATTGCTGCTTGATTAAAAAAATAGTGGTACATGCAGAGAGAATCGTCCCTCACTAATATCAAATAGTTATCTGCACAACAGTAGAATTTTACATAACACATATGCTAACAGTGGCTAACTACTTTTGTACATGTGTATTTCAGAAGTAAAATCAATAAGGTCGATAGAGTGGAATTGTTTTTACCAGAATCATTATATCTTGTACTGTATTGATGGTATATATTTTACATTTCGAAATCCATTTTTATAGAGTATATAATTTTTATATGAGAGTAGTATATTCCATCAATATGGGGAAATTTTGCATGTTTAAATCTTATATGTTGAACCAATGACATCTATTGCAGTGAGGTGAAATGAATCTTTACCACCAGTGATACATGTAATTATTAGGTATTATTGGAGATATGAAATAAATGAATTCATTACAATACAATGTAAATTCTTTGTTTAGGATTAGCTCCCAGAATGCAATATCGATATTCTGCCATATATGGTGTTATGAGTCATGTCGTGATTACAAAATTCAAAATCAAAACGTCCTCCATTTTTTCACTAAAAAATTCGAATCGCGAGTTTTGGTCTTTTTTCCAAACAAAAAATTCAAAACGCACAAGAAGTGATCAAGATATTAGTTTAAATCTTTTGAATCATTTATTATGAATTTATAGTCATTTATAATATCAGAAAATAATTTTCAATGTTGTCATCGATCAAGGTCAATGTCGAAGCCAATCTCCTTTGCTGTATACTGTTGCCTTCAATATTATGGATGTCATTCAGCTGTAGAATAGAAATTAAGTAAGATTCGTCCATTGAAGTACAACTCGAGTCCATGGGCGTAGCGCTATTTTTCTAAGTAGTACGCCACCACCACGGGAACAAGAGTTGAGTGAATCAAAAAACCAGCATTCGGGGGGGTCTGAGGGTTCTCCCCCAGGAAAATTGTGAAATTTGGTTGTATTTGGAGCAAATTTGCAACCATCTGGTACGCCTGGCTGTACGCAGCGTATCGGGCGCTGTCCAATGCTTTATTTGCCAGAGCACAGTAATTCGGCATGTGATTACATTTAAGATGCAGAAATGTCCAAATTTCTTACAGAGAAAAAGACGGACCGGACCTCCACTCGGAGGATTATCCTGTTATAAAAACATTTTAATGGTTTTGAATTGTGGGCTTTTAAAGACTTCAAGAGATGAAATACACCATTCATACGTTGTCTTTTGGACATCAGGATGTGACGTAGGTAAATCAAGATGAATTCAATTTATCAAAAAATCTCAGTTAACTGAGCTACATGTTTTTGGTATTTTGTTCCAAATAATAAGTTCTCAGTCTGATGCATCGGTGGTACACTCAGAATGCCAAATATCAATGCGGTCGTAAGTTCCGTGGGCCAAATGTCAGCGATGACGTGACGTGACCCAAACTCCCAAAGTCATGATAGTGATAGTGACCAGGAATCGACCACAGGGAAACACGTCAAGGAATATCAGTTTGCGTTACAAGTCTTTTCTTTGGAACTTCAAAGTAATTTCACGAAACTTCATTGTGATGTACCTTAATTATCTAACTCCATCTTCTCTATTACATTGGGTAGATCTAGCTCCTATTCACCTTTACCGAAATCCAAATCATGAGTTTTGTAATAAATAGATCTTAGATCTCCGACGCCAGGTAGATTTCCTGCTAATATTAAGCCTAAGCATGCAATCTGCGTCAAACTTCATCCCATAGTATACTAATCGTTCTGATAGGACAAATTCACATTTTGAATTCTTACTTGTTGGTGGAATCAGCAAAAGAATTGATTTTTGGAATTGCACTTCTTGACCATCCGCTGCCTCTTTCTAACCAGCCCCAACCTATTGTAAACTTTAAGAATATTGACCGTGTCGTTGAAAACATGGACTTGCGGTTCAGTCACATGTTCGGCTGCAAGAGGCGTTAGGCCTAGTTTCTTCCATCGATAAGGTAACTTTGAATATTGCAACAACCGATCTGGATCTTCTGGTGAATTTTTGTATTTTTGAGGTAACACAATGCTCTCATGAGGGATATCTTGGTCTTTATGTTTTGAATGTTTTGCGGAGTCTGTGTAGTGGATTGGTGAACAAAATATCTCTGGAAACAGACATGTTATCTATTTATTTATTTTATATATTTATTTACTTATTTATTTATTTTTGTCTATAATGTTCATTATCTTTACTATCTTTAAAACGCACATCGGAATCTATTTATGAATTGGAGTCTTGGAAATAAGGATTCGAAATGAAAAGTCAAAAATGTTTCTGAGATACCATTCAACCATTTTTACACGAACACTGTACAAGTAGTTAAAAAAATAAAATTGCGTTGCTATGGTACAGAGACATATAAAACATGTATGGTAGGATACCACTACAACGCGCGCGATATTCTTTTTCTTAAATGTTAGGATACCACAGCAACGCGATATTCCTTTTTGAACTACAAAATTTTAGTATTTGTTATATTCAATAGCATCACGTTGGGAATAGTCCAATAACACTGAGACTAACATAAAAATAAAAATATAATCAATGACACATATTATGTCTTTCACCAACTTTTTTTAATCTATTTCACAAAAAGTTGTATATAAAGTCTACAAAAATTGAAGAAATACAATTTTTAAATAATTTTGTATTCAATAGTACAAAATATGTTTCTTTTATTGAAATGCTAATTTTATTGAAGTGCTAACTGTAGATAAACCGACATATAACTTACCTGCTATTATAATTCCGTATATGAGAACTTCTGCTAAAAACATGTTATTCATTATTATTACTTATTATGAGCACGTTCGTTTCTAAACGATTTCGTTTATTTTGTAAAAGATACCTAAATGAGCATTCGATGGGTACCGTCTATTTTCCCGTAATTAGTTATATTAAGCCAGTACTTTATATTATATTAAATGTTACGCTACACGCGATTTTACACCAACTCATTTTATATGTCAACGTTGATTAATAATACAAGGCAACCAATAGACCACAGCGCAAATATGTAAAACCATGATTTCAAAATAATCGCCCCAGTAAAAAGAGAACGATTCAACAATGTTAATGTCGGTTAATCATAAGTTAACCATGAAGAATAGTTAAGGAAACGATGGGGACTTATACAATGCTTTAAATAAACGTTAAGAGAACTTAAAAGAGTAATGACAGTGTATTTACATATAGCTAGGCAACAAGGAGGATTGGCTCCCAGAGTGCAACATCGATATTCTGTCCCATATATATATATGGGCATGTCGTGATACAAAATTCAAATTGAAACAGCCGCCATTTACCGCGTCTGAGACTGGTAAATCAGAATGTGGAAAGTGTCCTATACTAACAAGTAACAACTATTGTTATCAACAATCCGTTTTGTTACACAGCAGTACTTAATTATAAAATAAGAGAAACAATTTGTAAAAAGCCTAAGGCGAGAATTTGCTTCATGTTTCGGCGAGTTTTCAATTATTAACAATAACGAAGATTCATGTGTGCCAACAATCCATTTTCCGTGATGCTTTTATACTAATTAGTCTAAAATCCAAAAGGTTGGCGATCGGCTGGATTCTAACTTATCTGCCACAATGAACACAAATCAATTTCATATTTTGGACCTTTGTGATGTTCATAAGTAAATGTTTGCGCGATAAAACCTCTCAAATATCACCGATTGGTAATTAAGAATAATAAATCAGATGCTAATGCATCACAGAATGTATTTTTGTCCACAAAACAATTACAAACGACGATGTGTTGAATGAAATAATGCACACGCTTGTATTGACCAGGCGTCAGTCGAGATACCATGGAAACACGCCTAAACAATATTTGGATAGATTAACATGTATTTATTTTTTATAGACGTTAGTCAATTTTATGTCAATGTCCTCCAGTGAGCCAATGAACTTCAATAATTCGAAATACACCACGCAATATTGCAATGAGAACTATTCCAAAAGGATAGTAAAGGCTGTGGATCCCACAATGGATGATAACCCTTACGTAATGAGATCGTTAAACAATTGAATCAAAAATTGATGATTTAAAATGAAAAATCAGTAAAAGTTAATTTACAACTCGTCATTGCCAGAGGATGTTTCTCAAAGCGATGTTTTTCAAAAAGCGACGAGGCAAGCATAGTCTGCCTCGTCCTGGCTACACTTGAGTACCTGGATAATTTTAAACAAGGCACTAACATGACAAAATGTCACCACCTAGTTGCTCACAATATTATAAATTCAAATCTCAAGTCAGATTTGAACTTCCGAGAATCAGAATTAAGGAGATGATTTTGAAAAATGGTCAATTTAAAAATACCGTTTTGACTTTTTTGAACTTGAGAAGGTCAAAAATTGGACAATTTAAAGCAAGTTGAAAAAGACCCTTTGTGACTTTGAAATGGTCATTGAAGGTCTAATCTCAAATCTAAAGTCAGATTTGAACTTCTGAGGACTCGTCGATATTTTTGAACAAATTGGTCGTTTTGATCCTTTGACCGTTTTGACCAATCATGTAGTGCTTAGGGTCAGATGTGACTCTAACTCCTGCTTGCATCTTTTCGTTTGGGTTTGTATACGTTGGATCAACTGAAACCTTGTGAATCAAGATGCTTTTAGAAGGAGACAAAAATGTTCAAATATGGAATAACATTCGCTCATTGATTTTAATCATGTACTTCCCACAAACCAAATGACAGATTATCAATTCATCCCATTTGTCAGTTTTCAGAAAAACACATCATACTGTGGAATTCGACAATTTGATTTGAAAGAATTCTTCTAAATCGAGAACTCATTTGTCTCCTTCTTTTAAGATACTTCTCTCAATGAAACAATGGAGGCAAGAAATGAATGAAGTGAGGATCTGTATCATTTTCTCTACACTTTAGTTATCTAAACTTAGCGTATTATAAAATGTTATCCTTTTCATATACACGTTGTATCAAAGTGCATGACAATGTCGATTTTCAATCTCAGACCAAAGATAAAATAATTGAGAAACATTGGAAGTATTGTTTTCAGCAGTAATCCAATGCGGGCTACAGTGTAGGTACATGTATGTCAAACATTGGAGGAAAATTGAATTTATTCCAGATTGAACGAACAAGCTTTATCTCTTGTAACGCATGTGGTTTTATTCAAATTGAAAATATTTTATTTTTCAATGCCACTAAAAACATTCAGATGGTTTAATAATCATATTCAAAACTTAGTTTTTAACACAATAAAACAATGGTACAAAATTTGCAAAGTTCGCGAAGATAGAAACTAAACTATAAGCTTGCGTGAGCAATAATTGTCAATCAGTCAGCTACGTCACGTTTTGGGGTATTAATGTTTTCCACGGAGAGAGCAGACGGGTTCACTTTACTACGTCGCCGTCGCACGTGCTTTGATCGTTATAAGTCGTCATTATTTTGTACCAAGAGTTTATGCAATAACATGTTTTGCGTGTTGCGTTCATTGCACACTTGGTTTAGTACCCCGGACGTAAACTGCCTTTCGCCTCGATCGGCTTACTAAAAAAGTTCAAATAGACCAACGTTAATCAGCAAAACGAATACATAGTATACTATTCCAGTTATTCCACAGGTATATCAACTGCCTCGCATAAATTCATAGGTCATTTTCTGTGCTAATTGCAAATCTACGTGAAGTATTGTGCGATGTAAGGATGTATCCTAAGTTCTCCAATATCGCAAATTCTCAACCTGGGGTTCTCCAAGTTCTAGAAAGAGTTCTTAATATTAAATAAGTCTCTTTTGGCAGTAACAGACATAGATATTCACATCTCTTTGTTTGATGAATCAGCACATGTCGATGTTTTTTGTATTGCACCTCTTGACAACCGCCCTTAGTATTTGTTGCCTCTTTCTAAGCACCTCTAACTCGTTGTAGGCGTTGCGGATATCGTCCATATCTTTGGAAACACGGCCTTGTGGCATGGCCACAGGTTCACGAGCGATCGGCGTAAACTTCTTCAATCCAAAAGGGAACTTTGAATATTGCAAAAACCGATCTGGATCTTCGGGTGGGTATTTGTATTTTTGGGGGAACATACTGTTCTCATTAGTAATGTCTTGGCCACCATAGTCGGGATATTCGACGAAGTCTCTGTAGTCGATAGGCGAACCTGATATCCCTTGAAATAAAGACATACGTGTACGTTGGGCAAAATTAATGTAAAAGAAACATGGCACCGACTTAACTTAAGCGCTATTAACATGCAGGAAAATTCCATTTCATAACGGGCAGCATGTGAAGTACAAATATTTGCAACTATTCTTATACTGCAGATCATAAAATCGAGACAAATCGAGACAAACTTACAATTCAAAAATGATTTGAAATATAAAAATGGAAAGCATCGCGATGTTATTCAGCAAGCCAGTGTTCAGGTGTTAATCGAGTAGAGATCTCAAGAATCAATGCAAATATACATGATAATTACGATGACACTTGCGAACAAATTCAACATTAATAGTGATGTAGATCATAGTCGCATCTCCCACCTCAAATCATTTCGATTTTTATATAACAATAAATTGGTAATCATTATCAATATGACATTTCAAGAATGTAGTCTTATTTTCTTTACTTTATTGTTATTTTTACTGTGATTGAAAAGTGTAACTGTTGGATGTACGTTTGCCCCTAACAGGGCATCAGTACAAATAAAATCGCCTATTATATACAATCATTATTAAAAGGAAATCAGCACTATAGAGTGAGTTTGTATACGCGAATGCAACTTTCGGCTGTCGGCTACCAGATTAACTTACTATTTTATGACCAAGTACTATTCATTTTCAAATGAGCTGCCCATAAAATAGTAGGTTAATCCGATAGTCGACGGCCGAAAGTTGTATTCGCAAATACAAGCTAACGAAGACTCATTGTCTGAATGACAAAATGTCCCCTGACAAAGGGTTTCAGAAAAGTGCTCATTCAAATTTTCCTTTGGCACAATATTCCACTCAGAAATGAATTCGTTCAATTTTTCGATTATCCATGTGCCACTGTAAATAAAAATATATTTATAAAATGTAACAAAATGTCTGTGTTAGTCCAATCTAAAAACTTACCTAATACCATCATTCCAAAAAGAAGAATTTCTGCTAAAAGTAAGTTACTCATTATAATTACTTGATGTTTGAGCACGTTCGTTTCTAAACTTTATCTTCTTGTGTAGACGTTTCGTGAAAATGATGAAGCATTAGCTGCAACTGTTCATTTTGTTCCGGACAATGGCTTAGTTCTTATCATTTATTTTTAGTTAATTGTTCCGGTGCATTGTTCCAAAGCTCGGATATCAAACGTTACGCTCAGTAAACCTGTGCATCCCGCATTAATAATTTACTGGTTTGATTATTTTGTATCATTATTATAAGTACACGTCCTGTTTCCCGCAAATGTGCTCCCTATTCATATGTCTGTTTAGCATAATGGCGAATGAATTCTCAACATTTCTCAATACAAGTATTTCGGCTTATCTACCACCTATCATACGTTCGCATTGTGCACCAACTGAATAAGTCAAAGAATACAAAGGATCATCACTTGCAGCTATTCCATACGTTTTACACCTATTATTTCCGTTAATTTCCCCAGAATTATTATTTAATATTTGCGTATTTTCATCACCCTGATTATGAAGAAGCGATGTTTACCTTGAAATTAAGACCTCTCTCCATTGATGGACGCCATAATCATTTCATTTATATATTTTGTTAATAAGTTTGAACAAAAGTGCAAGCGATAGGCTAAATGGAACTACCAATAATATTAGTCACCACTTGAAACGCATTGGTTGATGAATGCTAAATCCAGGACCATCTAAAACTTGAATTCCCAAAGTGCTCTACGATTCATTTCCAAAAGCTTATATGCAAAACAATAATCTAGATGGAAATAGACTGTTAATAGAGTGCGATATATGATGATTATTGGTTGATAAAGTACAGTCAATACAAGGGGATGACATTCTGATACTCAAAGCATCTTTCAGTTTCGCCATCTCAAGGATAGGAAGAAATGAGATGTTATGGTTTATCATGATGCTACTGTGATGAGATGACTACTGAGTAGAAGTAGTCCCAGAATATGAATGTAGAAGCTGTTCGACGATTCTCAGTTACTTTAATATTCATATTGAAGCACATATTTCGTCCATGAAATCTTGACTGCAAAAACCCTTGCAGCCCTACATTGAATTTCATTATTGGTCTTAAAGGGTGACGATTAGCATCCCGTATAAAAACAATATGGCGGCTCCAGGCGAATCAACTGGATCAGTCCATTTTTAAGAAATAAGGGGAGTTCTGTAAAATCAAGTTTATTGAAATTGTCTTTGAGATAAAGTAATCCGTTTATAATGATTTTGAAAACGTTATCCAAAGAGTGATTGCGTTCAAAGAATACATGTACAACAGCCAATATAAATCCTTGTATTAGAAACCGGTTTGTCTTGCTTTGTTTCATTTGTAGGATATTTCATATGCCAAGCTTTGTGCTATTACGTTATGGGGAAATTTAGATGCCAATTTTTCCTTATTATACACAAATAGAAGATGCTGAAACTTCACCCATAAATGTGGAATTGATTTGTCAAAATATAAATCACCCTTTTATAAATGTGTGACGATCTATAATATACTTATGCTATATAACAGTTAGAGGTGTTGACACAACGACCTCGAACCTGTGAACCCTTGAGTATTATTCCGGGATCGGGCCTTTTATACTAAACGGTGAGCAACACCAGAAACGAGCGTTCGATTTGCTAAACGATATGCGTCACCCTTTAAACGACTGCCATCCTCGCTGAACTTAGTGCTAAAGTTAGACACAAATTGACTTTTTTTAAATTGGTTAGACTTTTCGTGCATTTAAGACCAGATTTAGACGCTGAGCAAGTAAATCAGAAGGGAAAAATAATCAGATATTTCAACAATCTCCATGGAAGGAAGCCTTAGTTGCATACTGCAAATCAACTAATATTTGACGCTATTATATTTGGCATTTTTGCAATTTTGAAATTTCGTGGCCATCAATTTTCGCTAATTTTCAGTTTTCGAAACTTTGCAGCTATTAATTTTCACAGATTGTAACTTATCAAAACATTAGCTTATTTTTCTAATTTCTTTGATTAAAATCCGAAATAAATACAAGAAAACAGTAACTTCCTACCTTTTATGACACATCACTTGAGGAAAATATCGGGAATAATTAGTGAAATAATTTCACGGGATTTTCGGACTATTATATATCGCGAGTTAGAACATTTAGAATTTTGCGGTTATTATATTTTATCATATTTCGCGAATTTTCCAAATATCGCGAAAAACGCGAAATATAGTTGCACGGGAAAATTAACAGGAGTAAAGTATATTAAAGTACCGTCTCATGCTTCAGTGAGGACAGTGATAGACATATCATTTTTTACCTCCTGAGATAGCTTACTACGACCCAAAGAACCTGACCTTTTATGAGTCCAGTAATTGCTAAAGTGACTGGTTGGTTCCAAAAAGATTCGAATAAACATTTTCTCCAAGCATTTGAAATCATATTTTAAAACATTTTGAAGGTGGTAGTTTTAAAATGAGTGGATCTTCTGAGGCTGGTACCAACAGGACATAATCGAACAAGCCTAATTATTTGTTAGTTTCCAGTACGATTGTTAATGTACTTTTATTTACTTAATTATATAAAAAATCAACATACATGTAGATCTAAAAGACATTCAAAATATGTACAATATATCTGCTACAATACTAAACCGTCGCTAACTATGACGTTTATTTTCCATGAATTATTAACACTTTATCTTAAAAGTAATTTTAGTCCTCATGGGTATAATATTCAAGGTCAATTAATGAGCATTTCTTATATCAATTGTCAATATATTGACTTTAATTATGTTTGGTCCCCAAAAGTCCCCTCTTTATCACACTTTGTCTTTTTATATTATAGATTGGGGTTCCATTTGCCTACGTACACAATTCCCACCCTTATCTCAGAGAGTGTGTCTTATTACTCATATTTCCTCTGAGCCACAATCCCCATTTATCACAATAGGCTAGGCAAATGGAAGTTTAACATCCCCAAAATTGCAACAGTTTTTAAATTAGGCTTATATTGTATATTGATATCAGTTGAAAAACATATCAAAAATGTAGAAAAATATATGCAGTGGACAAATATGAAATGTCACATTCTAGGTACCCCCCTCCAAATTTGAGTATGGGATTGAAAATATTTTTTTATTTCAAAATGGGATGCTCTTCTCAACTAAACGAGTAATATTATGATAGTTTACTGACATAAGAGCAACTAAAAATTGTCAACCAACTATTTGAGTGCAATAATTGGCATTTCTAGCCCCAAATATCTGAAAATAGGCCATCAAATAGCCTGAATTTAATATAACAATGTATTTATTTCTGTATCTATTCATCAGAATTGCATGAAAAAATCAAGGAGGTTATTATACACCTGACCATTGTATTTGATAAGTATCAGGGTCATTAAGTGGATATTGAGGGTGAAAATAATATTTGAAATTTCAATATTTTACCACATACCTTTTTGGGGTGACCTTGCTTTTGTTTAATTACTTCCAAGATATGTCATATTTGAACTCAATAGCACAACTAAATTATTTGTAAAGGCTTATTTTGTCCTAAAAATAGTTTTTTGATGTTTTCAGGAAAGGATTATGTAAAAAAAAGTAGAAAAAACAGCAAATGCCAGGTGAAATATAGGGGGAGCCCTACTTTTAGTTCATAACTGCTAAATTATCAAATGTTTTTTCCTTTTAAATTCAATTTGATATATAATATACCTTTTCTGGTAAAAGAGAGAACGATTTGTTAGAAATTAAGTACAATCGGTGGTCTAAAAATATCCTTGAAAAGGCAACAAAATGTTAAATATCCCTGTCCCTGACATCAGTTTATTAATATGAGCCAAAAAGGTAACCCAACCAAATGTTTGTTAATAACCCAGTCATTCAGCATGGGTGTGGCATCATATTTGGCACAATTACCTTGTTCAATGTTCTTTCATTCTACTAAGTGTCATTCTTAATAGTCACGATTTTATGGCCATTTACAAAATGTGCTCAAAATATCGCAATGTGCCTAACTGACTGGACATCAATACCACCATTTTTTATTATCTGTGGACCTTTTTTTCTATACTAACAACACTTGAAACAAGAGATAAGAATGGAGATGAGAGCCATGACACAAGATTTTTATGCTCCTGATTTGAACAACTACGTACGATACGTTCAAGTTGGCCTCCAGGCATGACACTCATATTTCATGGCATGGTATAAAATGGCCATAAAAATCGTGACCACCAGAGATAGACCACTGAGACTGGGTAGATTGATAATACATTGACCATTAGGCTCAATTCTGCCAAATATGACACTAAATCCATGCAGGATGACTGGACTGGGTTATTAAGATTTGTTTGGGATACGTTTTTGGCTCGCCCTGTATTAAGGAAAAAGAGTTACTTTTGACTACGGTGTTCTTAACCACACAGTGATATTGAGACATGAAATGAAGAAGTTCAACTGAAGAATGTTGGATTTCAAGATGAAATTTAATAAAAAATGAGGAAAAGGTTTCTCCGTTAATAAATACTACTGAGTTAACTAGTGTAAATCCCTGGTCTTTATACAGGACATGGCTCGATTATGTTATGTTCATTATCAAAAATGCTGCCTTAATTTTGTAATCTTAACCTTCATATATATTTGTCTTACTTATAGAGAGCAAAAAATAATGCTGATTAAATAAGCGAAAACAAATTTGGGCCCCTAAACCCCTAAAGTGGGCCCAAATTTTGAAATATTGAGGCCCATTTTCTTCAAAATTTGGCCTGAAATTAAAAAATAAGGCCTTAAAAGGCCCTCTCATGACCAAAAAGGCCCACTTTTTAGGGCCTTAAGGCCTTTTTTGGTCCCAATTTTTATTCTTGGCCCGCCCAAGGGGGCCCGTACCCCCAGCCCCCCCCCCAGATCCGCCAGTGTTCATTATTTAGTCATCATTATTTTCATGATCAGTTATGGAGGTATTTGCACAAATGCCTTTGCATACCTACTTCATAGAAGTAAAATATGCCTAACACACACAATGGATGATCTCTGAGAGAGGGGAGCTGCATTTAGGCAATGGGAACAAATGTTTCGTTGCTTATTTCCCAGCAGTTTATTTCCCTCCCACTCCTGGATCTGATGGTATACTCTATAATTGTTGTTTTCCGCAGCATCAGAAGTTGGAGGAAGAACACGGGGCTGCAATAATTCATATCTTGCTGCTCTCTTTTAATAAAATTTTTGAAGCCTAAGTTCATTTAGGGTTTCACCATTTTTCCACCATAAATTGACAAAAGAGCATGTTCCTCGATCTGCAATGACAGAGTTACTTGCATTTCACTGGTTTTCCACTTGATTACGTTGTAACAAAATGTCGGAACATCGAAGATATGATTTTTCTTTTTTCCTTATTTCATGCGTTGTAGGCAGAATTATCACAAACATGTATCAGTATTATATGTTTAAAAAATGTACATATTTGCGGACAAATAGTTCAGAAGACAACAGAATCGTCGATTTACTTCCTCACTTAAGTTACATAAACGGTATTTTGATAAACAGTTAAGATCTCACTTTGAACTGCCACCGTTTATGTAAGGAATTAAATCAACAATTCTGTTGTCTTCTGAGCTATTTTTGCGCAAACATGTACATTTCTAAAACATATGATACTGATACATGATTGTGAGAAAAAACATCGTGGGGATTCTGCCTACAACGAGTGAAAAAAAGGAAAAAAGAAATATCGTGCCTTCGACGTTTAGATATTTGACCCGTTTCGGTAAGAAGCGTAATTGATCGGATCACCAGTGCTTTGATAATTTAAAAACAACCGCTTGTTTTCTCAAGAACTCACTCTTTTCTATCTGCCTCAATGATAGCTTCTTGTCTATGCCATATATAACCTGAATGCGTTGTCACACCCCAGAAAAGATAAACAAAATATTGTCACAGACCACTTTTTCCGAAGACAATCTTATTTCATTTATATTCCAACATTTTGATTCTTGGGTTGCTGCTTTTGGTTCAGGTTTGAAGAAAATGTTGAAGTTTGTGTTTTGTGCATGATAAATTAGAAGCACAAGGAGATCTGTATGAGTATACTGTATTTGAGGTTTGGACACTTTGCATTGCAGTTTTCACAATCACAATATCTGCATCCGATTCTGAATGTAGCACATGTACACTCAATGTTTTCCAACCTGACAGACAGATTTACCATCATTCCTACGTACTGAAATTATATTAATGAAAGACTCCCCAGATATCTGAGATTTAAATGTGCTCTATCAGTTTAAATTCCGTTTAATAACCATAAATTCGTTTCTACAGCATTATACATCCAATTTTATAGTTCAAAAGTAATGTACTCTTAAGGATGTTCCCTGGACGAAGTTGAAAACGATGAACACCAACCCCTAATTTTTCTTTTCAAAATGTGAAGTACATAGCATAACTAAGTGTTTCTGTGAGTTTAAGAAAAAGTTAAATATTCAAAAGTGTGTTTTGGGGTGAAAACCTGATTTTTAACATGGGTTTCAATGAGAAAGTGCCACGCCCACTTTTGTCAAATATTGACACTTTAGAGGCCTCTTGCTCAGAAAAAAGCACACTAACATATGGTTTTTAAAGTTTTAATATTCTTTGTTGCCCGTGAGAATCCCAGAAAACCATTTTTGAGAAAAAGTTAAATACTATTGAATATTTTCCTATCTGACCAGGGAACATCCTTAATATGTAATGATTTATTTATCTGATGAATTTAAATTCTGTAATTGCGGATTGTAAATAATAATTTAAACAATATTAAATTCCACAGAAACTACAACTTACATTATTTAGATAAGCCTAGTATAGAGCAGTTATCAAATACCCTAATATCAGAGTGGTGATATGTAATTATTCATTAAATACAAGTGAGGTCACCTTAACATTTCACCTGGTGCAACTAATAAGGTATAAACCGTCACAAAACTTGTATTTTAGATGATGACAATCCTATATAAATGATTTAGATGTCAACTCTAATACAAATGTGATGCATTGTGGGAGTTAGTCATCAAAACTATAGTCTCCCCTATAGTAGGCGGGGCAAAACTATGAAAATGAAATAATTTTTTTCTTCCTAAGTATACACGTTAGAATTCTGACACTCGCCAAATATGAAGTTCATATAAATATGTAACACCATGATTTTTTTCATGCTTTTCTGACTAACTGATCCTAAAATATCTAAATAGATATGTGAAAACATGCCTGTTTTGTGGCCTATTTTGTTATACTTTGGGGTCAAATGACCAATTACTGGTCTCAAAAATGGTTAAAATAATATTTTAATTATTTGTGAATATGTGGTCTATCATAATAAAGCTTGAATACTTGTTGACTAAAGTATTCCATTTGGGAAGGAAAAATTGTTTCCTACCAATACTCAATTTTGGGGTAGGGTTGTAGGGGGTACCTAGGAAGTGAAATTTCATATTTGTCCACTGCATACATTTTTCTACATTTTTGATATGTTTTTCAACTGATATCAATACATAATATAAGACTAATTTAAAAACTGTTGCAATTTTGGGGATGTTTGGGCCTTTTATGAGCCCATTTGCTTGGCCTACAATCTCAGATGTTAAATACATAAAATGGGTTATATATGTGGCTAACATAATCCCCCTTTCACAGTGTGCCTTAGATTCATATTCAATACTAGATATAGTACATCAAACTGGGTTATATTTAACATAATCCCCATTTAGCACAGTGTGTTTTAGATTCATATTCAATTCATCAAATTGGGTTATATTTGGCCAACATAATCCCCATTTACCACAGTGTGTCTTAGATTCATGTTCCATTCATCAAATTGGGTTATATTTGGCCAACATAATCCCCATTTACCACAGTGTGTCTTAGATTCATGTTCCATTCATCAAATTGGGTTATATTTGGCCAACATAATCCCCATTTACCACAGTGTGTCTTAGATTCATGTTCCATTCATCAAATTGGGTTATATTTGGCCAACATAATCCCCATTTACCACAGTGTGTCTTAGATTCATGTTCCATACATCAAATTGGGTTATATTTGGCCAACATAATCCCCATTTACCACAGTGTGTCTTAGGTTCATGTTCAATACATCAAACTGGGTTGTATTTGGCCAACATAATCCCCATTTATCACAGTGCATCTTTCACAGATGTTTAATATATTCACTTGGACTACCTTTGGTCTACATATATTTCCTTTATTATCATAGCATATCCATGGATAATATATCTACTTCAGAGAATACTTTAGACCAATCTAATCCTCCTCTTTATCCAAACATATTCCATGTTCCATTTATCCATGTTCAAAAGATATATACTAGATTTATCTCCATAGATTTCTGAGCTCGGACTTGATCTGAGCTGGGGGGTTAAGGCACCTGGAAAATACAATATTGTTGAAAACAACAACTATATAGCCATGAAAATTAACAAAATCATTTTTCAATGAATCTTGTTGAAAGAAAGCTAGCATTATTAAGCTACAAATCAAATCAAAATAACGATAGGAATGTAATGTATATGTCTCTAATTACACAGACCTCATTCCATAAGAGCTAAGTAGTTCTGAAGGGAATCTTTGGTTGTATTTTCCTCTGTCTGTTCCTCTGAGAATGAACCAAAGATCGATTGTAGAGCTATGTCCATGTGCTCTAACACAAGTCTCCTCATGGCCACCCAAGTGTGGTATGTCCCCTCGAGGCTATACTCCACACTGTCCACACGTACATCAGAGCTTGCATTAATGGGACCTTGCCTACGAATTTCAAAATGATCATGCAGAAGTTAAATCTCCGAGAGAAATGTATAGTTCTAATAATCGATTAATGTAATGTATTTTTAATTTTAACATTGAATGAACACACTATTTCTTAATTTAAACAAAATGGAACAAGAATGAAGAACAACCCAATATTGTGGGGAGATATCAATAATGCTATACAAATCCTCATTCCTACTGAACCTACCATGTTTGGAATGCTTTATACATCAACATTCTCTCCTCAGAGCTGTGAAAGTCCTCAACTTTCAATATTGTTATTCCGGTGTTTTTACTGTGAACCTAGAATAGAAAATAAAATATACAATTAGCTTGCTTTTTAGATGTTGATAACATATCATAGTAAAGCTAAAAGCTAAAGAACTAACTAAAGCTGATGAAAAAACGTTGAAAGCATCTCTCTTGTTTTTATGATGGACTGATTAGTACTAAAAATTTCATTAGACACCAGAACAGCTCAAATGGGCCACATTGGAGTTTACAAAAAATCTTTAAAATCTGTCTTTTAGTGTTAAACTTTTACCAATGTCTACCACAGATGGGGAAGTTACTATCTTTATCACATGACTCATTCATTATTAGTCAAAGTACTGTATCAACCATATACACCATCTTTTCGATCAAACGTTTAACAACACCTTGGTGAGTGTACACATGCCACTAATGATATTTGAACATCAAATTCTGTTTTCTCAAGCCTTTTTTGCTTCAATATTTGCATAAAACAAGCATTGAGTGGTATTTAATTGATTTACCATGTTCATGATTCTTTTTATGTGTATACTTATGTCTCACCTGTTGTTCTCCATATAAAATGACTAGAGTTTTGTTCAGAGTACCAGCTACTGTGAAATGAGCATTTGTGGGACATTGTAACAAAGCAGGTTCTATATAACATCCAATGTAGTCTAAAAGCACATAGCAAGCATTTAGGAAATGGCAACATACACAATGTAGTAAACTCCATCTCACGACCTATGTAGTCTACAAGCACATAGCAACAAGCAAGCATTTAGGAAATGGGAACATGGACAATGTAGTAGACTCCATCTCACGACCTATGAAGTCTAAAAGCACATAGCAACAAGCAAGCATTTAGGAAATGGCAACATACAATGTAGTAGACTCCATCTCACAACCTATGAAGTCTTAAAGCACATAGCAACAAGCAAGCATTTAGGAAATGGCAACATACAATGTAGCAGACTCCATCTCACGATCTATGTAGTCTAAAAGCACATAGCAACAAGCAAGCATTTAGGAAATGGCAACATACAATGTAGTAGACTCCATCTCACAACCTATGAAGTCTTAAAGCACATAGCAACAAGCAAGCATTTAGGAAATGGCAACATACAATGTAGCAGACTCCATCTCACGATCTATGTAGTCTAAAAGCACATAGCAACAAGCAAGCATTTAGGAAATGGCAACATAACAGACCCCATCTCACAACCTATTACTGTGCTCAAATCAACATCATTTTTGCCTGCCTAAGCTTAGAATACATGTACAGTAAAACCTGTGTAAGTGGAACATAGCTTAAAATATTGTTTCAATTAAAAGGTGTACCATGTACAAAAGTTTTACTGAATTTTCACATGTTTAAGCAAGCATTTTTCTTTTCCATTCACCTACCTATGTCTGTTGGCATAGTCTGCAGCACATTTTGTCCCGTATTCAAGGAGTAGGCAGATATTTCACCACAAATACTAACCCAGACATACTCACATCCAGTAACACCAAGAACTCTGCCAATCTAAAAGTAAACACAGAGGGCTTTTAGAAACAACACGACAGATTGTATGACAGCATATGCCAAAGTCAACTTTAGGAATATTTACTTTCACTGTTGAATTCACACCTTAATAATTTATTGTAAAATATCAATATAATATCTCTACTATCTACAGAGGCTGTACAGAATCTCTTATTTTTCTGCACCTCAATTAATTTCTTGTGATCAAGTCTAATTTATATAGTGCATAAGTTGTTATCTTTAATAAATTATTTACACATAGGAAGGCATTTATCAAATTCCTGCCAATGAATTGTGGAGGGTTAAATGCACTTAAGTCTTGTATCCCAGCTTTGCATTTGGGCTACTGCTCTCAGGGGGAAAAATTTCAGGGGGAACACTTTAAAATTGACAACTTTGGCCCAAAAATGGCCAAAATCGCTTGAAAAGTGCTCAGAATGGTGAAAAACTGTTCAATTTTGGAAGAATTTTTGGCCATTTTTTCGCTCGAACTCCCCTGGCAACAGACCTGCAATAAATGTCTAAAACTAGCTACCCCACTAAAAAGTGGAGTGCGATATACCTGTGCCCATGCGGCATCCTCATATGAACATTGCGAGTACTGCATCTCTGACATTTCAACTTGAATACGTATCTGCCTCACTTTCACTTCTGGTATATCAACACAAAGGATTGTCACATGTGCTCCTATAAAAATAATAAGCAGGTTTTGTGGGGTATTGTGACGGAGGTAATTTCTGTAAGCTGAAAATTTACATTTTGGTCAAAATTCGTTATTTAATTTAATGATCAAACACATTTCTGATGAATTTTAAAATACAAAATGTACTATCAAATGGTTTTGTGTCAAATTATCCAAAAAAGTTTTGCATCAAGTCTATGACCCCTTCCCATTTACATACACCTTTATCACTGGATTGAATATGTAATCGCTTTAGGTAATTGGGGATCAAAAACTAAATGCGAGACTAAAATGAGTGAAATATCGTACCTTTAGGAGGATACTGAGGGTAGAGCAACATGAATATCAAGGTATCACCAGATGGGGACATGTGACAACTTGAGATCTTGCTACAGTACAACTGCAAAAAATGAAATATACATGACCTGAAAAGTGAAATATTTTACTCAAACATTCAGGATAAATACTTTTGTGTCTTAGACTGCTGTTTTTTCTTCATTTTGGAATGCTATTTAGAGGTTTTGTTACTATCATGTGAAATATGCCTGAGTTCTCCCAATATAAGCCAACCTTGGGAGGCCCTATATTTGGGCAAGAACGAAGGCATATTTCACATCTTAGTGACATAACTGATGTATTACATAACTTTATTCCCATGGCTACTCTGTATCAATGACGTCACACATCTATGTGCTAGTAGAATTTGATGGAAATGAAACGTGACGTCATGATATTGTCATGTTTATTGAAGAAATCTAATATCAAAATGAGGTAAGCAGGCTATATTGGGGTAATCGGGCCATATCAGTGGATATAGCTCGCTCACTTTCCCATTGACTTCCATACAAATGCTTCGCTAGGTACATGTATGTAATACGAGTAAATAAAATCCATCTGTCTCACCTTGGTTGGTTTATAAAGCCTTGTGACATAAGTAGAGAGAAGATTTGTGTCTGCATGCCGTGCAATGATGTGGAATACTCCCCCTGAAGGTGTTACTTCATGTGGAGAATATATAGTTGTCTTAAAACAAAATAGTATAAGGATGAAGACAAGAAGTTATCATGAACATTCTGAATACCATGGTCTACATTCTGTATATCGCAAAGGCAATGATTTGTAGCCAAGGAATGGGCTAATCTTTTATAATATATATCTGAAATTATCATATTATTGGATTAATAAGTGTACTCTAAACTTACATTGAGATATTGTTCATCATTATAATCACTATGCCAAGGTGCCCCTAGCCCCATTCCTTTTATGGTCATCTCAATTCTAGCTCGCTCCCGAGCCATGTCTTGCCGAGATCCTATCTGTTTTTTGTCAGAGAAATGTAAAGTTGATGTTGAATTTGGTATAGGAGCATACATCCTCTCAAACATCTCTATACGATAGCGTGACAAGGGCCTGTGCCATCCATAGCTTGATTCTGTGTCTGGTGAAGTCTGCCAAATACAGATGAATCTGCAAATAAAATATAATTTACACTACAATGGTGGATTCTGCTAAAAGCCATTAGAAATGCTTCATTTTTTCCAAAATATTCATTTTCTATCAATTCTTATTTTTAAACATTCATTTCTAAATTCTTTTTATTTTCACAAATTTTCATTTTTTCAAATATAATTTTCACTCATTTTCTTTGCTTCGAAAGTGTTCACTATAATCTCATTCACTGATGTTCACCTCAATACATGAATACAATAGAATTTTGTCTCTGATTTTTGACAAATCGCTCAACATTTACATGTACTAACCCTCTCTCATCAACAGAAACAAGCCAGGCCCTATTGTTACATGTTGACATTTGTATTATTGGGTATTTATGGCTCCTAAGTAGGTCAGCTTCTATTCCATCGGCCACTGTGTTAACACCACCTCCGCTTCTGGCACTGTACTAAAATTTTATAATATACACTTGCATGAATGAGTTGACCAAGATTCCCATAGTTTCAAATATAATTTTGGTATTGCATAGGTAAAAACCTGGGTAAATTTCCAAAAAGTTACTTCCAACTCATCTTTATACCTTGCTACCTGTACATCTGAAACATGTCTCCTAATTTGTGTACTTTAATGTGTAAATTGATACAGAAACACAGCATCAAACTAGCAAGCATCAAACAAAAATCAAAGGTACATATGTACTTTACGGATTAAGTAATAACATTTCAAACAGTAAAACTCATCCTTTTGGTTTTCAGAGTGGCAGCCATCTTGACAAAAATATATTATGTGCAACTTTTTACCAATAAACACCTTTCCACCAAATATGAAGAAAACCTATTCACTTGAGAGTTTTTTCACAGAGATGGACATCTTGTTTATCATGGATGAACTGACTGATGGATGGACAGAGGGCTTCACTATATCCATATGGAACTTCATTAATTGGATTAAAAACATACCAGGGGTCTTGCATCCTGAGCAGAGGCCAACTGCTTGTGCATATGTAGATGCATTATGTCTCCACTCTCCAAGGCAACCACTACACCAGTCTCCCCTCCAGCCAGAGACACTTGACTGGACCAGAATATTGCATGTGTAGGAACACTGATCTCTGATAAAACCTCATTCTCCACGAATGGACCTTAAAGGAATGCAGCCAGTTAGATTCATTCTTTTCATGGTGATTCCACATATTTGAAGAAAAACAGCTAATAATGGAAAAAGACAATTAAGAAGCGCTGAACTGACTGATGCAATATTGCATATATGTTACACAGGGAGATATACTGATTACTCAATTAGCACTAAATTAGTACTAAATTAGCACTCTGGCAAAAGTGCACTCATGTCATAAGTGCTAATTTAGTACTAATTCATGATATGAATACTCATTTAGTGCTGAAAATCAATTTTATTAGTACTATTTTATCACTCATGATATGAGTACCAATTTAGTGCTAAAAATCAATGAAATTACTGCTATTTTATCACTCATTATATGTGTAGTCATTTAGTACTATAACATGCAATAAATCAGTACTCATGTCATAAGTGCTCATTTAGTACTAATATTTACTGAAATTAGTACTCAGTTAGTGTTAAAATGCCATGAGTACTATACTCTGAGTACTACTATAGTATATCTCCCATTCTCCCTGTGTACAACACAACACAAGTATCAACCTGGTTAAGCAATATAGTCATTATAATACCTGATTGAAACATGAGATCTGATTGGTTGGCATCAAGTTGAGCGAGCAATGTGAGTAATAATGGTGAGAAACCAGTGCCATCTGTCTTCAGCTTTAGGGACCTCAATTGTGATTTACCAGCTGGTGTCCCTTGCATGGACCACACCTAAGTGATCAAAATAATTACATAAATATGGGGATCTGCTAGCCAGGATTTGTAAATTATACAAAAAAGTGCACCAAAGTTAAACAAATATATGCTGTCTAAAACATGTATAATATTTATTTATATCTCCAGCCAGTTCAATCAAGATGTTGAACTGAAAGATGTAATTGGTGTGTCAAAAGCCTTGTGGCCTGGAACTATTTTCTGTTTCATTAATTCACATAAGTAAGTTGACATAATGAGCACAATAATTTTTGTTAAGTTTTAGGATATGAAACTAAATGAAGGATGATGAGTAGGCCGAGATCAAATTAAGTGTAATAACGAAAAATTGCACGATTTTGGAAGAACAATTGGCTCAAACCCCAACCCCCCTAATCCCCCCCCCAACCCCCCATAATCCCTCCCCCAACCCCCGTGGCTATCACCAACAAGACAGAAACATACCTGAACTAATCCAGCCTCAGTGATGGAGACAAGGCGACAGCTGTCCAGACTCCAATCTAGACTGACCACAGGTACGTCCTGGGACTGCACATTTGCAACTCCTCTTATTGCTATGAATGGCTCAAACCATAATGCATACACTATTATGTCACCTGAAATATAATGCATACACTATTATGTCACCTGAAATATAATATACCTGTATACACTATTATGTCACCTGAAATGTAATACATACACTATTATGTCACCTGAAATATAATGCATACACTATTATGTCACCTGAAATATAATGCATACACTATTATGTCACCTGAAATATAATGCATGCACTATTATGTCACCTGAAATATAATGGTGACAAAAACATTTTATTTATGATTATGAGATCTGATGTTAAGTGAGACATTGAAGCAAATATGTAGCTACAATATGTGTGTAGGTTGTTAGCATTTGCATTTCACTGAAAGAAAATGATGGATGTATCATCTTTTGGTCATTTAACATATTTGCAGTACCAACCAGCTCAATATAGAGCAATACGTGTATCTACAGTAAGTCTACTTTATTATTTCATAAAGATGTCTCTCACATCGCAAGGATGACAAGGCATTTACTATATAGCGAGTAGAAAGAAGACAAGACAAAAACATGCAAAATGTCACCACATGCCATTTGTTACAGAAACCAAACTCCAACCACAGAACACCATCATTAAAAAGTTGGAGACTATAATGATATTTATACCACCACCAAGTGGTGATGACATAAAAAATCAGTTAACTTCAGACTAACCATGTCCAGTTCCTATTGCAATATATTTATGGTTTGGTGATAGTTTAGCAATTTGTACTCCATGACACCTCCTTTCCAATGGTACTCTCATTACACTAGTGGTCATTCCCTGTAAGAAGAACAATGGAGGTGTACATATAGTCACTATTTTTATCCCTTTGTTATACTATGGGCTGACTTTAGATTATCCATGTATTACCATGATAAATGAGGTTATACAAGTTGTATATCAAAGATTTTTACACAAAATAAAAATCTTCCACATACAAAAAATATGAAAAATACATGTGATCCTCAAAAAGTATTACCCCTTCAATTTTGGAAAAAAAGTATTACTCTAGCGCATCCCTCACAATACTTTAAATTCAAAATATACACTTATACATGTATTCTCGACTTATAGATACATACACTAGGGCAGAGCATTTGTACTGAAAGGAGCGTTTTCAGTACAAATATGTACTGAAAAATGTACTGAATTTTTAAGTATATTTTTCAGTATAAATATGTACTGAAAAATATACTTAAAATTTCAATGCAAATTTCAGTATAAATATGTACTGAAAAATGTACTGAAATTTTAAGTACATTTTTCAGTATATATTTATACTGAAAAATATACTGAATTTTAAGTGTGATTTTAAGTGCAAATATGTACTTAAAAATATACTGAAATTTAAGTGTGATTTTAAGTGCAAATATGTACTGAAAAATATACTGAAACTTAAGGGCATATTTAAGTGTAAATTTATACTGAAAAATATACTTAGATTTTGAATTACGACATCTTCCTGACTTTGACATCTATACCATGGATTTTGCTATGCTCGAACAAATGAGGTTCTATGTTCATGTTATATATTTTAATTTTGATATCAATTTATTAATTTGCTCAAGCAATATGAGAAAAAAACTCATGAAAAATGCATGATATTTGATAGGTTTGATCGTTGCTAAAAAGAAATTTATTGATGGAGAAAATGCAATCAGATATTATTACAGGATGCGTCTTAAATAATTAAATCCCAAAACATAACTTATTAAAAGGAAAACACTTGATTACAGTAAACCTAGCCTCTCCAGTTTGATTAGAGTCTGCTTTAAAGGATGTGTCTAAAGAAACTTTATTAATCCATTTACAAAACAAAATATTTTGACAAGGCAAAACAAACCTGATTACAGAGAGACTCTTTTAAGTTTGGTTAAAGTCTGCTGTAAAGGAGGCATCCAAAATAATTTCATAATGTAATAGCATTCCTGGGGGGGGGGGGGGGGGGTTTCAGGGGTCCAAGCCCCCCCCCCCCCCCCGGCCAAAAATTCTTTTAAAACCAGAACAACGGCAACGCCAAAGCGTAGCGAATCCCATCGAACAGAAATGACTGGCATTTTTACAAACAAAATATATAGCAAATATCATAAAACAACACACCAGAAAGGCCACCATTTTCAGAAATGGTTGCTCACTAGCCAAGTTGTCATCAGAAGAAATAATATGCTTTTAAGTAGCCACCTATGAAATTTTTGAAAAATCACACAAATGTACTTGTAAAATAACACACATAAAAATGGTGGCCGCCTACTACCCAAAGTGTCATTAGACAGTGTGCCATGCTTATAGTATTCACATATAAAATATGAAACATACCAAATATGAACAAAATCGCTCCACTACTTTTCAAGTTATAGTAAAATACGTTAAAATGGGGCCATTTTTCAAAATGGCCACCTTCTACCAAAAGTGTCATTAGACAGTGTACCATGCTTTTAGTATTCACATACCAAATATAAACAAAATCGCTCCACTCCTTTTCGAGTTATAGTAAAATACCTTAAAATGGCGGCCATTTTTCAAAATGGCCACCTTCTACCAAAAGTGTCATTGGACAGTGCGTCATGCTTACAGTATTCACATACCAAATATGAACAAAATCACTTCACTACTTTTCGAGTTATAGTAAAATATGTTAAAATGGTGGCCATTTTTCAAAATGGCCGCCTTCTACCAAAAGTGTCATAGGACAGTGTGCCATGCTTATAGTATTCACATACCAATTATGAACAAAATCGCTCCACTACTTTTCGAGTTATAGTAAAATACGTTAAAATGGCGGCCATTTTTCAAAATGGCCACCTTCTACCAAAAATGTCATTAGACAGTGTCCAATGCTTATAGTATTCACATACCAAATATGAACAAAATCGCTCCACTACTTTTCGAGTTACAGTAAAAATCGCAAAATAACGAGTAAAGGCCGCCATTTTTCAAGATGGCTTCCATGTGCTTCTTTAATATCTACATTTGTAGCTTTATTAATGTCCTTTATAATTTTTTTACATTTAAAACATATTGCTACTACAGTTTTACATATTGCACCTAAATTACTGTAAAATCGACACTAAAATGGCCGCCATTTTGAAATGAGCGGCCATTTTGAAAATCAGCTTTCGAGCAGAACTTCTAGCCCCATAGGGTATATGTGTACAAAATATGATCAAAATCGGGCCAACGGTATTTGAGTTATTGCCCGGACGGACAGACGGAGGGACGGACGGACGGACAGAGGCGTTCCCTATATCCCTCCGAACTTCGTTCGATGGGATAATCATGCACTTTTTCACCATTCTAAGAACTTTTTGAGTGATTTAGAGTTTATAAAGTATGCCTTACATTTACGTTTTCTCTTATTTCCATTATTGGACACAAATATTTCTCATTGCATATATTTATACTTAAAATTATCCTTAAATTTCAGTATATTTTTCAGTACATTTTTATACTGACTTCTGCACTTAAATTTCAGTACATTTTTCAGTATATATTTGTACTTAAATTTATCCTTAAATTTTCAGTGCATTTTTCAGTATATTTTTGCACTTAAATTTGTCCTTAAAATTCAGTACATTTTTCAGTACATATTTATACTTAAATTTGTACTTAAAATTCAGTATATTTTTCAGTACATGAATTTGTACTGAAAAATATACTGAAAAAAATTCAGTGCATTTTTCAGTACAAAAATATACTTAAATTTGTACTGAAACAAAACTAGTACATTTTTCAGTACATACTTGTACTGAAAACGCTCCTTTCAGTACAAATGCTCTGCCCTAGTGATATACACCTACCTGCCAATACTCAGAGAGCCATTTGGAGTAGCGAGTCTGTAAGTCTGATACATGTACATGCAGGGGATCTGAGACAGGAAGTTGGTTGTACTTTAGAATCACTACATCTTCCTCCTCTTCAGGTCTAAATTATACAGGAGAAGGTAATTAGTGAATAAAATAGTGCAGGCCCGTAGCTAGCTTTTGCCAAGGGGGTTCACTTTTCAAAAATTTCCAGGGGGATTCACTTTTGACAACTTTGACCCAAAAGTGGCCAAAATAATCACTTGAAAACTGCTCAGAATGTCGAAAAACTGCAAGATTTTGATTTTTTTTGACAGATCTTGTTTCAATTTGGTATACATGACCCTAACACTATAAAAACATTTTTACATTTACATTACGTTACATTGTACACTTAATTTCAAAATGTTTTATTATCATCTTGTCAAAAATAAATTCTGATGATTTTGAAGAAAATTATTTTTGATATCAGTCAATCACTTTAAGGATCAACTATTTTAAATGGAAGAGGGAACCATTTTAAAACGTTATTTTATATAATAAATACAAGAACACAAATGTGTACAAAATGTCCCCACCTTTGGGTGATCCCGTCAAATGGTTATCCTAAAAATGAGTAGACAAGACTTTACCGACACAATTTGAGGAGGGAATATCCAAAATGGCCACCTTAAAATTTACCCAGAATGCCCAAAAATTAGTCAGTTCTAGATTTTCATACTAAGAGCCATCCCTGAAAATTTGAAATTGATCCCTCACACAGTTAACCAGAAAACATGTAAACAAGACTTTACAAACAAGATTTTAGGACGGAAAATCCAAAATGGCTGCCTTGACATTTATCCAGAATGCCAAAAACAAATCTCTTCTAGATTTTCATACTAAGAATCATCCCTGAAAATTTGAAATTGATCTACCAAACGGTTCACCTGGAAATGCGTAGACAAAACTTAACAGACAAGATTTTAGGACAGAAAATCCAAAATGGCTGCCTTGACATTTGTCCAGAATGCCCAAAACCTAATCAGATATAGATTTTCATACTAAGAATCATCTCTGAAAATTTGAAATTGATGTACCAAACAGTTCACCTAAAAACGCGTAGACAAGACTTTACAGGCAAGATTTTAAGACAGAAAATCCAAAATGGCTGCCTTGACATTTATCCAGAATGCCAAAAAACTAATCAGATCTAGATTTTCATATTAAGAATCATCCCTGAAAATTTGAAATTGATCTAGGCCTACCACACGGTTCACCTAAAAATGCGTAGACAATTAAGACTTTATGGGCAAGATTTTAAGATGGAAAATCCAAAATGGCTGCCTTGACATTTATCCAGAATGCCAAAAAACTAATCAGATCTAGATTTTCATACTAAGAATCATCCCTGAAAATTTGAAATTGATCTACCAAACAGTTCACCTGGAAATGCATAGACAAGACTTTACAGACAAGATTTTAGGACGGAAAATCCAAAATGGCTGCCTTGACATTTACCCAGAATGCCCAAAAACTAATCAGATCTAGATTTTCATACTAAGAATCGTCCCTGAAAATTTGAAATTGATCTACCAAACGGTTCACTTGAAAACGCGTAGACAAGACTTTACAGACAAGATTTTAGGACGGAAAAATCCAAAATGGGCGACAATAAAAAAGTGATTATGAGTTTTTGCTGATTTCCTTTTACAAAACTATCACATATTACTACTGTTAACAATAGCATAGGCTTTTGGAGAAAACTGCCGGACGTACGGATGGATGGACGGACAGATGGACATACGGACAGACAGACGCGCCTAGGCCGACAATATGGCCCCACACTATTTGGTGGGGACATAACAAAACATGATAATTACAATCTAATTTTAACAATCACTAAGTACTTAGTAGCATAAAATGATTTCACCTCAATTTTGTTTAACAACTCTTTTGTAATATTATGTAAAATATTCACCAATTGTTTCATTAATTGTATCATCATGCGCTAACAAGGAGTATAAAAATAGACTACCTGTATTGAAATGAGAAAAACTATTGTTTATACTTTTAATTTTACTGAGATATAACTTCTGAATTTACATGAGCATCATTTGGTCTATTGATGTCTTGCATAAACACGCTTTTGTATTCTTTTTCTACATTTGTCATTGTAGATTTAATTAAATTATCAATTTTGACTTTATTACATGTATCGATTTTTTGTATATCAATATTTTTATTGGATATTGACAAAATCTGTGTGATAAATGAAAGAAGCTCCAATTCCCTGATTCATGTGAGTCTTCCTCATAATACCTGTTTGCAATATCTATTGTGTAATTTCTTAAATGGAAATAAATTATCTAAAAGCCTTAAAGGATTTGTCTTTTAACTTTACAATATCTGTAGCCTGAGAACATCAGAAGCATAGAGTGCAATTGGTTTGATTAAAGTGTCAAATAACTTTATCTCCGATTTCACATTACTATCATAAAATACTTTAATTAACTGCATATTGGGCCTTTAATGCTTTTGAATGCAAAACATTATATGCAGATTTAAAATGATCATTTTGATGAAATGTTACACCCAAATAACAATAGTTTGCACACTGTGTAACTATGCTACTACCAAATTTTAAGATTTTTTTAGTTTCATTAAATATCACCACTTTGGTTTTGTTAATGTTAACATTTAATTTCCATGTATTACAATATTTTTCAAATTTGTTCAGCATCAGCTGTAATCCTTTCCCTGTCTTACTAAAGAATACTATATCATCGGCATACATCAATGAGTTGATTCTGTTTCCTTCTAGCATATAGGGATCAAACCTTACATCGTTAAACAGAGATGGAACATCATAAATATACATATATTAAAAACATTGGACTCAAGTTTCAGCCTTGTCTAGTCCCTACATTACTGGGGAAGTGTTCTATAAAACCACCTTTTAGCTTGACTCTGCATTCAGTATTGACATACATACATGTATGGCCGATAACACTAACAAAGCTACTACTGAAGCCTATTTTGTGAAGTTTATTGAATAATCCTTGTCGCCATACTGTGTCAAATGCACGTTTAAGATCAACAAAACATGCAAACAACGGCTTTTTTATTGCCTTCATGGACTTAATAATACAATTTAGAACAAATATGTGATCAGATGTCCACCGCTCCTTACAAAATCCTATTTGACTTTTGCATAAAATCTTATCCTCTGATAGCCATTGTGCTAATCTTGAAGTGGTTATACTACTGTAACGAACCAGAGGTCACGTTCGGTATTTTAACGCACCATTTAGAGCGAACTTTTTAGCGTTCGCTATTTTCACGTATCGGCATCGTATTTTTCTAACTTTTTATACTTTTGACCTCTGTTTCGTTATTTCATTTCACTCTTATCATTTATTAATTAGTCGTAACTTAGATATTGCATCAGGTCGATACTTTAAGTAGTTTTAAGTGAATTTGGGCAATTTTTGGTCATTCGGCTGGTCACGGAAATGTCCGAAGTTGATGACGTCACTATCCATATAAATTATCGAGAATCTTTCGGAGCGAGGTCACTTCTTACTTTTCTGCTGAACTCACATCATTTATCGTTCTGGGAAGCTTCGTGCAGCATTATTCTTATTCGTACAAGATCTACTCTATGGTGAGCATAATACTGATAAAGCACTAAAATCACACAAGTGAGGCTCCCGTTTTGGGCACCATTTTTTGGCTGTTTTCATATTTTTACTTTTAATCTTAGAATTATCTTACATTTGAATTCTGAATTCCTAGTTATTCTCTTGAAAGCAACGACTACATCGATTGCGGTTCAGTGAATAAACGGGGTTTAAATTCTGATGATACAAATGTGAAATCATTCTAATTTCAATCAAGTTCATTCTCCAAAGTTTCTTTCTGTAGATCTACTCATTATTTTCAATCCAGAACACTTAGTCAGAGCCATGTATCTTTGACGGAGATTTTTATTACATAATCAATCTTGTCTTGCATGATTAATACTTAGTCAGAGCCATATATCTTTGACGGAGAAACGAATTAATCATATTTCATTATTTGCATTGAGAGTCGTATCTCATGAGTTACTTAGTCAGAGCCATAATTCTTTGACGGAGAAATTTATGATTTGAGGTTACAAATCAGGAGTCTAAGGGTTTCAAGCCAAAGTCATATTCCTCTGATTAAGTTCTGTTGATATTCATTCTACATATTTCTATCTCTGTTTCTACAGATTTGTGCAACTCATGAGGGAGCCCAACTCTCTGTCATGTACACAAATTAATTCTATATGCTTCTTATTTCTATAGATTTGTGCAAATCGTGAGGGAGCCCCACTCTCCGTCATGTTCATGAATTAATTCTATATATTTCTCATTTCTATAGATTTGTGCAACTCATGAGGGAGCTCAATTCTTCGTCATGTTCACAAATTGATGCTTTATTTTCATTTCTGTAGTTCAAGCAAGTTACAGTCAGAGCCATATTTCTTTGATTTCATATTGTGGCATTGGATGCATAGCTCTAATTATTGTTAGATGTCTGTTGCTAATGTCAGGACTTTGGTGAATATTCAGTTGTTGATCTTTTGACTGCTTTAGGAGTTGATTTGTTTGCTGGAGATCATTGAAGTCAGTTCCTGGTAACTTGTTTTGTGACAATTCATATTCTTACTTAGAGTGTTTGTATTTCAAGGTTAAATTATCATAACTTCTGCTTTGGCCTGATGCAATGTGTTATGTTATTATTTTAAGAGTGTGTAAGTCATAAGCTGATAGATAAGGTTTTGCTGATATAAAAGTATATTGTAAAAAGCAATACAAGCTGAGCCACGATCAAAGATCTGATATTAGAATAATCTATATCTTAGCTAGTCACAAGTAGTACTCTGATTGATTTTGTATATATAAGATAAGTTAGATATCAGTTTTTGTCAAAACACATTTAGTGTATTAGCATATATAGAAAGCTTATCTGCCAAGGTAGCCATATAGCAAGTGTGCTACCATATAAGTCATATTCACATTCCGGCCATATCATGTGAGAACATATTCGCTCTTAAAAGCGTTACACATGTTATGTCAATTTCATGATATTTTATTAGTTATCGATCAGATCAAA